CCATAGTACACTCCCCTCCATAAGTTTGGCAACCTTTTTTCCCCCATTGAAAGACGTGTTAAAGGCTCTTTACCTTTGAATTTTTATTTACTTAACCTGTGATAAAAAATACTTATACTATTGATGGAAACGTAATTTGACTTTAATTCCAATATCTCCAAATTTTCACAATTTTTTTCCTCAATTACAATAGGTCGAAACTTGATGATAAATTTGATGTATTTTTGAAAATCGACATTCCCATGTTAACCAATGGGAAATGGTAGGTTTGCCGCAAGTCATATGACAGAATATCCATCTATCCGAATCCTTGCAAAAAATAAGAGTTAGGCAGGCAATTGAATTGGCTAACTTTATTTAACAAAAAATTGATATGTTTCTTCAGGTTCAACAAAGTTATAGGGCTTCAAAGTCAAAATTGTTTTTCAAAAAAACCCTCCCATTGAAATAACACAGGAGGCGAAAAATTATTTTCAAAAATGACTTTGAAGCGCTGTAACTTTAATATACATTAGGTCGAAACTTGATGATAAATTTGATGTATTTTTGAAAATCGACATTCCCATGTTAACCAATGGGAAATGGTAGGTTTGCCGCAAGTCATATGACAGAATATCCATCTATCCGAATCCTTGCAAAAAATAAGAGTTAGGCAGGCAATTGAATTGGCTAACTTTATTTAACAAAAAATTGATATGTTTCTTCAGGTTCAACAAAGTTATACATCAAATAAACTTAACACTTAGTGTTCAAAAAAGTTAAACAATTCAATTTTCTATATAAAAATATTTTTTGCTGAATCTTTTACTGAAAAGATATCCTGATTTCTGATTTGCCCCGAACCCTCCATTTCCCATTGGATTCCATGGGAATGACGATTTTTAAAAATTCATCAAATTTATCATCAATTTTCGACGTGCGTTGCTCCGGTATGGGATCTTTTGACATTTTACGTTGAATTAATTAGTACTCACATTTACTTGATCTTTTTCATAGTTTTATATGTTGCTAATGATACTCTTGGGCTACTTTGTACAAATTGTCAGTGAATGTGGTTGCCGAGAAAATACTTGTCAAAAAGTGTCTCATTTTTGGGACACCTGATATATATAACACCATGCTGTATAATTATTTCATTGTAAATATGTAAACTTAAGGTCAAAATTAATCATAATGAATAGTTTGCATATTTTTTCTAGAAATACCAGAACTTATTTTTGCTTTCATATGGTACCAATGTCATTATGATCTCATAATGATTAATATAAACTGTTACTATGGAAACGAACGATTAAAATAATTTTTTGCCTAAAAATCTTAGACAACACCAGTGCATCCGTAAAGCTCAATATGCAAGCTTTTGATCAGTATCAAAGCCCAAAAATACCTTCTACCTTTCTCATTCAATATCTGGATTTGTTAAAATTCTCGATACTAGATACATGTGTTTGATTTAGGCCTCTATCTTTTTGCATAATGACATCAAAATCACAATGATATTGTTTGCCTGATATATTAATACATGTAAGTGTTGTGTTCAGTCACGTATAAACACAAAATAGTTTATCTTCAATACTATTAGGCTACAGAAGCACATGATATTTGTTTTTATTATGCACCTCATTAAAATACTCAAATCTGATTGGTTCTTAGTTGCTTGTAATTTGGCAATACTCTGCTCTTTTCTGAAAACTGCCGGGTATTTTTTTAATATCTGACCCTTTCGAGAAAAAGGGTCGGATATTTTTTTCAATGTTTTTGCAACATTCCCACTTCATAGTTTTATTTCTTAATAACTGGAGTACTACTTAAAGCTTACATCTGAAACTGGCGGAAAATAGAAGAAAGCATGCACTTAATCAATCACAATTACCCTTATCATTCAAAAGTTACATATAATTCTGCAAGAACGTCTCGAATAAATAAAAATTAAATTCCCGGGGCAAATATTTTCGTCCAGTGTAGCGAATAAACTGGCCAGAAGTCGTCTGAGTTTTGAAACAAAAAATAAATAAATGTCAAAATAATGTCAACTAAACGACAGTTTAATCCTGTACTCCACTTAACTTTGATTGGGAGGTGCATAATAAAACAAATACTGGATGATCAGGAGCTGGATATGGCAGAATACCTATTCGAGAAAAAATATTGGGCGAGGCGGCAGCCGAGCCCAATATTTTTTCCAGTATTTGTTTAGTATTTTGTAAAATCACCAAAAATCGAGCGTTTCTATTTCTATTCTATGACATCACAATGAGCCCGAAACCTTGGAAATGTGTATATTTAACAAGTTTGTTAAATTAGCTTTACAATGATAGTTTTAATATGATATATGGTCAAACCGTTCTCTAGATATCTTCAAAAGTATATTCCTGGACTTAATAGTGACATCATTGCAGTTACCATGGAAACCATCATTTTTAGAAATGTTCTCACCTGTTTTGATTTATTTTAGCCATAAGGCATGTTAACACAGATGCTAAGCTTTCCAACGGTACCATGATTTGCCAGTAACCTTTTCATCGATATATTAAACATGACATTTTAATGTTGAGGATTTTTAAGTTATCATTGAAAATGTATAAAATATAATATAAATGTCTCAAATATATCTTGATTTGTCAATAATCCCGATATTAGATATTTGAATTAGGCTTCTATCTCTTTGCATTATGACATCACAATCTCAATGATATTGTTTGCCCGATAATATACATATAAGTGTTGTGTTAAGTCACTTTTAAACACAAAATAGTTTTATTAGATAATGTAGCTTACATTAGCATACGACACGTGTCTAAATTCTGTCAAAATCACCGAAAATCAAGCGTTTTTAGTTCTATGACATCACAATAGGCCCGAGAATCCTAAAAATATGTTTTTTCAAAAGGTTTTTTTAATTACCTTTACAGTGGTACTTTTATCATGATGAATGGTCAAAGCGTTCTCTATATATGTTCAAAAGAATATAATTTGTCCTTAATACTGACAACATTGCAGTTACCATGGAAACCAGCATTTTTAAGAACTTTTCCACCTGTTCTGAATTTTTATAGTTTTCAAACATGTTAGTGCAGGTGTTTAGCTTTCCAACGGTACCAACATTAGCCGGTAACCTTTTGGAGGTTTAAACTTCTTTATTTGAAGACTTTATGAGATCTGGCTACTCATCTATATTGGAGACTATTACAATATGTCACTACTTCTGGTGGAAAACAAGGCATTAACATGACAAAATGTCACCACTTAGTTGCTCACAATACTATTATGTTCAATCTTAAGTCAGATTTGAATTTCTGAGAACTTGTAGATGATTTTGAAGAGAATTGGTCAATTTGAAGCAAGTTGAAAAATTCCCTTTTTTGACCCTGAGAAGGTCATTGAAGGTGAAATCTCAAAACTTAAGTCAGATTTAAACTTCTGAGAACTTGTAGATGATTTGGAAAAAATGGTCAATTTGAAGCAAGTTGGAAAAAGACCTTTTTGACCTTGAGGTCATTGAGAAGGTCATTTTTTAACCTTGAGATTGTCATTGATCGATTTGAGGCAAGTTGAAAACAGGCCTTTTCGATCTTGAGAAGGTCAAATCTTAAATCTAAAGTCAGATTTGAACTTCTGATAACTTGTAGATGATTTTGAAAAAAAATTGGTCAATTTGAAGCAAGTTGAACTTTTTTTACCTTGAAGGTCAAATCTTAAATATAAGTCAGATTTGAACTTCTGAAAACTTGTAGATGATTTAATTTAAAAAAACTGAAGTCAGTAAGTTATTGTAAGTTTTAAGAATTTGTTACAGATGCCAATTGCCGATCGCCAACCACCAACAGCCGTCACAAAAAACATAGACTATAACAATATGTCACCACTTTTTGGTGGTGACATAAAAATGAACTGAAAACTGAATGTGGTGAGATGTTTTTAACATAGAAGTATACAAATAGACAAACATAGGAGGGGGGGGGGTGAGTGTGTTATTTCATATATTTCTATAGATAGACTCACCATTTTCTCTTGACCAAAGTCAAAATAGACCTAGCGTTAGTGTTAATAGAAAGAAAGTGTCAGTATAACATACAGTAGTTAGTAAATGGGTCATTTCTGGAGTATAGCATAGCTATAAGATTCTACAATACATATTCTAATATTTTGGTTCAAAGATACAGTCAAGAAATGACCCTCAGAGCAAGAACAAATGAGTAAGTAAATAACATCCCAAAATAGTAAATACTACATAGGGTTATAAATCTTTTTGTGAAACGTATATTCTACTGGGATTACTACTGCAAAGACAGTAATGCTAAAGACGAGATACATTTAACAAGACAATATTAGAGTCAGACAAGGTGTGAGCTAAAGGTTATCTAGGAAAACTTGTTAACCATTCAAACCTTTAAACAGAAATCGATACTAAAATAGGGCAGTGATCTCCCCAGCATTAAAGCAAGTGGGCACAGCACCCACCTGAGGAAAAAAACACTGTAAGGTATTCAAATCAGGAAAATCTAAATATAATGATTTTCCATTAACTGATGTTTTTATCCTTAAAGTATTCTAATTTAGACATGGTAATTACAATTGTTTTCCTAGGTTTAAGTAGGTGTATAATAGTACAGTAGATATATTAATATACAGTTCATTGGTCTAAGTAGGTGTATACTAGTACACAGCTATTTTTAGTGTATATGCAGTCTCAATTGATTTTAGTAGGTGTATATTAGTAGATGGCTGTTCCTTCACATTAAAACCTTCAGGCAATTGCATTGAACTTGATTGTTGAGATTAACAACTTATTGCATTGATTTCTTGTTTCAAACATCTTGTCCCCATTTGGTCTTTTAATGTTCACCTTATATCAGGGCTGATTTCTGTACATGTATATTCATAATAGAGAAGTGAGAGACACAAGCCTGTTTAAGAAATAACACAATGAAGTTATTGTACTTTTCTCTCAAGTAATACTGCTCTCCTTTTTCAGAGTGATTCAGGAATGTAACAAATACCTGTATGGCAGGTTCGTGACTGGTCAATTCAGCCTCAAGACGTTTGTGCTTCTTGCGGAGATTTTGAACGCCAGTCAAATCGCGACCGTAATCATCTGAACCAACCAATAGTTTCTTCTCTTTAATCCAGGATTCTTCATCGTCAATGTCACGGAAGAATTGATGGAGAGTGTTCGCCTCATCAAGTCTTAATCGGCGTTGCTCGGCTGCATCACATACCCTAAGAGAGAAATCATATATTACACATTGTATCATGGCTGTTATCATCAAACATTAAAGTTAAAAAATAATCTAGCTGATCCTTTGCTGAACAAAATATTATGTATCAAATGTGTCGTTGTTCAAGATCTTAAAGCAAATTAATACATGCATTTTTAGATACTCATACTGCTAACAGCCTGGTTCATTTAAACAGTGTATACATGACCTGTATTTGTCAATAACAAGTGTTTAAGATAATGAGTATGCTCGTCACCAGGGAAAAGCAATAATATGGAATCGGGATTTAACTTAAAAGGGCCTAATACAATTGGTTCCTACTTCTGGTATCTATCGTTTATCTGGTCCTTGGTGTCTTTGATTTTGTCAGCATCCCACACACCAGCCTCAATGAATGTGTCTGCAATCTTGTTAAGGTCATCAATACGTGGCTGGAAGAGGAAATACATGTAATTATTAAAAATCACTTTCTGCTTTAGAATTCCAAAAGCAAAAGATATATGGTACTTTAAGTTGTTTTTGGAATATGCAATGTACCTTTATGTCATTTTTGAGTTTTGGAGCAATTATCATTATTACCGTAGTGGGGCATCTTTAAAAAAACGATCCGTTAGATGTGTTAATTCAATATTCACCCTGTGATAGACATTAACTGAACTTCTTAATACATTCCCAGCATCATACACAAAAAATTCGCATTCGTATTTCGCATTCAAGTATACCATAGTAGAAACTGTACTTTGTACCCGAGTTCATGGTTTAGGGAGCTTGGGAATATTTCCTTCATGGCCGTATGATACCAGGTGAATAAATGATGGTAGGTCTCATAGAAACTATGGATAGGCATAAAACAAACTGTGTAAAAAGCAATTATTTTAGTAATTCTTCTCACACTTGCCCAACAATTAAGTACTTTGATGAATTTCTTGAAAGAGCTAAAAGAGGTGGGATAATCCCAAAGTTTACCTCATGAGCTTTGATATCTGCCTCCAAAAGTTGGTGTTTCTTGACAAGATTCTGCACAGATGCCAGATCTTTACCATAGTCATCTGTCTCCAACATGTGCTCAACTTCACCAAGCCAGAAGTCAATGTCCTTAATACCTTAAGTTATAAGATTATCAAACAAGTTAAATATATTATACTTACAGTGGCTAAAGATCTATATAATACACAGATATTTTCTATCGATACAACAATCCATTAACTTTCAGAAAACATAGTCATTCTTGTGGCATTGACATCTCTACATATCAAATGAATAGAGCTTTCTATAAATCTTGACTCCTTTTGGTGGGTCAAAGAAACAAGGGTAAAAGATTGTAAGAAGTTATAGTAGCAATAAGTTAACTCAACTTCTGCTATGTTAAAATGTGCTTAAGAATAACACCATGACCAATAGATGACATGATGTACTTGATTGGTCAATTCTTACAAACACTGAAAACCTTTCATCAGTTGTCTTACCAGCATTGTAAGTTCTTTGTCTGTTAGCTTCTTTGAGTTTTTCACTCTTCTCTGATGACTTAGTGACCAAGTACTCCCACTGCTCAGTAAGGGCAGCGAGTCTTTGTTTAACTGCCTCCTCAGATCCAGCACACTTTCCTTCATCTAACAAACCTACAACATACAAGACACTTGGTGTAAAACATGTAGTGTGGCAGAGAAACATTCTTTTTTCTAGAAATATCTTGCACAAGGAACATAGCTTACTAATATTTCACAAACAAACCTCACACATTTCAAAATTGTTTTTCAACCTTTATTTTCAAACCATTTTCATAAAAGTACATGAAAACAACATTTACATTTGCACATACAACTAACATCAACTTCCTACCATTAGTATCAAATTTTCCAGATTCATCCAAATTTTATCTTTAAGATCAGCAAAACTTACGTTGTCCAGTTTGGATGACAGTCTGGAGTCTATCAGCATTGGCTGCAAGTTCAGCCTCAAAGGCTTGATGTTTCTGATGCTTGCTCTGGATATTAGTTGGGTCCTTGTAACTCTCTTCCATTGCACTCTGGAGCTTCTCAGTGATCCATGAATCCATCTCATCTGCGTCTCGAACAAACTGTTGGATCGTCTGAGCCTCGCCGAGTTTGGATCGGTTGTCGATCATAGCTGTCTTTAGGTTGTCCCATCTAAAAAAGGGAATTTCCCAGTTAGCTTTTGCAATCCATATTAAGTGTTCTCGGTACTTATAGAAATGTGTTCTTTAACTTCAAATTAACTGGATTTTCAGAAACATTATTACATTACTGAGGAGAAAAAGTTGGTCCCTAATATGGAATGAACATGTAGGCAAAACAGTGCTAATTTTGACAGTAAAATTTGGGTTTACAGTACATACCTGTTCAAGACTTCATCACGGCGTCCATGAATAGAATCCTTATCATAATGATCTCCCTCAGTAAGCTGGGTGGCAAAGTTCTGGAGAGCGTAGATCTTCTCTTCTTGGGTCTTAATGGCACGGTCAAAATCTTCGTGTTTCTTAATCAAACCATCAACATTGTCCCCATCTTCACCTAGCAGTATATAGATCAAAATTAAATGAAGATGATAGCCATAAAACATAACTTAAATATGATAGCTCCAATATATCAGCTATTTTGTAGTGTTATGGCACAACCCTAGCTTAAATATATAAATTAAAATGTATGAGCCCAAAAGCCCCAAGATGTACTCTTACCTTGGCCTGCCTGCAGAGAGGCTTCACGAATTGACATCCAGGAGTCTGCTGCTTCACAGTCACGGTTGAACAGCTGCATCTCCAAGTTCTGGTCAAGTTTCTGACGACGGTCCACCCAGGCCCTGCACAAATAAGATATTTGTTGTAAAAATGCAAAGGGCAATATTTGAACATACAATATCCACACAAACATACATCACATGAAAAAATGTATGTGATATTGGTTTTTCAAAGAGCTTTTTTATGTCCATAAGTCTGAAGTTGTGGATAGAAAAGTACAGAAGATAAATATATTCTCTCTGATTTTTGTAGGTAGCAGGTATTTCTAATTGACAACCAAATCAAAATTATCACCTTAACTTTGGTTGAATATGATTCGAACAGGTTGAGAAGCCTCAAGATTAATTTTGAGTTTTTTTTTTGTCATATGATGATATCTAAGTCTGTTAATTACAAAGTTACAAGATCTACATTAATATCGTAATGTAGTTGTATATTTCTACTATTACACCATCCAATTAGAGTTTTTATTGTTTCTTACTTTTCAAGTGCCTCCCTGGACTCAGCCAGTTCAGTAAGCTTTTCTTTGACCTCATCAGCAGCATAATGGTCATTCTGTAGCAGCTGATGTCCAAACATCTCAAATGCCTGGAATGTCCCCGCACGTGCATCAATCTCCATGCGGTGTTCCTAGAATACAAATATAATGAGTTAGTCGTTAGTTATATAACAAGTGAATGATTGCAATAGCTCACCATGTGAGCTGAATATAACATTACATAATGCCTGTTGAATTGAGATTTCAGCATGTTAAAGAAATGATGTATTGTAATATATTTGAAGACCTTACGTTCACTTCAAATAAGTTACTTTTTCAGAGTGCTGTAAAATTAGGATTCTCCTAAGGTTAGATGGAGCCAAAGAGAATGTAAAAAGGAATTTACATGAAGAAATATGAATCATCATACTTCGTAATGAAATGTGTGACATTTACAACATAAACCTTTCAATGGAATAAGCAATATGATGAACTGGAATTAAATTAGATGACTGTTGGTCAAATAAAATCACTGAAAAGCAAGTATTTCTTAATTATCAAAAGTATTAATAGCAATTTATCAAATACTTATTATGCCCTATGGTAGTTTACCCAGTAGAAATTCTTAAAATAAAACATGTGTCTCCCCCATGAAAAATCACAATGGTGCTTATGTCTACTGGATTGATTTCAGTGAACAACCTGATCTAAGTGACACCTAATTTTCTGGCAAATATACTTTAAAGTGCTAATCCTGTTTATCATCTCCCTTACTGATTCATAGTTTTACATATATGCACACCCCAAATACTATTTCTAACACTGCCTTGGGAAATGGATGGGGTGAGCACTTTTCCACTTAAAAGCTTGATCTCTTTAAGGTTTTAAGGAATTCATCAGGTTTTTATGGATGGCACATTGAAGTCAAATATTAAAATTGAGAGCGAGGCAGTTTCTTTTAGCCTATATAAATGAAAAAGGGTAAAGATTGAATTTGAATTTAGAGTTAAGTACTCGGGCTTATTCTTAGACTAATGAGCACCTGGGTCCTGTGAGAAACAAACATGTAGCACAGTTGATTGACATGCATGCTGTCAGTAAAAATATAACATAGAATACTCAGCAACACAATCAGCCATTTAGTTTGAAAAATAAAGCGAAGCAAATGTTTTGTAAACAGCAGAAATGTATGATCATCAGAAAAAGCCATGATGAAATTTTGTAGACCAATGGACCCTTAGTGCTAATGACTATATCTGTGTGGTGATTCACACACAACTTTTTTGCTCAATGAGGAGATGTTGCTTGCTATGCTATATAAAAAGAAGAATATTTTAAACTAAATATAAAACATTAATTAAATATAATTGATTTCAGACACGTTGGATTTTTAAGTGCTAATGACCATATCTGCGCGGTGATTCATGTAAAATATTTTGCTCCATCAATAAGGAGAGGTGTTGATTGCTATGCTATTGAAATAGAATATTCCATATTAAATATAATTGATTTCAGACACCCTGGCTTTTTTTGATTAAACAAGACAGAGTGATAAGTATCACACTTTTTTATAAAATAAAAAATTTAAAATGGCTGCCAAGTATTTTATCCAACGAGCCAAAATCCAAACAGATCTTGACATTGTTTGAAAGTGTGCTCTTGCATCTGTAAATTTTCAAGTTGATCAGGAAGTTTAAAACCATAAATTGTGAATTTACTACCTCCGTTCATGCTTTAATTTCACTTCTTTTCTACTATTCTAAGACCTCTAAAGTCTTAATGCCTACTGACAAGATTCTTTGCTAATTGAATTCCCCTATTTTCAGCTTAAGTCAATTTTAAAAGCATAGCATTGATAATATTTAATTCACAGCAAACATCTACGCCTCTTCTATTCTATGTAACATCTCAGGGGTCTTAATCTGAAAATGACGTGCACATCCATCTCAGGGGTCCTAATCTGAAAATAACATGCAAATCCATGCACTGTTTTACGTAATTAATCAATCATGGCTTTAACCACTTCAAACCAACTCGGGTGAATCATGCCTGCACCCGTACCTGGTCAGGAAGTGTGTATACGTGTCGGGTCTCAATCTCTGTACGTAAACTCTAAAATAGAAACATAAGAAGCTTCAATAATGGCCCATGTTTAGATACTGAAATGATTGAGACAGAATAAATCGATTGGAATAAGGGCCCTGTCCAAGTGAAAGATAATAGAATAATAATACAATTATCAAAAAATCATTTTATTGAAAATATCAAATTTTTCTAACCTGATGCCGGTCAAGCAGAGCCTCTGCACCAGTGACATCTTTAGCAAGTTCTTCTGAAGACACTAGCGCCATCATGCTGTTGATCCAAGACATAAGGTCTCTGAAAAACATGAGAAATATTTTATAAAAATCTCATTTTATATTTTAATATATAATTTATTTTTCGATTTGTTCCATTCAGCCAATGATCAGAAGTCAAGGGTCCATTTCTAAGAGTATAGATTTTCTGGAGGTTTTTTGCCAATAGTTACAAAACACAGCCATTCATGACATATTCGAGGATAATGATTACTTTTTGGTGATATGATGAAAATGTATATGTGCATACCTATAATCAGAAGAGAATCTCTGTAGGTCATAAGAGTCAAGGAGTTTGGTTTTCCTGGCTTCTGCCTTGGTTGTCAGGGTGTTCCACTTCTCATTCACTTCAGTCTGATGTTTGTAAATCTCTTCAGCCTGGTCAGGGTGGGACTCCATGAATCTATGGGCATCTTGGTCCAATTGACGTACCTGGAATGAGATTTTGTTGTTATTTTGCTATTCTGCTTATTACTCATAGCTGAACTATTGGTTCTGGTTTCTACTTGAGCACAGAGATGCTACTTATGAAAGATGAATCATTTAATATAGTTAAAAGTTGAAAATAGAAATATTCAGTCAGAGCAGAAAAAACTTAGCAATTTGGAATTTTTACATTTTTAATATGACTGTATTAAGTGCAATTTAATTTGTGAATTGATAAAAAAAAAAAAAGAAAATGTTTTCTCATGAAAGTTTAATAGATTCACATGCTACTAATTCTTTTTAATAGAACTCTTCCAATGATTAATTTGTTAATCTATACAATATTTTACCTTATCACCAAGGGCAGCCAAGTCTCGTTCAAGACCTTCATGTTTACGCTGGAGTCTTTGAACAGTGGCAAGGTCTTTGCCATAATCAGTTGTATCCAAAGCTCGGCTCTTCTCCTCAATCCAATCCAGAGTTTCATCAACATCTCTAAAAATACAAGTTTCATACACATTCAATTTCGATAAATCGGTTAATACCATATATATGTACGTACATGTACATAAAATTAGTAGTCTCAGCTACATTTGGACAATATTATATTTTCCAAATTGTATGATTCTATATTGTTTTTCAATGTCACATAGCATTTTTGAAGATAGTTGCTTGTTGCCTGGTTGAACTTCTTTATGCTCCTGGCGTTTCTCTAATTTTCATCTAGAGAATGAAGCTGGAATAACTCCTGTATAGTAAATCAAAGTAAATTGTAAAGCTGAGTTTTTCAGTTTTAATCGTGATAAAAGATCACATAATTTGCACATTCAATACCTATGGTATCGCTGGGTCTCATGGGAACTAGCTAGAGTCTCTGCACGCTCTGCTGTCACTTGCTGTAGTGCTGCCCATCGCTGATTCAAATCCTCAATCTGGACCCGGATCTTCTCTGCAGCCTCAGTTTGGCCCATAGCAGTAAGCCTCTCAGCAATAGTGTTCAACTCGACTAATCGGGCCTCATTAGCTTTCAAGTCATTTTGGAAATCATCAAACTTCTTCTGCTGGGCTTCAACTTGTTCCAAATCCTCAGCCACCTCACTGTGTACAGCATAGGTTTCCTAAAATGGCACATATAGAGTATCATTTCATGTTAGATTTAAGACATCTATGCTTATGTTAGCTTCAAGAATATTAAAGTTGAAAAGACAAAATAAAATATATAGATTCCAAAGATGAGGAGTATATATGTTAAGATTAAGAATAAATAAAATAAACTCTATAAAGATCTAAGATTAGATCTAAGATTTTGTGTAGTAAGCATGAACAGTATGAAATTAATAAACTAAATGACTTTCACTGTCTCAAAATATTTCAATGTTAGTTCACTTTATATTTCAATGTATCATAATCTATATGCAAGGAGGAATGCCTGATACCACATTCATATGAAACTTCAAATGAATAAATGTTGTGAGGGAATCATGGGAGCTAACCCTCCTTGCAAAGTATACACATGATTTTATGTGCCTAATAGAGCTAAAACTGGATCTATGTTCTAAACTAAAGAGGGTATCTGAATTTCTAAATGGAAAGTTTCTTATTGACAATTTTCTATTTTAGAAAAAGATGGGATTTAATTACATGTACATATTTTTTCTCTACTTGAACTGACATTTTTTCCAAATAGCAAGGAATGTCAATCACGTGTATAATCCATCACATAAGGCCTGAACAGATTAAAGAATATGTTTAAAATAGTTGGGACATTTTGCCATAAATTTTTTGTTCATTATAAAGCTGCTTGCAGTGAACTAGAATTTCATTGAAACAGTGATACAATATCAATAATTAAAAGTCACAGTACCATATACTAGTACTGTAATAGCATCACAGAGCAATGCCTCAGTACCGTACTACAATCACAGTACAATACCCTAGTAATGCACTATAAATCACAGTACAATTCTAGTACTGTACTAAAACCACAGCACAATAACGTAGAATTGAACTATAATCAAAGTACAATATCCTAGTACCATACTACAATCACAGTACAATACCCTAGTACTGTACTACAATCACAGTACAATCTGTACCCGAGTACTGTATTACAATCACAGTATAGTACTCTGTAGTGTACTACTGTACTGGTATCACATCACTGAACAATAGCACACAATTTCAAAAAATACAATAGCACAATTTTTCACACACGGGAAGATGATTTTAAGGAAATTATACTTCAATCAATATATAAGGAATTTTCGGGCCTACCTAAATATTTCTAATTTTCGGGCCTACCTATATATTTCTAATTTAACATGCTTTCACAAATTTCACCACTCACAGACTTGCATGCTGACTTGAGCCAATCTGTACTTTAGAGAGTTTTTGATTATAATTTCTGTTCTCCAAATGACTTACATCAAAAAGTCTCAAATATCAATACATACATATACATTAACACTCCTCTCAAACTAGTTCCAAGTCTGTGTAACATACCAACTAGTCCATATAACAAGACTAGTTTATGTAACAAGACACAGTCGTTGTAACCAGTTAGAGTGTTAAATATAATATGTTTGACTTTTCCAGAATTTCCAAAATTGGACATTTTTGGAATAATAAGGCTCTACTCCTATTTGCACATGTTGAAAAATTTGGTGTCAGGAAGTAAAAACAAGTTTCACAATTGAATCATTTTAAATTACATTTTGCTTTCTACTTTCTTTGGAATGAATGCTATTTTCTTATATCGTAACACCAAACATATTAAAGTGCACAGTACAAATCTCAACATTCTCAAACAACACATCACTTAAGTTGAGTTTCAATTTGTACTATAACACTATACATGGTTAATGCGCTGTGTATGTAAGCCATTGCCTAACAATGTTATTTCAATTTCACATTGGTTTACATAGCACAGTTCCCTGACATTTGACATTTTCACACTCACCATCTAATGACGGCACAAATTCAAATAAATTCAAAATGAACACACATTTTAACCTGAGTTTCAATTAAAACTTAAAACCACAATATAAAAGTTAATCAATACACCTGTTGGAAAACTGTAGATCTTATCTTTATGAAATCTTTCTACTATTCCAACAAATGTTTACGCTTATAATATAGGAGATTTTATAATAGATGACTTCGTGGAATATAACATGTTAGTATTCTATCACACTAGGTATAAACTATTTGTTTGCTATCATGACTGTTTGCATGCGTTACTATTGCAATGGTATGTTACTATAGTAATTGTGTGACAAGCTGAATTGTTACCGTAACAACTGTAGTACTCTAAAAATAATGACAAATAATACGTAGAAAATCATCATGATTTAATCATACAGCGTCTAAGAAGCAATTGTTTTAAAGTAAATTCTTTATTTGAATATATTGTCTAATTCTAGGGATATCACAGGACAAAAATAAACCGTGACATCCCTTTCTTATTCTAAACTGAAGACAAATTTTAAGATGACATATTAGTTTCCTTTAATATAATTGCTATTTCAAAAAAAAAATTATTATTTGAACATTACCGTACTTGAATTTGAGTTTTTTAAAGATACAGAAGTCATAAATAGGAGATAATAATATATGATGCTTAATCTTTGTATATCAGACCAGAGTCAAATTTGAATGAGTGATGTGTACTGAAAAAAGGTTTGGTATAACAGTACCAGATCTGCTAAGAACAAACCATATAATCTTAGAGCTATTACTTGTAAAATATTGTGAAATATGATTTGTGAAATGAACTCATCTTTTTGGTTTCACTAAAGTAATATCAACAACTGGATTTCAAGAAGTCTTATTCAGGATATACAGAATACTATAAGAAAAACTTTACTCTTATTCTTATATAATATACTCATACATATACACTTGTATAAAATGTGATCCAATTTTTATAGTAAGGAAGTTTCAATACATGACACCCAGAGAATGAAAGATTTGTATCATGATTCGTTTTTCTTTTCATTTAATGTCATAGGATAAATATTATATACGACTAAATCTAAATTAATTACAAAATCTAATAGAAAAGATTGATAAGATAATATAATAGATAAGTTTGAAGAAAAGATTCAATCAATCAAATATCATTCAATACAGAATATAAAGGTTTTATCTTAACTAATCACCCACCGGTATGTTAGTCTTATCATATGAAAAAGTAATAGTACAACATTAATATGTATTCTATGAAGCAAATGAGAATAATTGACTTGGAAAAACTCCACCTCTAAAACCATAGTATTCTCTAAATAAAAGAGCTAATATTAGTTAAAACAAGGACATGACATCTTATTAATGTTTGAAAATATGTTTGTAAAATTTTAATTTCATCACCAAATCTCCCCACTGGCTAAAGGCATTTCTCTTGCATATTTTGACAAACATTAATATAGATCATGGTCCCTAAAGCTCTTATATTAAAAGTATTCACATTTTAGCTATAAACAATATTTTAAGTTATTTATATTACATAAAAATAGAGACATTTATTGACAACATTCTTACTGGTAACTAAATAAGAGTAGCCCTGAACCTGTATGTTTTGAATGACATTTATTCCACAATAAAGAGCAGAATTATATCAAGGACAATAGTCCATTATCTTAAGGATTAACATGACAAAATGTTAGAACCTGGTTGCAATTACAGAAGAGTAATACAGACAAAGAATGCAAATGCTGATATTGATGCTGGTCATAAAGACAGTGGCTATGACGATGCCATCTATCAATGGAAATAATTGTCATTCATAAACACAAATCATTAGATTTTCCAGAACAGACAGTGTTGAGATTTTATAAAACTTCAAATGTGAACTCATGTAGAATTGCTAGATATCCCCTGTAATAAATGTCCCCTTTAGTGACCTTACTTCAACTATTTTTTTTATAGTTTATACTCAATCAGAGCTAGAAATGAAGGCAGACTATTATTACTGGGGGACCATAATTACTGTCACCAGGTTAAAAATTCTTGGATATTTCTCACCTTCTCTGTGATCCATTGGGTGAGCTCTCCTGCTTCACGTACAAGCTGGTAGGCCTTGCAGGACTCTTCAAGTTTCTCCCGACGTTGTTTGCCAAGGTCCAGAAGGTTCTTGTACCTTGAAACAGTGATTTTAAAAATTTATTTCTGAATTCTACATTAATTTCTTATATTCAAATGTACAATTTGCCACTTCTTTTTGTAAAATTCATTGATATATATGTACTGCATCACTAAATAACTCAAACAATATAGCACCAAAGGGTGCAATAAAAACTACAAAACTCAAACATTTTTCAACACTGAGTTGAAAGAAACAATGTATTTTCCACTCAATTTTGCCATGGTTGATGTTATTATTATTGCATAAAATAGAGACAGATGGCTCACTGGTCTTCAATCTGCTTTTGGCGCACAGAGATGGTGTATTCATCAACAAGGTTTTGCTGGCTGGCTGTCAATCCAGAGTCAATCTTCTTGACGTAAGCAGCAGGTACGAATCCCTGGCGATCATTCACCTCAACCTTCCACCAGTCCTTAAAGTCAAAAGCAAGGTTGAATCTCGAATATGATTGCTTAAATCTTGGCAATATGTGCTTAAATCTCAGAAATGAATGCTTCAGTCTAGGATAAACGTGTTTAATCTAATGAATCTCAAGAATGGATGCTTAGATCTCAAAAATTAAAACTTGGTGTTTCAGGAGTGATTACTTGAATCTTAGAAATGAATGCTTCTCTCCAATAAGTATAAATTCAGAAGAAAAAACCTAAATAAAATACCTTGTTTGAGCTATTGAGGAGGGTCAGGACGTCTCCTTTCTTCATGGACACCTCTCTTGGACTCTTCTCGGCATAGTCATACAGTGCAACTACACATTCTTTACCAATGTCATCTACTATGGGGGCCTCTTGTTGCTGAAATGGGATCAAGGGAAAAAATATATACAGCTCAAACCATTTGACAAATCAGAATTGCACATGGAACTTTAATCAATGAATTGGGCAAGAATACATGATAAGGACAATTTTTTTCTTCATTTTGGTCATTACTTCGATAGAAAACTCCAGAAATCGAGAAATCGAACATTATTCTAGTTCCAATAAATCGGTCCATATCAAAACTTCAGTCTTCATATTCATGACAGATAGAAAGTTACCTTTACTTCTTATCTATTCCTTCAATGAACTAGTTCCACATAAAAGCTTTCATACTGTCATTAATAAGAAACATGAATTGAATTAACAAAATGTCAATAATAAATATGACTATTACACATCTTGAAAATGGATAACGATTAATTCTAGTTGGCAAAAATATCTAAATATTTCCATACCTTGCAGGCCAAGGCTTGTTCCCTGATGCTTTCAATACTAGTGCTGTAAGCCTCAATGTCAGCCATGAGGGCCTCATGTTTTTTCAACAATGCCTCAGCAGAATCCTCATCTTTACCGCAGTCGTTGTTCCCAACGATTGGCTCCTTTTCTCTCATCCAGGTCTCAGCTTCGTTGGCATCTGCAAAATAGGCCTGGGCTTGGAGAGAATCTTCAAGATCTTCTTTACGCTTGGCTGCTTTTTCCTGGAAAACAGAGAAAGACATAGTTATACACAAGGTAGTTCAACCTGAAATATGTCTAGGCCGGCTATTCAATAAATATAAAATCTTACAAGATGGTGCCCTATTGTTCAAAGAAGGTCAGAAAATGAATCGAACTGAATTGCTTTTTAAGTTTTTTATTAGATAAATTGCATTATGTTTTGAAGTTCTACATTCACTTCAATTGATCATTTACAGGTATTGGGCAATTATTTGTGGCAGTTTTGTTAAAATAGCAAATACACTCAGCATTAAGTATATCTCTATACCTTTAGGTTCTCCCACTTCTCCAATAGACTGGTGGTGCGCTCTTGGATATCCTCCTGGGCGAAATGTCCATCATTGATCATCTCCTGCCCCTGGGAGCACACAGCATCAATACGGTGCTCGTGTCCCGCAATCTCTGTTTGCAGCGCCTGGTGTTTTTTCATCAGATTCTGGACTCCAATTAAATCTCGGCCACGGTTTGTTGATGCTGCAATTGGTTCCTTTTCTCTGATCCAGTCTTCTTCATCTTCTACATCACGGAAGAATTGTTGAAGTCGAAGAGCATCAGCAAGTTTGGCACGCTTGTTTTCAATTGGATCCTGGAACATTATGAAGAAAGCGATCAATTTACATGAAAGTAAGTTATAAACCAACTCAGGGCATTCACCATGAATTTCAACAGACTTAATTTTAAAGATTGAAAAAATTCCAACAAAATTCTGTATATTTTTGGCTACATTTTAGTTGTTAAGGTCTAATCAAAATTTTTATCAACTATCGAGAACTTAGAGGTTGAATATTCTGCATGAGACTTCAAATTCAAATTCATTGGTTTATTATTTGTACATTATATTAATTCTACGTACCTTCAGTGCAGAATACCGGTCAACAATTTGAGCCTGTTTAGCTTTGATGTTATCAGCTTCAAAATGGCCAGCCTGAGCATATGACTCTGCAAGATTGACAACAGCGTCAATTCTCTCTTGATGGGATGCTACATCAGCCTCCATCAATGTATGCTTCTTCTGAAGGTTCTGAACACTGGTCAAGTCCTGTAATAATTTCAATTCTTTAAAACAATGTTAAAACAATAAGGCATTGATAAAAATGGCACTGTTGTTGTGATTCAAGCAAAATACCACATAATTACTTTTGGTAAGGCTGTTTCATTTGCAAGAATTGCGACAATCATTTTGTGAACATTCTTTTATAGGGTGGTCCAAAAAAAGTGAACCCCTGCAACAGGCTATAATTTTCTTAATACATGCATGAATTGGCTCATATTATCACATGTTATAGAGAAAGGTCTAAAATTTTGGTTGATGCCATAATTTATTCTCAGTCTTAAATTTTGAAAAAATTACAAGCGTTTAACAAACATGCCTGGAAATTAGATATTGTACAAAATTTTACAAATGTGATTCATGAAAATTGTTGAAACACATTGGATGATCTTAAATAGCTTTCAGTTAGAGATACAAGTTTAAAACCCTACCATATGACAAAAGGGACACTATTCAAGCAGAAAACACATTTCACACTTTAATTGATCATTTTGAAGCATTTTTAACTGTTCAACAGTTCAGGGGTATGTTACCTACACCAACAGTTAGAGGGGGGCCTCTTGTGGAAGGAAGTTGCCCCCTGTGACCAGGAATCTGACAACCCCTTCATCAAATATCTTTAAAAAATCAAAAGAAAATCCAATATTCAATGTTTTGAGCCATATATCATTAGAATTGGTCCATGATTTATGAAGATATTGACATTTCAAGATCATATAGGGGTATGTTCATGATTTCACTGAAAAATGTTTTCGTCTGTGGAAGCTTGGCACATCTCTTTGGATCACAATAACTTTGCAACTAACAAATGCAGGATGCTAGTTTTAAGCCATAATGTGCAAGATTTAAAATTGAACAAAGTCAGAAAATATTAGTTCTTTAAGACTGCAGCTCAAAAAATTCTCAGGGGAAAGGTGTTAAAGGGTTGAAGAATCGCAGATATTGAAAATCACAATTTGTCCATTTTCAGTAATGTTTGGTCAGGGCTTATAATTTCTGCAAATTTCAAAACTAAGAAAAATGTATGGTACCAACATAAGTTTTAGACCTTCCTCTACAACATGTGAAAATAAAAAATAATTCCTGCAAGTAATAAGGGAAATATGGCCAGTTGCAGGGGCTCACTTTTTTTGGACCACCCTGTAAAAGAAATTTGCAATTCAAAGAGAGTAACATGCCATGGATGGGGTATTCTTGGTAAAACATTTTCAATTTTCATTAACGAGCCATTATAAGAGTTAAGAAATGAACTTGAATCTGGAAAGTAATCTAATCATTCTTCAAAAGTATTTCTAATATTGAAATGCAAAAATACATGGATATATAATGGATTAATATTAAGAAGACCTTTTTAAACTATTTTACTTAATATTCACTTGACATTCTAGAACTAAACAGTTTAAAACACAATCTAATATATTGTTAATTACTGTACATGTATATCTATTTTAAACAATACTCTCTGCACCTTAAAGGATGAACATATTCCTAACTAGCAAAAGTAGAATTACCTATAACTTGAAATGTTGAAAAGTTAAAAACCATGCCTTTCAAACGAGCTTTGTTGAACAAAACATGCCAATATACATGTGACGTAACATTATATTTGAACACTAAGCACATCTGAACTGAGCAAGGCATGGTCATGAATTACAAATAGCTCCACCAATAATAATTTCCCAGAACCAGATTCTAAAAATATTTTGAAGTTCTACATCTGAAATTCAACTGCCCAACATGGTATCATATTAGACTACTAAATTTCATAAATTACACTTAACTATTTGTAATGAGATACAGTCAAATTATAATCCCCCACCAACCAGACTTTAATTAATATTTCTTCTTCACTAAAAAAGCATACCAATAAACCAATATCGCCTCTGAGCTACCAGTAATATGTGTACTAACTGTACCATGCATCACTCAGTTCAGATACCCTAACTTTGTAACATTACATGAAACAGATCAGTACTAATATGACATAGACCAGTACTAATATGATGTAGACCAGTACTAATATGACAGAGATCAGTACTAATATGACATAGATCAGTACATATATGACAGAGATCAGTATATATTTGTTTTAGATCAGTACAAGTATATCAGAACAAATATGATGTAAATCAGTGTATAAATGACACAGATAAGTACAAATATTACACACATCAGTATATGTAAAATATTTGATGCACATCAGTACAAATATGACATAGATCAGTACAAATATGACATAGATCAGTACAAATATGACACCGATTAGTATAAATATGACATTGATCAGATCAAATCTGTCTGGCTTGACTCTCTGGCCAGTGCTCTTCACAGCACGAGTCACATATATGACAACACACCAAACAATGACTAGTTATTATCAGTCATAATATGGAAGAACAATATACATGTAGTAAGAAATAGTCATTGTATTATATAGTTTAAATCTAACATTAAGCAAAGCCCCGTTAGCCTAGATACTGACCATGTACCAATTGAAATGTACAATACAGTACATGAACTTTGAATTAAGGGAAGTAAAATATAACAAATGTGTACTGAAAATGCAGCTTTTCTTTCAAAGGTGTGTGTAAATTATGGTTCTGGAAATTGGTGAGAATAAAAAAGCAAGAATAAAGAAATGTGTGCACGATTCATTAACTAGGATTCAGTGCTTTTAGAAAAGCAAAGTTAAAAGATAAAACCTTACACCAAATTCAAACCAAAGTACTTCCATTCAAGAAAAAAAGTCAATTAGCCAGTTCTAGAAAGTACTGCTGAACATCAGAATCCCAAAATTCTAAAACACCTAAATAAGGCTTAACAAGTTTCAATTCACAAACATTGACTAACTACAGTAGACTTGGACTTTATTAAACAAGGCCTCCAAACATAGGTAGACAAGGCCTTTTTGAATGAGGCGGGCCACGTACAGATAGATCAAATGTTGACAAGACTATTTTGTGAACTTATAAATAATCAAGATATTGTCAACTAAAGAGAGTATAAAGAATTGACAAAGAAAACACCTTACCCATGAAGACACAAGGTCAAAGGGAAAGACCATTTAATAAACAAGGCCTAAACAATGTTATCAGGGCTAATGAGAGAGGCCGTTCAACAAACAAGGCCCAAACACCCGTAGACAGGGCCAATGGGAGAGGCCTTTAAACAGCCAAGGCCTTAACACATGTAATCAGGGCCAATAGGAGAGGCCTTTGGAGAGACAAGGCCCAAACACATTTAGACATGGCCGATGGGAGAGCCATTTGGACAGATAAGGCCCAAACACATATAGACATGGCCAATGGGAGAGGTCTTTGGACAGACAAGGCCCAAACACATATAGACATGGCCAATGGGAGAGGCCTTTGGACAGACAAGGCCCAAACACATATAGACAGGGCCAATGGGAGAGGCCTTTGGACAGACAAGGCCCAAACACATATTGACAGGGCCAATGGGAGAGGACATTGAAACAGTCAAGGCCCAAACAAACACAACTTCAACCAAAAAACTTGTCAATAAGCCCACAATTACACACATATGTTATATGTCAAATATCAAAACATAATATTATTATACATTATAAGGAATAAGAATATATAACAAAGCTGAAGTGCATTTAAACACTTATTTCTGGACCCAAGGGCTGTATGAACAAGCCACAAGAACTGCCAATTATGGAAGTCAACTCTTCGTTAATCTCTGGGTTAACAACCGATAATGGCCACGATATCTTGGAGCTGTCTCTTGTAAGCAGGTGAGATATCAGGGGTAAGTTTCTCAAAAAGACATCAATTACCATCAGCAGAATCACTATTTGCATTGTTTTTTTTAGAAACAGACCCCTGGTTTTCTCAAGAAGATCAATAAAAATGTATGTTGACCCTTGGGTTCCAGAAGTAGTGCCAGGCCACCAATTAAGCCACTATAACAATAACTCACTCCTTTAACGCCCATCTAAAGAAGTAAAGGGAAAGAAAAGAAAGTAGTGTTAGAGAGAAAGATAAAGGGTTGATAAATAAATATTACGCCTCTCTGCCTAAACAAAGTACATATTTTTTTTACTTAAAATCATTTTTTCTGGTGTTTTGTGCCTTCTAATTTTAATCTATCAATGGAAGATATTACCCATAATGCTAAGCAAGAACAACTTGCATAGGCTTATGGGAAAAGGTACTTAAAGCAAAAGCCTATGAAAATGACTTTACATGTTGAGAATAATTACAGTTGTCTATTTTGAAGAGTTTCATCCACATATCACAAAATTTAATGTTCAGGCAGACAGAACACAGTTTCAAAATTATCTATAAGTTAAAGTTATCGAAATAATTATTCAAAATAAAATTCACAGCATCATGGAAAGATGACAATGGTGCCATTTGTATTCAGTTTTGCACTTGAATAATGTTAAGGTTTATTTTATTACTTGCATCTAGCTCCATTATATGAAAGCCATGTACTTCATGCTTTTTGACTAAAAATTCTTTAAATCCTGAGCTATGCTTTTCATAGTAATCTTACATGTTTTAGGAATAATGACGAACATTTTTTTCCAGTTTCTTCAGTATCTTTACAGAAGCTTTGGAGTTGCTCCTGTCATTCTTTGGTGTTACAAAAGCATGTCTCAAGTGACATTTAAATATAGAATCTTGCCATGTATTTGTCCATGATGCTCAAGATTACTACTCTAATGTTAACGCAACAAACAATATCAAGAATATGTTATAGCACATTACAATATAGATGGCAATATACAGCATATATGTGTGAGGTTACAAGACATCTATGATAAAATCATCACAGCCAATCCACAGGAATTCTCTCCTTATTTGAGCAAATCATCATTATTCCTTACAACATTAGGCTTTGATGTTCAACAATTTGGTTAAATTTATAGCATAGAAATCAAGGTATTTCTTCATTAAAGACATACATGTACATACCATACAGGCCTATTTTCGTAACATAGTGTAGGTATATTAAAGTGGCCCAATTTTAAATTGCCAAATTTTTTTCACACAAAAAGTACTCTTATATATTAGTGGTTTTAGATTAAAGACAAGTAACCATTGGACCAGAGGACCATGGGGTAGTTTATAATTTCAGTTTCTCTTAATCTTCAAAAGGGCTGTATGAGGTACATGTATTTCATAGTAGTAAAATACCAAGATATATGAAGCGGATTGAGCAACCAAACATTACTATAACTAATTAAATATAAATCCAGAAGATGTTAACCTGCAATAGGCTTTTAACATGTTATTTTCACCATTTTATATCATCATCGAATAGCATGCCAATGTTACAAGGAATCTACATACATAATGTTAAAATGAGTGTATTTAGAAGTCCCTGAAGTTACATGTATTACAAAACCAATATAAACAGGACTGACTCAGTCCACAACAAAGGATTTACTTCTGTAATGCAACTAATCATGGTCAAGTTTACTCCACCAATCATGAAAATGTTAACAAACTGCTCAATTTTCTAAATTCTTATAAAATAGAGTTTTTCTATGAAAATCTGTTAAATGGGCAGGTATCAGGCCCCAACAGTTACATAGCATTTGACAGTATGTATGTAGATACAAACACAACACCTACAATACAAGGTTACCAGTATATGCGATAGTGTGCTTTACTATACATATGCAAAATATGCCCTCATAAAACACAATAATATACCCTCAATACACACACATTAATATGCCCTCATACATACCTTGCCAAGATCCTCTGAGGTGATAACACCCTCAGATTCTGCCAGCCAAACCTCAAGATCTTCAACATTGCGGTTGTACTGCTGAAGATCACTTGCATCCTTCAGTTTGGAGCCTTTACGTTCACTTTGCTCTACAAGTTGAGCCCAGAGACTCTGAAGCTCATCCAAGTGGTCTCTGGAATAAACATAAACAGATCAATGAATTTCAGATGTAATTTGTGAGAATTGTTAGAATTACTCCTTTGATTAACCTTGGTATCAATATCATTTTTACAATAGCAGGGTTCGTACACCTTTTTCAAAATGAATTTCCCTGACATTTCCCTGACATTTCCAGGCAAAAAAAGAAATTTCCAGATCTAGTTTTCCTTGCACGGCCTCTAAAAAGTCTCAAACTATATTATTTAAAAGACAAGACTTATTATGAAACATTTCGGTTTGTCTTTTAGTACCATTTCTCATGACTCAACTTTACTTTTACAGGCCGTCTTATTCACCAATTTATTCCTGATACATTATATTCCTAATTTTACATATTTACAAAGGTAAACATACATGTACAGGGGCATAGTCAGCATGTGTCAAGGGGATGCATTTTTGGGGGTTTGCATCACTGCGAGTGAAGGAAACCCAAAGGGGGGTACGGGGGAAATTTTTCAAAATTGACAATTGTATATGGTGCATTCTAAGCATTTCAAACTATAATTTGTTAATGTTTTGTAATGAATCCAAATAAAACCAGAACAATGGCAACGCGTAGCGAATCCCATCGAACAGAAATGGCTGGCATTTTTACATTTGAAATATATAGCAAATATTATAAAATAACACCCATAAGAAAGGCCACCATTTTCAAAATGGTTGATCACTAGCCAAGTTGTCATCAGAAGAAGTAATATGCTTTTAAGTAGCCACATATAAAATTCTTAAAAAATCGCCAATGCTGGCCATTTTTTTAAATTGCCGCTTACTACCCAAAATGTCATAAGACAGTATGCAATCCTTACGAGTATTCACATATCAAATACGAACAAAATCGCTCTATTACTTTTTGAGTTATAATAAAAAATGTAAAATAACACACATAAAAATGGTGGCCATTTTTCAAAATGGCCGACTACTCCCCAAAGTTTTATTAGACAATGTGCCATGCTTAAAGTATTCACATATCAAATATGAACAAAATCGCTCCACTACTTTTCAAGTTATCGTAAAAAATGTAAAAGTGACAGCCATTTTTTAAAATGGCCGCCTACTACGCGAAGTGTCATGAGAGAGTGTGCAAGGCTCATGAGTATTCACATCTCAAATATGAACAAAATCGCTCCACTACTTTTCAAGTTATAGTAAAAAATCATAAAAATGGTGGCCATTTTGAAGAATGGCCGCCCACTACCCAAAGTGTCATTAGACAGTGTGCCATGCTTATAGTATTCACATATCAAATATGAACAAAATCGCTCTACTACTTTTTGAGTTATAGTAAAATATGTAAAATAAAACAAGTAAAAATGGCGGCCATTTTTCAAAATGGCCACCTACTACCCAAAATGTCATTAGACATTGTGCCATGCTTTAAGTATTCACATACCAAATATGAACAAAATCGCTCCACTACTTTTCAAGTTACATTGATATCCTATCATAGCCTTAACAGTATTTTGCTAGAACATTATTTTTTCAACAATGATACAAAATTCCCTGACATTTCCCTGACACATCTACTGTTTCAAAATTCCCTGACATTTTTTGCCCTTTTTGACCCAATTTTAAAATTCCCTGACATTTCCAGCACCTGGAAAAATAAATCAATTTCCCTGACATTTCCAGGTGTGTACGAACCCTGAATAGTCAGTAGCCTTTAGTTTTCTTAAGTAAAATCTTAGGCATTACTTATCTAAAACAATTTATGACTAAATTATCAAATAAAACATCATATCATATATACTTGACTCTTACAGGCACTTTAGATTAAAGTAGGGTTGAAAATTTTCTTCAATAAATCCATACCTGATCTGCTCTTTAGCAAAATGGTCAGATTCAATTAACTCTCCACCAGTTTTGGTGACACCTTCAATGCGGCTCTGGTTGGCTTGGAGTTCAGCCTCAAAGTTCTGGTGTTTCTGCACTTTGCCTTGAAGGTTGGTAGGGTCCTAGAATGAGTGAGATTATATATATTGTCTGAGGTCATTGTTTCTTTAAAACATTAATTTTTTTATAACTCCTACTAATAGAAATATACCTGGAACGATATCTTTCTATCATTTAGAATTGAAATTTTCTGAATATGGATTTGAAAATTCATGAAAATAATCATACATTTTTAAAGCCAATCTATGATCAAAATGAAAATTGGTGCAAACATGTATGACAGTTAGTGACTCTTACCATGTAACTTTCATCACTAGCAGTCTTGAGTTTCTCATTGATCCAGCCCTTGGTTTCATCGTAGTCACGTTCGAATATCTGGTAGCGGTAAGATTCTTCCAGCATGTGGCGTCGTAGAGTTGACTTCTCATAAAGAGCATTGCGACGAGCCAGAAGCTATAAAATATAAATGTTTACTAAGTTAAATTTCACAAACAATATGACTTCATAATACCATATCTATATAAGCTTTGACTGATCAGTAAGAGGTGAAGATTATGTCTATTGAGGGTCTATATTTGAAAATTTCAGTGGTTGATTTTGAAATCATTTTAGGAGGGGAGAAAATGTGATATTTTAAGACTGGCTCAAAACAAAAGTTGAAATGTACTCACAGCATCCCTACGCTGAGCCACATCATCTGCAGCGTAATGTTCATTCTCAATTAGCTTAGTAGCAAACTCATCAAGCGCCTTGATCTTCTCCTCTTGGGCAGCCAAGGATTTTTCGAAATCTTCATGTTTTTTGATGAGCGCCTCAACGCTATCAAGAGAATCTCCCAGGTCCTCATTGGTCAAGAAAGCTTCCTGTTTCGTCATCCAGGTGTCAGCTTGTTCTGCAATTCATGAAGGGACAAGGTTAATAAACAATAACAAGCAAACATTCAATAATACACATGTGTTTTGTATTGTTTTGGCAAGGAGGTGGTAAAAGTTTTTATGCTTTATTAACATATATCAAATTAGGAGGTGACTTATAATTTGAGAACTTAAATATATGTTCTATAATATCTTAAATGTCATATTGACAAAGTATACAGAAACTGCCATTATGTGTTTACTGTAAAAGAATTATACTGAAGTTTAAACTATTGTAAATTACAAAAGTGTAACAATGCAGACACTGAATCAAATGATGCATAACCAACAAACCTGTGTCTCTGTAGAAGAGCTGCAGGTCCATGCACTGTTCATACAGGATGCGTCTCTCCTCCCACAGATCCAACAAGCCAGTCTTCTCGTTGGCCAGTGTCACAAGCTTTTCCTTCACTTCCTCAACGGCATAGTGCTCACTTTCTAGAAGCTTCTGTCCGGCCTCGGCGGTGGCACGGAAACTGTCCTCTCTAGCATCAATCTCTCCCTAAATGAAAATGTTGATTAATTTTTTGAAATTCAATTCATAAATACAAATATAAGTAAAAAATAAATGAAATTTTGGGGAAATGGTGTTCTGATTTCTAGAGGAGAGGTATACCAAGTATTTTTTGGAAGATATTCCCTGTTTAGGAAAATTGCAAATCTAAAATTTTGTTTATCAGTAACGTACCTTATGTTCTTGGTGTCTCTCCAACAGAGCCTCTGCTCCAGCAACATCTTTAGCCAAATCATCGGCAGAAATGATGGCTTTGATGTCATAGATCCAAGAGATCAAATCTCTGTACTCAGCAAGGAAACGATGAAGGTAGTATGAATCGTCTAGGCGGGATTTACGTTCGGCGGCCTATAAAATAGAACAGAGAATTGATTAATGGGAGTAGAAAGGGTAAATTTCAAAGAATTAATGACAATTTACAATATTTTTGCATTTATCATTCTGTTTGTGTAAATCAAAATAAGAACAAAAAAGGAATGACGAAAATAAACATATTGCTTACTAAAACCGAATTAAAATGATCAAAATATTTAACTATAGTACTTACTTTCCCACTCAGGCGGTCCCAATCTTGCGCAATCTCAGTTTGTTTCTGGCGGATCTGATCTTGCTGGTCAGGGTGGCTGTCACAGAGGCGGTCTGCTTCTCCACTCAGGGTCTTCACTTTCTCTTCCAGGGCATTAAGGTCACGCTCTACACCATCGTGTTTACGCTGAAGAGCCTGGACGCTGGCGAGGTCACGTCCATAGTCGTCAGATGAAATAATGGCTTCCTTTTCAGTAATCCATGCGATTGTCTCATCAGCATCCCTGTTAGGTTAAAGAAGTTATTAATTAGAAATTGATGGAAAATCATTTTGCCAAGAAACCCGCTAGCCAAGTAGTATAACTAGTCTTGATTAAGGCCCCCCAATTAGCCATTAAAACAGGATACATAAAATCACACATCTTTCTAGTGTTTTGAGGACAGATGAGATAAAGTATATAATATAATACAGCCTACCTATTGAAATGTTGGATCTCATGGGCACCATAGAGTCTCTCTTGGCGTTGGAGAGATAATTGGCGGAGTCTCTCCCATGCTTCGTTCAACTCTTGCTGGCGGCGTGAAATAGTTTCTTCATCTGGGTGTCCTTCTTCTAAAAGTTTAGCTCCGAGTAGGTTCACCTCGTTTACCCGATCTTCGTGGTTTGCTAGATCCTAAAAATTAAATAATTCAAAACATTGAACAAAATTATCTAGAACTTGATTTTCAACATTTTAAGTTACACATAAAAGAATGAGTCAATAAAATAGTATACTTTTAAAACATTAAGATTTGTTTCACAGAATTTTAAATACTAAATGATTCAGGAAAAAATGTGAGAAAATCAAAGACGATACCTTGTTGAATTCATCGAATTTCTTCTGTAGAGCCTCAACGTGCTCCAAATCTTGACCAATCTCACTTGACGACACGAAAGCCTCTTTATCAACAATCCAGAACATAACCTCATCGCATTCCCTCAAGAATTGGACCAATTGGAGAGACTGTTGGAGTTTTTGTCCCTTCTCGGCTAGTTTACGTAGAAGAAGGTCCCATAGGCGGTGGAGCTCTTCTAAACGTATCTTGATCGTCTCAGATGCGTAATGTTCTTCATTCATCATCCCAATTCCAGTCTCGTCCAATTGTTCCAAGGCATTGCTGTGGGCGGCAACTTCTGCCTCGAAAGCCTGATGCTTCTGGATCTTTGCCTATAGTGAAAACAACATTTCAAACTTTAAGCCAATTTAACATAATAGAATGGGGATATTTGACAATTCAGTCTCTTATGATTTAAAGGATGCATGGTTTCACAATATAAGCACAGATTATAATAAAGAACATGAATTATTTGTAAAATGACATATAAATGAAAGGACAATAGATTGATATGAAAGGATTGACCATGCATATCATTTAAGGGAGATTACAAGGAAGTCCTCCAAATCTTATAAATCAAGGTCAATTACAAAATTGGTATATTGCATATAAAACCAGATTTGCATTTCTGGGCAGTACCCTATCCCCAATTATTTTTTACAAGAGAGCGTGTGAAATGAACATATGGGCTCAATATATGATATGGGCAATCTCAGAATTTTTATAAGAACCTAGACATATGCAGTCATGTACAATATTTTTAGAGTTTTTATAGCGAGGAAAGTGACCTAAAGCTATTTGACTGAAGAAAAATAAGGGAGGTAAGTTTAAAGTTTCTACAACTCGCATTTCAAAGCCTTATGAGTAACTCAGACTAAAATATAAGCAAATGTATGCGCAAGATTTCGCATTAACACAAAAATGTTCATTATCAAAAAATATTATAGACACGAGCCAGAAGTTACAGCTGGAGGATATATCATATATGATTCACCAGTCACATGACTGGTTTAAACCTATCAGATAAGGGCATTTGATGTGTTAATGACTTAGGTATTTTGGGGTTATGTGTAACTTGATATGTGGGATTTCTTATCTTGTTACTAGTTATACATTAACATGCTGCTGTGTAGCATAAACTTAATATAAGGGATGTAATGATTTACTTATTTCTTCCAGTATATTTTCAAAATATCTATTCAAAATGGATCGTTTCACTTTTGCCTGCATCTTCATTCTATGAATAATATTATGATAAAAGAACTGATAAATCATTCAATCAAAAATAGTAAAGCCTTGTTTAATGAATTGTCTGTAAAAATGAGATGGTAACACTAATATTGGTTTGGTCACATCTGGTGTTATTTAATTACATCTTTTTCCTTCATGTAGCCATCAGGCGCAATCTATGATGATTGAATTATGGGGCATACCAACCCCCTTCATCAGCACATCACACCTGCTCTTACAAAAACCATCATGGTATTACTTATCCAAATAAGAGGGATATGAAAATAAATGTGTATGAGAGATCGTCAAAATGATGATTTCTTCAAATTACAAGCACAGGTATTATTTTCAGCAGTTCTCATGGTATTATTTTCTCAAGACAAGGCTAATACAGTGTAGTTAGGTTTATTAGAAGGTTGGATGTCTAGAACAGATGAGGCTATGCTATGCTGTATCTAAAAATAGCACATTTATTCTGCATAATCTCCTCCACCCAGTGTTGTATCTTGTAACATGATTCAAGATAGCTGATACATCTAACTCTACTCAGGGTGTAGCGAGATTTTCTCAAAGCTCTACTCATCACCACTGATGCCAGAAACTGGACTATGACTCTTTCCTAAATACTTAAGAGTGGGGAGGGGGTGTAATATGATATTATGTCCATCAATAGGGTTGCTCCAACGTTTTTAAATCAAAATTCCCTGAGTGAACGTTGAATTTTCCCTGAGTGAAGATTCTTTATATTTATTTAGTCTCTTACAGACTTTCAGCTTGCACTGATTCAATCATTACATACTATTGATAATATGAATGTGTTATAATCAACCAATATTTCCTGCTCAACTCTATCTGGATTATCTCAACTTGTGGAATGCATAATATATTGATTACATCTCTATGTTGCAGTACCACATATGTTATTTCATTCTAAACAGAAGCAAATATACATATGTGCGTGAAGTCTGTATATAAAGCATTAATGCATCATTACATTCACAGCCTCTTGTTTTTCAGAGAACTTTTTGTAACTGACTTTTTCAATCAATCGGAGTCAGATAATATATTCATGTAACCCCTTTCCCCTCCTGTTATATGGAACTAAGATGACTGACCAGAAATGCAAGGGATCGTTAATGAATATATAACAAACTTAAAACCTGGTACACTAGGTTTTAAAACACTCATTTGCTTCTAGTTTATTTTACTTCACTCAAATAGCCCCATTAAAGCTTAAAGTGATTTCATCATTGACCTCTATCCTATGTGCACTTGTTAATAAAGGCAGATTTGACTACTCAACACACCTGAAGGTTGGTTGGGTCCCTCCAGCTCTCATCAGAGGCGGCTTGCAACTTCTCGTTGATCCAGCTTTCCAGCTCATCAGCGTCACGCTTGAAATACTGGTAGCGGCGGGCATCTTCCAGCATCAACCTACGACGTTTGGTGGCATCTTTGAATTGCTCATAGCGGGTGAGGACCTGGGAACGTCTCTCTTGTATATCTTCCTTTGTCTCAAGGATCTTGATCTCGCGGGGTGGCGCTACTTCTCCCTCCATCTTGATTTACTACAAATATAAAATGAGATGCAAAATCAAATGTAGACAAACACAAAAAGTTCAAAAGTTAATCGATATAGAGTGTGACCCCATTGATCCTTCAGGCGGTTTTTAAAAAATGTTAGCCTGAAAAATTAACCAAAACTATATAATGTAGCTAAGTGTCTCATTCCTGACTTAAAAGCAATATATGTAAAAGCAAAAAGCTAAGTTAAATTCTACCTGACTTCCAAACTTGAACGATGTATACCAGAATGCAAAAAAGGGCATAAAGAAGTGCATATGCCACAAATAACAGAACTATATATAGCAAGAATATGTCCGGGTGTTCATCAAGAAAAGGACAGATTTTCATGAGTTAAATCTCTAAGAATCAATCTCCTGCAGTCTCATTGAGTGTTAATATCCTGGTGAATCATTCCTATCTTGCAAAATATGCAAAAGCATCAAATATTCCTTTCATAGTAAATCCTAACTCCTGGTAATATTCTAGCTTATAAATAAAATCCCATATGATATCTAATTCAGATATATATGATACCCCTTGAATATATACTGCGCAGTGATCTAAGTAATTTCTTTGATTTCATGCAGTGGGACCATAAAATGAGGAAAATCAATACCTTGCCAGCATACAGGAATAAAAATGTTACTAATAAATGCAGACTCTAGGCAATCGATATATGTGTCTGCCATTATGTTTTCCTTCCGGTATGGTTTATATTCAGCATTTTGTATTGGCATTTATAAGTATACAGAAATTTTCAAGTTTGACCCCAGAGACAACTTGGTTGCCACAAGATTCACAAATCAAAATTCTCAGGCATTTACCTGTAACTTGTTTTTATCAATGATGAATTAAAGCAAAAGAGACAAATTACCTAAGGTGGTTTTAATTATTTCATTTACTTTTTTTTCATTTCATGTATCTTTTCAGTTGTGATATAATTTTTAGATTTTCAAAATTCTACTGAAGTTAAGCTTGCATCATTTTTCTACAAATCATTTCATTTGTTTTCAATACATTTAAAATTAACTATCGTTGGGGGAAATGTTGAAATTCTGACTTTACCATGACTCTCAGTCTGGCAGGCCTGTTACAAGTAGGATTTGACAAAGTAGTATGTGAAACATATAACATCCAGGAGTATAGGAGTTCTGAACTTGGATAATCCAGATCTATGTCGGTGATATAATATTAGCCAGGCTCAATGCTTACAAAGTAGAACTTCAATGTAGATCAACCTTTTTTTCTACAATTCAGATTTTCTTGAAAAAAACCTAGGTGAAATATTTACTGATGTTTCACAAAATATGTAAAAATTAGTCAGGTTATTTCTAGAAAGAATCATTTACTTACATTACATTCAATGGAAAATCATATTTTAATTAGTTTAAAAAGATTGCACAATTCAGATTCTCTTTGAATTGTGATCATTTATTATTGAACAAAAAATGTGTTTATAAATATATTTAAGAAAATACACCAATCTGATCTTGAGAAAAAAATAATCAATTTAATTAAAATAATCAATTCTGTTATTCCATCGTGTAATGATCAACATTGCCATGTAAAGGTCTAAAAGAAATAATTATGTCTACATCACACTTGATACAAGCGTGCTGCCCCTGAGCCATCAGGTCAATTTGAATAAAGCTGATATTTTTCGGATATAAGATATTACAGAAATAACTCCTATTACTTCACTAAATAATTTGAAAATGAATAATTATATTACTGATATTATCAGAATGCATGCCGAGTGAAAACTTTATCTAAATCTGGAAGTAATATTGTTTCATTCTGGAGGTTGACTTCCATCTTAAATTCTCGTCGACCGAGATCTTATGCGAGAGCGAGATTTAGGATGTGCGAACTGACTGGGCAATAGTCAGTGAACTTTTTTATTTATTTATAACACTATTGAAGAATATACAATTATGGTACTGGTGCCTAGCGCCAGTGGCATTATAGGCTAACATTATTGGAAAAATTACATTATTGAATACATGTACTTAAAATGTTTTGATAGATTTTGTACAGTGACCTTCTACCTTATATTCATCATGAAACTTGAATATCATGCTGTTGTGGGGCAAAGAATGGTAGTGCTGATGTGTGGATTACATTTAAATGAGCGATGGGGTTTACTTGAACTTCACCATTTACTTGTTATTAGTATTTTGAGGTTCCATTTGAAAAAGGTGTCAAAGTAACTCCATGTACCAAAGTTACCTAAAAATGAACCAATATGATATGGTGTCAAAGTTTCCAAATAAACACTAAAACCACAGATTCAGTCCATTTAAATCGTAGTGATATTAGTACTCAAATTTTTTTATACCATTCAAAACATTCCTTGCAACTGAAAGTGGTTCCACACTAAATGTAATTGCTAGGAACTATTTTTCTATTGCTACTTTTTTTATTTGGATTGATAAAACAGATTATGAATGCCTTAATTTAACTTTTACCGTGGCATATATTATTTTGACAGGAAGGCAAAGAATAATAAGACACTAAATAAATGAATGAAGTCTGATTTGTCCCTTATTAACAGTTTGTATTCTTATATTTCTGAATATTGCCTGCGAAATCATTGTTTTAAAAATCAATTTCTTTATGTCTCATCATCTTGAGCAGCCGCTAATGATAATACTTCTACGAAATGATCTGGCCAGCATCTGTTCACCCTGCCAAACCATCTTGATCCACAAGGTTTCAGATGCTCAAACTTCGACCTTGGAATTCGAAGATGCTGCCATGTCATTATCAAATGGTGAGGTCAGGGATCTCAAGATCAAGATGGTAAAAATGCAAAAAGCAAACAATAGAATAAGCTATATAGGGTTCTGACAGAATAACGGATAAATATACAGATTAATGAAGGTTTTCTTTCATGGACACAAATCAATCAGCCTAGCAGACAATCTTAGAATCTGACCCAATTATTCAAATAACTTTCGTGGGAGGGGCAATTTCGGCGTGAGATTATGCAAAAACTAAAGCTTATATTTACTCATAATGAAGATAGAATACATAATATACATTCCTACATTAGTTGGATGATACTAAGTTTATTTGATTCTGTTAAATATAGGCGCAAAATGAAAAAAATGTACAACATTTTTATTTACCTTACTTCCTCGTCCAAGATGGCGGCTAATTGAAGATAATCCCGTTATTAGCTTTCCTCCCCTCTATTAAAATGTCTATTTTGTGAAATTACGAATAATGCTTCATACAAGTATAAATTTATGTTTCAAAAAAGTTTGAATAATTTAAAAACAAATTTTAGCAAGAGTAATTTATTGATTTTCCTTGTCTAATTTAAAAAATGCGTAATTTATTGATAGACAATGAGGAAGTTTTAGAATTTAACAGCCATTGGAAGAGCATTGACCCGGAAGTGTAATCCTTTTGGCTTGGGGTCATAATCAAAAGGTAAATATTGCTGAAATGTTGTGCAAAAGTTAGTTTTGCAGTAAAGCAGGGCTGCTTTATGGATTACATTGTATTTATTCTATGTGTTGAACAGTAAGTGCTTATTAAAATCTGTGTAGCATAGGTACTAGACCGAGGCCAAAGCTGAGAATCTACATAAGTTGAGGCCTGCAGCTTTTGTAAACTCTACAAAAACTTGAAAAAGCTTTACAAATTACACACAGCAGCAGTGGTGTAGTTCTAGCCTCAGGTAATGTGTAGTAATATCCATAAAGTGCCCGCAGTACAGGCATCGGAACAGATGAGTTCACTCCGGAACCCAATACTCATTTCTCCGAAACCCTAGTCCAGACCTACAGGTAGCCTTAGACTATATCCTATTTAGTCTGAATTATATTCAGACTATAAGGCACCTATGTTAAAGTATGGTAATTCTAAATATTTGTTTACATAGGAAGTGCTATTCAAAATGGCCGATTGGGTAAAATTAATTTTCACATTTGTTACTTCAACTAGCTTTATTTCCACTTGACAATATGCTGTGTTACTTTTTATTGCATTTAATTGTACCTTACTATTTAATTGAAATTTTGTAATGCTTATTTTATTGAACAAATGGTTCCTCTAATTGATAATTTTGTGCAAAAAATTTCACTGCAATTTCCACAGGAAAGTAGTACATCATAACAGACTGACTTCTAGTCAGTCTGTTGGATACATACTACAGGTAGCCTGGTAGACTGTATCCTTCGTCTGAATAAATTATATCGGTCTATTGGATACATACTACCTAGCCTGGGGCCTCGTTTCTTATCTGACATATTCTTATGGCCCCGGCTAAATGGTCAAGAAAATACCTAATAGTAAAGAAAGCCGTTATAAAGTTTAACGACGTTGAACCACCGGAACCCATAACTCCGGAACCCATGAATCCCACGATGCATTTTGCGTAGCTATTTGCGTGACCTGAATGTACTAAATCAAAAAAATTACGAAATTTTGTTTTAACACCTGAATGCGAAATAGAACAGTGACACCATCGGCTATATTGGTTTATGTCATTACTATAACAATCAGTATACCGAGTACAATCCATAAAAGCTTGCATAATGATCAACAATATTTGGAAATTACTGCTCTAGATCCCAGGCTCAAGATTTGCTTTCGGACACTTAACCAATTCTCATTCACACATAGAATAAAGCAGTACATCATTGGAAAGCTTGTCATTTGTTATTAAAGTTCCATACATTACACTAAATATCTCTGTCCCCCAAGGGTTGATTTCAATCTGGTATCAATGAGATTAAAGATAACATAGGCTTTCCAATGGTATGCTGTATGTGTGACTTTTTAAATCATAACAAAAAAACTGTACTTAATGTTGTCAAAAAATATTTTATATCATATACACAGAGAGTGGGGAGGGGGCGTTAATTTCAGGACAATTCTAATATCTGCTCCAATGCTTGTGGCTCGCAAAATTTTCAATGTTGCGCTAATTTATCCTCATTAATGACCTCTTCTTTTTTTGTGATCTGACAACAAAAAATAGAGGTCCATGCTCAAATCAAATGTATATTAGAGTAGGTTGCAAAGTTCACTGTTTCATTCTGAATCAAGCCTCAGAAGGTCGAAGGAATTATTGTTAATTTTGAGATCTCTTCAAATGTGAGTTCAAGCAAAGGATTAGTTATTTAATTCTCTTAACATTGTTTCTTTTTCAGTTTGGTGCAACGGGGATAGGGTGGTGCTGTTCATGTCACTCAAGTGAGTCTTTTGGATGAGGCCCATTGATTTGATCAGGTAAGTACATATATGTTCAGATATTTTAAGCGGATCTTGTATAGATTTTGTATAGTTTTAAATCCATTTGCGCATGATGAAAATAAGCATATTGTAACCTAAATGTTGTAAAAAGAATTTATCATGTGACCCACATGAAAAAACAGTCAGTGAGGGAGCTCTGGAATGGAATGGTCAGGATTTATTTTATGTATTTATTTGAGAGCAGTTGCATTTTTTTCAATTACCTATGCCTTTCCATGCCATGTGAATGTAGCATATGGTATGAATAAACTGTAATTCATTATGTTTCTGTTAACAGATTCCTTCGTATACAAAGAAGTTACAACAACTGGGCTAAAAATCTAACAAGTACAAGAAATATGGCTGTAAACACCCAAATAGCCCCAAAACAGATTACAACATTTGTTGTATATGACCTTGAAACTACTGGGTTTCAAGATAGGCCTAAAATTACAGAAATGTCTATGATAGCAGTCCATCGCAATGATCTGTTGAGTGACACAAGAATTGGATTACCAAGAGTTCTAAATAAACTCACCATATGTGTTTATCCCATGAAGGAAGTTTGCCCTGGAGCTGCTGATGTCACAGGTATTGCTAGACTGAAATTTAAGCTCCAAGGTATTGAAAATGGTGCAAATGTCCTTCACCCCGAAAAGATTGTTTTTCTATTACAACTTTTAAATAGTACTATTTATTCATATTGGTCATTGGATATCAGAACCGACTTAGAACAAAATTCCTGCAGAAGAATGGTTGATTTAGCTCTTGCATGGGGTGAGAGATAAAGCAGCTTTGGAGTTAAATTGAGCAAAGTTCTTGATATATTCTCTTGGTCAACTGTGATGCTCTGATTCTTTACCAAAATTAGATGTTCCAACTCTGTGACTATATGAATGGCAAGATCAAGTCAAATTGAAACAATGACCTAAGTACTTACATGTTGGTACACATTCATTCTCTTTCTGATAGGCTATCTGTTTCTGTCCTATTGTACAACCCTTGCTTTGCTGTTTTCAGGTCTTCACAATGATAATCTGTATTTCCAAAAGGATTTTGATGAAGAATCTGGTCAGATGATTATGTCCTTTCTCCGAAGACTGGCTCCACCTGTCTGCCTTATCGCACATAATGGTAACTCCTATGACCATGGAATTCTAAGAAATGAATTGGATTTCTCAAAGACTGGAATTTCTGGTGACCTTTTATGTGCTGATTCGTTACCTTGTTTTCGTCAGCTTGATTCACCCCCTAAATTAAATGGTCAAATTTCCACACCAGATGGGGCTTGTGCTGTAGATACTCCACCTATAAAAGGTATTGTGGATCAATCCCAGAATGAAACAGGGCCAACAAATGGGCTACAAAGAAGTAACAGTGTTAAGCGAGAGTTGTTTGGGGTTTCTGCCACAGCTTCTAGTATGGATGAAATGAATGATTTCGATTGGTCAGTAGATGTAACTGATGAGGAACTAATGACTATTAATTTACGAGACATGTGCAATAGCAATAACAACAATGAAAATAAAAAACATGAAAATGACGGCCAATTACTTTCTCAAAGCCAAACGGCAATGAAATTAGAAAAGGTTCCCACATATCCTGGGACTCCAAAACGACCAATTACAACTCCTAACAACAGCCAGGAAACTCCTGTTAAAAAGACGAAAAAGTTGTCGTATAAACTTGGTGAAATATACAAAAGAGAGCTTAAGAAACCATTGCTAAACGCTCATTGCGCTGAGGATGACTGCATCATGTTGTTGGAGATTATGCGCAAAAGAGCACCATCTGTGTGCGAATGGATGGACAATCATGCTGTTCCATTCATCAACATTCAACCACGGTATAAAGTAAGGTACCAAAGGAGCCCATTGCCCACCGGTCAGTTCCCATTCCAAGGCAGTTCAAGTCAAAATTAACTTTTAACTTTTGTCTCAAGTTGGTGTAATGATAGCATGACTATTTTTTTAAAAAGAGTGGTCCTCTTAATTATAACTTACTCTGAGGTTTCATCGAAGATTTCCAGCATTACTGAAACATTGACATTATCATCTGGAGAATTCCAACTTATTTTCTAAACTTCAGACACTTGTTTTAATAAGTAGTGTCTTGTAGTTACATAATTATCATGATTAAGACATATTTTTGGATAACATTGAACTGACTCTGCAAACTGCTGAGCTAAAAAAAACTAGTCTTATAGAGAATTAGTTATATATATATAGTAGTAATCTAGCAACCTAAGGTAAAAGTGAGACCCTATTTTCCACAGGGTTGGAAAGGGGAAAGTGTCAGAAATGTAACTATTACTACAATGGACTTCTATCACTGGTTGAGCTAGTACTTCATAAAGACAAGGGGATCATTTGATTTTTGTTTAATCTCCAAATTTCAAAGTAGAAACATTTCTGAAACGTTGTGTTCAAACTTCAAATCATGATTTAATAAATTTACCCCTTTTTAACAAAATGATTCATTTATCATCGTAGCCACTGTGGAAATCTGATAATCAGATTCATGAAACTGACACTTCCACCTTTCCAATGGTGTATTGGAGACTTTTGGGCAAGTTGTCACACAATGTGTCAGCACTTAAACCTTCATGGACAGTAGTTGAGTCTCTAGCTTGCTGAAGTATTTTTACATTATAGAGTATTTTTCATAAACATGGAACATGTTAGAGTATGAACTGGAACTTTTTTCTAAAATATGATAAATATTCTAACATTATACAGTAGTATGCAAATATGCATTTAATTTTACTTATATGTTACTGGTATACACTGCAAAATTATTATGTACATGTAGGCTTATGTATTTTACATTTTAGACTATGTTTGTCATTTTATGGATATACATGTATACTATTCGAATGTATATTTTTACAAGTTCATTTTCCTTTTAGTATATACTTATACACCATCAAATGTATGTGTCTACAAGGTTAAAAAACACTAAAATGTCATTTTATTGTAATGGGCACAGGCCTTTAATAGTCATAACATAGTCCCCAGACAATGAGAACCAGCACTTTTCTATTGTATAGTTATATAGACTAATCAAGGGAAAGATCAATACCCGGTGATTTCAGCGGGAAGTGGCGTTTCGTTCAGTGGATGAGCTGCGCGCGCACGCATAAATGTGATTATCCAATATAATTAGGGGAGGGCTATTTGAAATAGTTTTTGGTCTTAGGCGCGACCCAGGGCTGATGTCTTAAGGACATTTCGTTGAAAATGAGCCATTCGGCTGATAATTGGTGAGAGTTTGCGATCTTATAATATATAACTGTTACTCAGACACATATTTTGACACGATTCTGTTGGAAATAAGCTTTGAACCGAGAGATATTCACGATTGATATGCACATTTTTGATTGTGCCATTGCTTTTCCATTGCACAATCCATGTATTGATAGAAGAAACATTAATAATGCAGATTGGTTTACCTTCAATACATGGCAGACACTACATATCGGTCTATTAATACCAGTTTGTGCCTAAATAGTTTTATATTTCCATCCACGGCCTGGAGCCTGGGTGTGTTTGTCTCTTATGTGTATGCTTGTGCATGGACTTCTAATCACTAGCAGAATTTAACATGATGCAAACTCGACATTATAACTCATGCTGTAACATTTTGACTTCGCTGGAAAACAATAGGAATTATTTTTCTCGCCAATCAATCATGAATCACAATCAAAATTTCAGAATGAGCAATCAGGCAATGATCCAAATCAAGTTATAACATTATATGATATTCAGCAAGAAGTCCGGTAGAAATACAGAATATTTAAACATCAAAGCTGAAAGTTAAAAGCTAATCTGTCAATTTTCTGTCTGCAAAAGAGCGTTTACATTTGACACAATAACAGACTGAGGCTTTGAAATCTAGGATTCCCCAGGAAAATATGACGTCATACTAATTAGCATAAGGATTTCCCTATTGGTTTGGGTCGAGCCTTGTTCGAAAACACAATCCATAAATACATGCTAATTTCTAAGGAGATAGGAAGTGTATAACGTGTTTATCGATTTTGTTTAAATATTTAATCAATTATCAAATTGTTTAAGTGGATAAAGTGGTCACACTTGCTTCAATTCATAGCGAAATCGACGGATAGAAACTGACCGAATTCCCGATATCCTACCCCGTATTACTGTAGGCTATAAGCACAGTGACCTACAGAGGGCGCTATCACAAACAAGTACTGCACGAACCGATAAATTCCCGGGTATTGTAACGCCCTTGGACTAATATATTCAGGGCATTCAATTAGTAGTCTTCATACAAAGGATAGGTATCGATATGGAGAACTCAACAATGTTTTTCTCTTAAACCAATCATTAAAAACATTCTGTAAAAAAACATGGTATTTTATGTAATGTTGACTGATTGACAATAATATGATGCAAAAAATTATTTAGAAATATTTTATATAACTGTTTTTGTTAACAATTTTTGTTTTTTTAGTGAAATTGTTTTTGCTCCTTTCTGCCAATTCTTGAGAATGAAATAAAATGTCTTTCCGAACCTCGTTGGAACAAAATAGCATATACAACATGTTTTTAGACCTCTCAATATCATATTTATACAAAGGAATTTTTGGTTGATTTTAAAAAAGTATTCAAAAAATTAAAACAAAATTCTCCCAAAATAGATGAAAATCAAGATAAATCTTTTATTTCATTAACAAGATACTTTTTTAAAATCAACCAAAATCTCCTTTGTACAATTACAATATTGAGAGACCTAAACATGTTGTGTTTATGTCATTTTGTTCCAATGAGGTTCGGAAAGATGTTTCATTTCACTCTGGAAACATGATACCAAGAACAAAACAAGTTTTTGATGTGTTTTCTAAAACAATATAGATAAAAGTATTTATATATTTTTCAAATTATATTGTTACTATTCAAAAGATGACCATTAAATTGACGATGTGTAAAATTTCCAGAATTACTTGATGACTGGTTTAAGAGAAACGTGTGTTCAAAAAGTTCTCCATATCGATACCACTCCTTTTCAAATTTTTATTGTCTGCATTTTCACATGTTTCTACTGTTATTGAGAAATTTTCCCAATAATATGCAGTCAACGAATGAGTCCAAAATATAAAACAACAAACATTGTTACAGCCTTTTTATCAATACTTTTTGAATGCCTTGTCATGATGAGACTCTCATCAATCTTCCATGCTACCATAAGAATTTGTATTCAATAACAATATGTGCATGCTATACATAATATATGTGTATCTGTTCTTTGTACTTATATACAGTATACAGTAAATGTGCTTATATACACTACATCGCATATAATATATCCTAGGTGTTTACAGTATATGAGCTTGTATATACAGTATACAGTACATGTGCTTGATATATAGTGCATTTTCTTGGTATATACAGTATATATTGTCATATACATTAGTGAAATATTGTTTTGGTCTCTTACTTTTTGTGACAGCATATACAGTATATGTGCTTGATATATACGATATATGACAATCTGCTTTGTAAATTAATTTGTAAATTAAATCGTATATGTGCTTTGTAGACAATATGCATTCCACATACAGTACATGTACTTTGTAGTGCAATAAAAGTTATTATATTCATTAGATAATCATGTGTTCAAAGTACTATATACATGTACCACCATTTTCAAAATGACCCAACCTAACATGATCACAATTGGTTTTTACCTCACTTGACCTATCCATATTGGTGATCCTGACCCTACATGTTCTGCATGACCTTGTTATTGGAGAACCCATTTGATCTTCATATTGGCAATTGTGAATCTACATGACCGTTTTGTTGGTGACCCTTGTGAAAGAAATGATGGTCCCCCAGGGATTATGGTCCCCTTTGTTAACGGTCCTTACTGGCCCTGATTGCGTATAAGGTAATGAGGGAAAGCGTTGTATTTAGGTCACCATATAAATCAATGGAGAGTAGGACCATAATTTGATAGGACCTCCTACCCTTTTACACCCTGACCCTCTATGACATTCTTATAAGTGACCTTAATCTTACATGACCTTTATATTGTTGATCCTTACCTTACATGCTACATTCTTATCAGTGATCCTGGTGTAAAAGGGTAGGAGGTCCTATCAAATTATGGTCCTACTCTCCATTGATTTATATGGTGACCTAAATACAACGCTTTCCCTCATTACCTTATACGCAATCGGGGCCAGTAAGGGCCGTTAACAAAGGGGACCATAATCCCTGGGGGACCATCATTTCTTTCACACTGGGCCTACATCGCTACATGACCTAATATTGGAAAACCCATATAATCTTCATATTAGAAATTGTGACTCTAGTGATCTCTTTATTGGTGACCCTGACAATACATAACATTCTTATTACAGGATACATTTATTTTTTATATTAGTGATCCTGGCCCTAAATGACCTAATATACATGGAAAGTATGGCCTTTTTGGGCATAAATGGGCCTTTCCCAGTTTCTAGACCTTATTTTTAACTTAAGGCCAAATTATCAAGAAGATGGGCCTTAGAATTTTCAAAATTTGGGCCATGGACGTCTAATATACATTCTTTGAAACCAGATAGATATCAATTACATCTTCCCAAAATTTGGATTCTTCTTTCGCCAGAACATTCTCTTCGTCTGTGATTTGGGCCCACTTTTTGGTTTTAGGGGAATTTTTATAGGAATATTTTTTTCATACTTCTAACCCCCTCCCTTTTTGATTCCTGAAATTTTTAAAAGTTAATTATGGCCCGTTTTTTGATAATTTGGCCTAATAAGGCTCAAAAAGGCCAAGTAATGACCAAAAAGGCCCTCATATTGAGGCCTTACAAAATTTTTGGTCCCAAAATTGTTCCTACATCATGAACTATTATCGACTTATCATTTAATTGGATTGTTCATTTCTGGATAATCAGTAATTTATTATTTGATGTTGGACTCTTCTAAACAAAGCAGTGAACCCGACTTATATTCACACACGTTCGTTAATTTAACGCAACCTACAATAGCGAACGTTTGCAATTTCACTGAAACAGCGGCAAAAATCACGTGAAAAGTAAACAGAAGTTGACTCAGAGAGGAAAGCGTCAAAGACGTCCTGCTCTACTGTTCACTCACGATAATGTCAAGTAGCGTCAGTTCAAGAATAATTGTGGTACCAGTTGACTACAGCGAACATGCAGAGATGGCATATGCCTGTGAGTATGGGAGTAGACTGAGCAAAATTTGAAAATTCAAAATTGGAATATTTTCTTTGGACAACTTCCACTGATTTTTTGAATTTGATGTCTTGGAATGGGTGGGGAAAGAGCCATTGGTGTCAGACTACGGTTTTAAAACGCTCTAACCACTAGAGTTCAGCCTTCTCAAAGTGTCAGCCATACCGAAGGGGGGAGGGGGTGTTCACTTTAGCAGATCATGTCATGGCTATAATCTATATAAGTTGGAATATTGGTCTGCCGGTTACTGCTTAATTATTTCCTGGTTATTATTTGGTTGGTTGCTTTATTGATCGTTTAGATTGCTAGTTTGTTGTTTGGTTGCTTGATCTATGGACCTGAAGAAACCTAGGACCCTTGGATCCAAGGGCTCTACTGACTGACAGGGCCGTCAGATGGGGGGGGGGGGTGCGATGGGTGCGACCGCACCCCCCTTTTTTCTAATTTTTTTTCATTGACTCATACACTTTGAAAGTGCCCAGAAAGCACCATATTGCATCTTAAAATTGTAAATTCTTTTAGGGAAAGTAGGCCATCCCTTACACGGTTTATTCCCATTTCGCCCCTTCCCATTTCGCCCCTTCCTATTTCGCCCCTCATTTATTCCCATTTCGCTCCTTCCCAATTGGCCCCTTTCCCATTTCGCCCCTTTCTCATTTTGCCCCTTTGCCATTTCACCCCTTTCCCGTGTTGCCCCCTTCCCATATCGCCCCTTTCCCTTATCGCCCCTTCCCATTTCGCCCCTTCCCATCTCGCCCCTTCTCCATTTCACCCCTTCCCATTTCGCCCCTTCCCATCTCGCCCCTTCCCATTTCGCCCCTCATTTATTCCCATTTCGCCCCTTCCCAATTGGCCCCTTTCCCATTTTGCCCCTTTGCCATTTTGCGCCTTTGCCTGATATAAGGCCATTGGGACTCTTGTGAACCTCTGTGACCTATGATTAAGTGAACTAAGGTCAAGGTCATTCCAAGGTCAAGGGTCAGTATCTAGGTATTTTACTTTTTAATACCTAGGGGCGAAATGGGAAGGGGCGAAATGGGAATGAACGAGGGGCGAAATGGGAAATTAAAAGGGGCCAATTGGGAAGGGGCGAAATGGGAATAAATGAGGGGCGAAATGGGAAGGGGCGAAATGGGAAGGGGCCAATTGGGAAAGGGCGAATTGGGAAGGGGTGGAGGGGGAATGAGGGGCGAAATGGGAAGGGGGCATAATGGGACGGGGGCGAAATGGAAGAGGGGATAAATGGGAAAGGGGCAATTTGGGAAAGGGGCAAAATGGGAAGGGGCGAAATGGGTAGGGGTGAAATGGGAAGGGGCCAAATGGGAATAAATGAGGGGCGAAATGGGAAGGGGCAAAGTGGGAAGGGGCGAAATGGGAAGACACCCCCTTACACCCCCCACAAAACAATTGAAAAGTTTTGAATAATTGCTTCAGACACTTCTAAAGTGCCCAGACATCATCAAATAGCTCCTTGATATAGTCAATGTTTCTGGGGGACTAACACTTGCTCCCCTCTGGCATCCCCACCCCACCTCCCCATCTGGCAACCCCCCCCCCTTTGACATCCCCCCCAAAAAAAAAATATGGAAAAAATTGTGATTTTCTCAATTTTTTTTATTTACTCATACATTTTGAAAGTGTCAAGAAAGCACCAAATAGCGTCTTAAAATTGTAAAATTTTCTCCGGGGAGTTGGTCACCCCTCACACCCCCAACAAAACAATTAAAAAGTTCTGAATTTATTTTATGTATTGTCTCAGACACTTTTAAAGTGCCCAGACATCATCAAATAGCTCCTTGATATAGTCAATGTTTCTGGGGGACTAACACTTGCTCCCCTCTGGCATCCCCACCCCACCTCCTCATCTGGCAACCCCCCCCCCCCTTTGACATCCCCCCCAAAAAATATGGAAAAAATTGTGATTTTCTCAATTTTTTTTATTTACTCATACATTTTGAAAGTGCCAAGAAAGCACCAAATAGCGTCTTAAAATTGTGAAATTTTCTAGGGGGAGTTGGTCACCCCTCACACCCCCAACAAAACAATTGAAAAGTTCTGAATTTATTTTATGTATTGTCTCAGACACTTTTAAAGTGCCCAGACATCATCAAATAGCTCCTTGATATAGTCAATGTTCCTGGGGGACTAACACTTGCTCGCCCTCTAGCATCCCCACCCTACCTCCCCCTCTGGCACCCCTTCCCTTTGACACCCCACCCCCCAAAAGAATTTGAAAAATGTGATTTTTTCAAATTTTTTATTGACTGGCACACTTTGAAAGTGTCCAGAGAGCATCAAATGGCATCTTAAAATTGTAAAATTTTCTAGGGAAGCAGGCAATCCCTCACATCCCCCACAAAACAATTGACAAAGATTCTGAATTTATTTCATGTATTGTCTCAGACACTTTTAAAGTGCCCATACTTCATGAAATAGCACCTTGATATTGGTCAATGTTTTTGGCTGAAAGATATGGGGGACAAACACTTGCTCCCCCTCTGGCACCCCAACCCCACCTCCCCCTCTGGCACCCCCCTTTGACACACCCACCCCCAAAAAAATTGTAAAAAAGTTTCTCAATTTTTTTATTGACTCATACACTTTAGAAGTGCCCAGAAAGCACCAAATATCATCTTGAAATTGTAAAATTTTCTAGGAGAGTTGGCCACCCCTCACATCCCCAACAAAACAATTGAAAAATTCTGAATTTCATGTATTGTCTCAGACATTTTTAAAGGCCCCATGTAAAGTTTAAACCACTTTGGCTTATATTGTAGTCTTACCCAATGTTATCAAAGTGTGATATGTGAAACTTTTTTTTTTAATTTCAAAAAGTGGTTTTTGATAGACTTTTTGTTCCAAAATTTGTGAATTTATTTAAAACCAACTTTTAGAGGTCACTCATATCTTCTAATTAGCAACAATTCATACCAATGCATAGCATACATCCTCCCATGTTTTTTGCCGAAAAAATTAAGAAAATCGGTTGATAAACAAGCGAGAAATGAACTTATCAGTGCATGAAAATGGTTCTGAGAAAAATGCATTTCAAAATTTTAGTTCTCATAGAACCCAATGGTACAATGATATCTAAAACATAATTTATTCTTCCTTTTAACCTGGTTAGACAATCAACATTGGTTTTTTATGAAAGTCTAGCATATTTAGAAAAGATTGACATAGAAAAAAAAATTCAATTTATTTCAAAAAGTTTTTGTTACCTTAGTGACATCACTAATGTTTCAAAATATTTTTGATAAGCTAAAACATTGAAGTTGCCCATTAAATATGACATTTTATTATTGAAATAGTGTGTCTTTTGTTCAATCTTTGCATTGGTGTTAAAAATATAATCTTTTTTGAAATGCATTAAGAAATATTTGATGATTAAGAAATTTCAAAAATTGGGAAATTTGAATATTTGAGAAATGAAATGCTCACAATTTTTTTTTCAAAAAAAAGTTTTTGTTCAAAAATCTCTAAAATCACTTTTTAAGTCCTGACAAATAGTAAATGAATGATAAAAAAACATTTTCAAACTTTAGACGGGGACTTTAAAGTGCCCAGACATCATCAAATATAGCACCTTGATATGGTCAATGTTTCTGGGGGACAACTCCTTGCTCCCCCTCTGGCACCCCCACCCAACCGCACCCTCTCATCCTCTTTGACACCCCCCAAAAAAATTTCACATTTTTCTATTGACACTGTGACTTTGAAAGTGCCCAGAAAGCACCAAATAGCATCTCAAAAGTGTAAAATTTTCTAGGTCGAGTGGGCCACTCCTTACACCCCCATAAAACAATTGGAAAGTTTGGAAGTTGCATATGTTAATTTTAAAGACTTAAAAGTGCCTAGAAATCACCAAGTGACATAATGAAATCATAAACATTTCTGGCACCCCACCCCAAAAACGAAAGCATTCATTTACTCAAACACATTAAAAGCGCTCAGAATTAACCAGACAGCAACTTGAATTAGTTAAATTTTCCTGTGCTGTCCCCTCGCTCCCCTAAGAAAAAAATGACTGAAAAAAATTTGAATTTCTTTAAATTGATTATATTGATCGAAACACTTGAAAGTGTCCAGAAATCACTGAATGTGATCTTGAACTGGTAAAAGTTCTCGGGTGAACATTTATGCCCTTACTAGCACGCCCTCCCCCTATTCCATTTTTTCTCCAAATTGCTCATACAATATTTAGTCTTAAAACAATAAGAAAACAATAAAACAATGAGTGCCCCCCCCCCCCCTGTGACTTACGCGATTTGACTTACGCTGCAAAAAATTGACAATTTTATATTCTCGTAGTGGGAACCGCACCCCCCTTGGAAAAAAGTGTCTTACGGGCCTGGACTGGGCTATAAAGGCTTAAGCCACTACAGCTGGGCCATAGTAGCAACTTACTATCAAGGGTCGTTACACTATCCCCCATCTGCTTTCCTAGCTGTGACTACCACACACACACATGGGCGCAAAGGATGCAACCAATGCTTTGATCCCACTTCTGACACCAGTCTAATGTAATGACCCGAGGGCGCCCCAGGGGAATGACTAACTAGCTAGCATAGTGTAACAAGCCAGATAAAGAAATTGAAAGAAAGTGTGCTAAATTCAATGCCCTGTGTGGGAATCGAACCTAGGACCATTGGATCCAAAGACTGATGCTCTACCGACTGAGCTATAAAGGCTTAAGCCACTACAGCTGGGCCGTAGTAGCAACTTACTATCAAGGGTTGTTACACTATCCCCCATTTGAAAGGACCACGCCCTCGTGGTCAGCCCTGCTTTCCTAGCAGTGACTACCACACACACATGGGCGCAAAGGATACAACCAATGCTTTGATCCCACTTCTGACACCAGTCTAATGTAATGACCCGAGGGCGCCCCAGGGGAATGACTAACTAACGAGCATAGTGTGACAAGCCAGATAAAGAAATTGAAAGAAAGTGTGCTAAATTCAATGCCCTGTGTGGGAATTGAACCTAGGCCCCTTGGATCCAAAGACTGATGCTCTACCTGACTGAGCTGGGCCGTAGTAGCAACTTACTATCAAGGGTCATTACATTGCTTCACTGGATGGCTGGCAGCTTGGATGGTTAGTTGCTTGCTTAGTTGTTTTGCTGGTTGGTTCAGCTCTTCTTTGCATTTTCAGTCATTTGTCTGATTGGGTAGGTTCTTGGTTGATTTGTTGTTTGGTTGGTCAACTACTCTTGGCTTGTTGCATTTTGATTTGCTTATTAGTTTCATGGTTGATAAGTGGTTGATTTATCACAGCTTGGTGGTTGATTGACTGGCCGTTTGCTTGCTCAGTTGTCTTGTTGATTGATGACTTGGGTTGGTGATTATCAGTCACTTGCTTGTTTAGTTGTATGGTTGGTTGCTTTGTTGATTGAATGACTTGTTAGTTGGTTAGGTGGTTGGTTGTTTTGTCGGATGGTTATTCTTGGCTTGTTGCTTTTGACTGGTTGCTTGGTTTATTTGCTGATTGGTTTCATGGTTGATAAATGGGATGTTGCTTGGTTGGCTGATTTGTTGGTTGATTGCTTGATTTATTGCATGGTTTGGTGATTGCTTTGTTAGTTGGTTAGTTCTTTGGTTGGTTTGTAGAGTGAAAACATAGGTATGAGTAGTGATCAATGAAGCAAGCCATGATAGTTTACTCTTTTCAAATTACAGGGTATGTGGAGAATATAAAACAAGATGGAGATATTCTACATATTCTTCATATCCACGAGCCTCTAATTCCAAGTTACGTGGGTTGGACCTACCAGGGTATGTATGTCGCGAGGGCATTCACTCCAACAGGGAAGTTGAAGCAAACAGGTGCCGCACCCAATAGACTAGATGCGAGTAGAAATAATCTTGATTAACGTCATTAAATATTCAAAATTCAGTCAAAGTGATCTCATATTTGAAATCTGCATGTAAAAGTACATCTAGAAATATGGTTTCGAAAATTGTCTATCAACTTTGAAAATTTAATTTTTTTTGAAAATGCGACTTCTTGTTCGGGTTGATTCCCCATAGACCCCATGTTACAAAATCACAAAAAGTGAATTATCTTCTCTTGTATTGGACAGATAACATTTTCTTTTACTGGACATATTTTAATTTGCATAACTATTAGATACATAAGGGTTATATGAAAATCGAATCACGCAAATAGATGTAATTTAAGTTAAAGGGAACTTTCTACTATACCCGCCATGCTATCTGACCCGACCGAGCCACCTGGTGGTGAATCTGGTAACTACCTACTCCCATCTGCGTTATTAAGAATTTTTTGTATTACAATTGCACTGTATCAGTACATTTCAAAATCTGTTGCACATTTTTTGCACCTGCTTAGATATGAACAATTTTGATTTGATTTTCATGGGATATTTTTCATCAATCAACTTTCATTCATAAACGTTACTAATAATTTTGATACTTCATTCATTATTTTAGAGGTAGGCGCTCAGATGGAATTGGAGAAGCAAAGAGTTATGGGACTACTCAAGAAATATGAACACAAACTTGGGCGTGACAAGGTGAGAAAAACTAACATGGGCATGATAGGTTGAAAAAAATATGAACAAAAACATGGGCATGATAAGTTGAAAAATATGAACACAAACATTGGCATGATAAATTGAGAAATTACGAACATAAACTTGAGCATAGGGTGAAAAATATTCAAATATGAACACAAACGTTGGCATGATAAATTGAGAAATTATGAACATTGACTTGAGCATAGGGTGAAAAATATTCAAATATGAACACAAAATTGGCATGATGAATTGAGAAATTATGAACATTGACTTGAGCATAGGGTGAACAATATTCAAATATGAACACAAACGTTGGCATGATAAATTGAGAAATTATGAACATTGACTTGAGCATAGGGTGAAAAATATTCAAATATGAACACAAAATTGGCATGATGAATTGAGAAATTATGAACATTGACTTGAGCATAGGGTGAAAAATATTCAAATATGAACACAAACTTTGGCATAATAAATTGAGAAATTATAAACATAAACTTGAGCATAGGGTGAGAAATATTCAAATATGAACACAAACTTTGGCATAAGATGAGAAATATATACATAAACTCGGATTGATAACTAAGGTGAGATCTAAGAGCCAACAAAAAGTTCTAAAAAGCAAGCCCAATGTCCTGTTTAAAAACCCATATTCTTACTGTTCTAGATAAGAGGTCACACCCATCATGAAGTCCACCATAGACCAGGAGAATGCATCATTACCTATGCCAAAAATATCGGGGCACACATGATCCTTATGGCAAGCCGTGGTCATGGGAAAGTGCGTCAGACCATATTAGGTAGTATATCAGGATATGTGCTTCATCACGCGCCAATGCCTGTGCTGATAATCCCAAAGCCTCACCATCATCATCATATGTTTGGTTGTCATGACAACAAGGAAATAAAAGTTGCGCACAATGGTGCCACCTATGATAAGCTTGCTGAAAGCGTAGAGGAAACAGAAATGTGAACAGTTTTGAATTAAAATTAAAACTATGTATCCATAGGTGGACCAATAAGGGACAAATGATTTGGGCCAATAAGCAACTTTCAAAGACTGATATCAAATAATTAAGGACCATTTAAGACTTGCAAAGACTGCAATTAAATGACCTAGGCCAATACGAATCAACTGATTTCAGCCAGTTATGCAATTACAAAAACTATGGACTTGAATAAATGATGCGGGCCAATTAGACACTTGCACAGAACATGATGTAAACTTATATTTAATGAAATGCTACTGGCCTGGGCTGAACTGAAAAATTGCTCAATATATGATATTAGTGTATATTATGCAGTAGTATGTGTCCCATGATCTATGCAAGTATTCATGATAGAACATGCATAATCAATTTTTACTTTTTGAGTTCACTGGATTTAGCAACTTATGTATCAGTGGGGGTTGTACAGGTCAATTGTTTTTTGTATCTCAATTTTCTTTAGTTAATGAGATCTTTGAGTAACAATTACTGATCTTTTATCAGTCAATAATGTGAATAGTTACACAAATATAGTAAAATCTGTCTAATCCACACACCACTGGGACTGGACACAAAAATGTTTGGATTGGCAGGTGTTCACATTTTGAGGTTATAAAACAATGGTAATTTATGTCAGATAAAAATGGGACCAAAGGTGTTCAAATTCAATTGAAGGTTCAGCTTTGATAGGTGTCTGATAAACAGATTTTACTATTTTTGTCTAATTGTTGTGTTAAATTTATAAGATTATACAATCATAATTGTATATTACGTGTATTGTAGAAAATAGCATCCATCATGTACCATGTACAAACACTGTCAAACAGCATGCAAAAGGCCATAGTATTGATAGGCCTCTGCTTCTGTTAAATTAATAAATATGTATATTTTATGAGAGGGCACTTTCATATGTAGTCAAAACAACTATCTATGCCATGGTCACATTTGTTCAAATCTTCAACAACGGTCTGGCCGATGAGTATTTTGTTCACAATTGAATGCAATTTTGAACAAAATACTCATCGGCAGCGCTACATCGCAAATGTGACCACAGCATTAATCTGATTATATATTTGTTACAAAACATAATATTGATTTCATTGCTTCAGAATCTCAATTTGAGTGTATTTGCAGAATGAAATTTATATTATAAAATTAAGAAGTTTATTTTGTTAAAAAAATTGTTTAAGACAAACAGAAGATACAGTTGAATTGTTAAAGCTATTAATAAATCTTCAAATAAAAAAGTAAAAACAAATATTTCTGTACTATTATTTATGGGTTCCATAAAAGAGGAATATTGACAAGGTTTGTACCAATTCTGATGTGCATTAGAGACCAGGACAGTGTTAACCAACAATATCTCAATAATATTACATTCTTGGATGTACATCAATATATTGACCTCCCTTTCCTATCCCATGAACTTCTAATCTTTACATGAATCCACCATGATTTGATCTCACTATTGGGCTTTAAACAGCGAACTTCATGTTTTGTGCAATAATCATAGTTGCTTGCCTTAAGACTGAAGGTGAGCAGAGAAAGAGAATGGAATGACAAACATGAAATTATGTAATTGTTGAGGGTACCATTCATTCCCGCATTCTTGATTGTAAAATACGAAATGGATATTATATATTCTGTGTTATGATTGGCTGGAATGTGAAATATAATACCTAGCTATGTTGAATATGTTGCAGTAGGAAAATAAACATAACAAGATTATTCTAGGATATACCAGTATATATTATTTATGGTTTATATTCCTTGTCCATGTCATCTCTTATCTCCAGTGTGTATTGATACAATACAGTCATATACACCCTTAGTTTAGTCATCATTGCAGTTAAAGGGGCAACAATGATGAGAGTAGAGCAACTTTCTAAAATGTTTACATTATTGTTTTGCTACCAACATTCCACATCCAACCTTTTCCTAAAAGTTTAACAGCTTTGAGTTTATTTCTTACTTTGATTTTCAGGTTATATTGTCAATTTTGAAAAGCTGGAAACTAGCCTATGGTTTCCAATTCTACCAAATTTGGACATATGTATCTCAATGTTCAGTAATACTTGCATAGGTAAAGCCTTGCATATGATCAGGTATTTCAAGCAAAACATTGGCATTGCTTCAAACATTCAACACTTGTTGACAAAAATTATGATTTCTTAGAGCTGGAGTGGCTTTCCATTCTACACATAATCTCTGATAATAAAACTTGCATATTTGTCATAGAAAAAAACAAATTGGGATGATTCTGCTATGTCTGAACTTGTGGAAAAATACTGCGGCACAATGAAAACAAGACATTAGCATGCAAAATGTCACCACCTGCCATTAAATACAGGCTGGATGCCAAACACTGTTCATAAAAAAAGTTAAAGACTATAACAATATGTTACCACTTGTGGAGGTGAAATAAAAATGAACACATCACACTTAAATATCACACAATACTAATATTTGTATCAAACATGATGCAGACCGCTCAGTGCTAACCCAAGTTGTACAAAAAATGCAAACAGTAGCTAAGGCTACTCACATCTTACTTCACAGTCCAATCAAAATACACACAGTACCTATGAAAAATGTAAAATCAAAAACAGGGATACCAATTTGCAATCAGTTTCTATTTTTTCACAAGAAATCCACTACAGCATGTGCAGTAAAATTATTTTATACAGAAAACAATAAATATGTATTTTGCATAGATAATAAGGAGGCTAAGCTACACAGAACAAACCCCCCTCCCCCGGCCAAAAATTCTTTCAAAATCATGCAATGTTTCACCATTCTGTGCACTATTTAATTGGCTTTGGGCCAAAGTTGTCAAATGTGAACCCTGTGGATTTCTTTAAAAAGTGATTCCCTTAGCAAAAGCTGGCTAAAGGCCTGCTTGTGCATGAATGTACATTATAACCCTGAGGAATTTCTGTCATGCTCTAAATTGTTTTTTAAAGTGATTGATACAAACAACTATCTTTATTATCAATCAGGCAGGTTTAATATGACAAAGAGGAGAATTTATCCCCAGGAAACCATAATACTACATATTAACATACAAGTATTTTAAAAACATGTAGCTTGACCTTTCTAATGATAAATAATAGTGTCTCAAGTCTATTCTACAGCAAAAACTCAAAATGCACACACATCTAGTTTTATTTTGTCTAGATGTTCTGATTCCTATCAAAGCTAACAATATGAGCCATAACATAGATATTCTACCAAAATCACACTTAACACTTAATCATTGTATTATAAATAAATGTAATAAAGAAATTATACTGCATGGTACAACTTAAAGATTATAACTTCATGCAATTAAAATATTGTTCCATTTTTGAGATTTTGAGAAATGTGGCCCATATATACGATGTACACTTCACTGCTTCACTTGAAAACTTCACCCTAATCTCCATCAACTAGCCACTGCCTTCAATCAAATTATAACTAATGATTTAAACATTTCATGAGATCTTAATGATCTCAAAGCTAGATTTCATGGCCATGGAAAATGTGAATGTTTTTTTTAGTTAAATATGACTTGACATAAATAGTGTTAATGGAGACAAGAGCATATGTATCACTTTCTGCTCTAAATTGATAATTTACCTCAATCAATATATTATTTGGAAGAAATGACAAATATAAAAATAGCTACTTTAAAAAATCTGAAAAATAAGTACAGTGAAACCTGTAAAGTGGAACACCTCAAGGAGTGGAACACCATTCAGAGTCCCAAGATCAACTGACTTAATGTTTGTACTTACTGTAGCATCAAATTAAAAGCAAATATATAGGCTAGGCCTAGTACTTATCTGCATAATATGTAGTGTTGTAATATTCTAACTTTATATTTTAAATTCAGCCTAACAAAAGAGAATATAAAATTTGAAAAACAGTGATTTGAGTAAAAAGGATTCCTTTTCCTCTTGGCCTATACTTGGCAATGCGAATGTTTAGACTACATAGTTCTTGGGGAAGATACTTGTAAGTTAGTGAAGTGTCGACTTGAAGTATATCCTTTATCACAACGTTGAGAAACTTATATTTCCAAATGCGTCAACAGGTGTGCCTTCATCTATGGTTTCAAAAGGCATGCTTGTTCCATTAAATATATGACTGAAACTAGTGTCATGCAAATTCAAACTATCGTTAAGCAATTCATTATTTTTCAATGGCGTTATCCCAAATATGTCTGTAATCATATTTTTCTCAGCCTCCTTACGTCGAGCTGATCCTGGTGTTCCCTTTGTTCCATTAGTCCTGACAGGTGTTATCCTGAAGGGTGTCCAGTTGTAACCGCCACTTTCTAATAAATTACTGGTATTCCTAAGTGGAGTTAGATTGGCAATTGGAGAACACCAATTTGGGGTTAGCATGAGGCCTTTGTTTGGTGTAGACGTAGCCATATTTTGGGATTTCGGAGGAGTCTTTAACAAGTCTTGATTTGGTGATGAATTTGTTTTCACCGCTGCTGCACATATATTATTAAACACTTCTGTGAATGATTCAATATTTTCAGATTCATCACGTAGCTTTTTATGTGTACTTTTTCTCGGTGCTCTTTTCTTATATTTTCTTGGCTTTGTGATAAGTGGTTTACTTCTATCGTGACTGGTATCACTTGCCTTTGATTCAATACCCGAATCCGGTGAAATCAGTGGTTCTGTTGATGTCACAGGATCATGTGACCTGTTTGGTGTATTCTCGATCCCAGCATTCAACCATGCTAGACTTATTATATCCTTAGTAAGGTTGTGACTGAGTCGTGATTTCTTGGATCCTGGGGGAGAGAAGCTGTTGTCTTGAACATGTGAACCTGAAATTAAACAGTAAATATATTTTATTGTCATCTCACAATAAGAAATTCATTTCATGTATTATTGCCCATTCTACCAAAGGCGCTCCAGTGATTTTCATCAAAATCACCTGTCTTCAGTTTATCTTTGGCATATGACAAAAATTCTTCGAGAACCAATCAAAACTTCTCAAAACTGGATCACTATTGAACATGTCCTCTAATTGTCATTAAGTAAAGCTTTCAATAGGCTATCCAGACATCTTATTTTACTTGAAGGTTTAAACTCTCTAAAATCTCTAAGGTCAGCGTACCCACCTTGTGTAGTGTAACTATTGACTGGGGCATAGAAAACTGGGAGACCAGCAGGCAGAATAGATGGGTCTGAGATTGGCATGAGAGTGTACGATTTATCACTATTTGGCTTCGGCAGTATCGGCTTCATCTCATCTACATAAGAGAAAACATTTAACGATAAGCATTAGCTCTATTTATTGTCACTTTTCTAGCGAACATTACTCTGTATTTATGAGAATACATCTGGCTGATCAGTTGGTGGAAAAGGCTCATCAAAATTGTGAATTTCAAAATAGAGTTGTAAAATCAGGATGCCCATGTGAAACAAAATTAGGCTGATCTCTAAAACTGGTTGGTGCTATTCTAAACTGAGAGAAGGAACTTGAGTGGAGGTATGACTGATTGATATTGTCTGGGGAGAAGAAATGCACTTCATGGGATAACATATACAAGGCATCGACATGCCAAATGTCACCACCTGCCATTTGTTACAGATGCTGACCACTAAACACCAACTTCAGAACAATGTCAACAAAAAGTTGGAGACTAAAACAATATGTCACTACTTCTGGAGGTGACATAATGACAAATATAGGTTCTTTTTAATTACAAAACAACTTTGTAAATCTTACTTGTTTGATTGAACGAAGTGTTCACTGGGACTGCTGACTGAAAGTTATTAATACTCAACAATGGAGTGCCTGAAAGTGGAGTTCCGGTCAAAGTTGTTCCAGACAACTGACTTCCTTGGAAATGAGCTCTGGATATTTGGAGTCCAGAGACAGGATTTACAGTCTGTATTGGCAAAGTTTTTGGTTTTGGTATCAGCAATCGCTGCGAATGTGTCTCCACTGGTGTCACTACCTTTGTTATCCTGGCTGAAATTTAAAATAGTTTAAAACTATTATGATTTTGATTAGAATTTATTCATGCTGTTAATAACAAGTGTGCAATTTTTCCAAGACTTCTCATTTTTCAGAAAATAATTTTTGTTTCTTTATCAGTTTATCCTTTAATTATTTGACCATTGATAGTATAGCTACAGGTTAAAATTTGCTTCACTTTATATGTAGGACTTTTGATGACTTACGATTTCGAGGTTTTTTAGGTTTTGATTTGATGGCCTTACAATGCCATGGAGGAACCCCATTATTCTTTTCCCGTTCAAGGAGTTCCTTGTTAAGCATCCAATAGGAAGACTGCTCACCCTTCTGCCCTTGAACCCGCATGAAAACATCATAAAGTGACAGGTTGTGACGCACAGAATTCTAAAATGCACAATATACATTTGTATTATATAATTGCTAGAATCCCAGATTGGTTTATGGCATACCATGTGATCAAGAATACCACAACAATACAATAAACCATACAATAAACGAGTATTTGTCTCACCCTCTGAGCAGCACACTGAGAATACACTCTACATTATCACTGAAAGAGCAACAAGCATGTATTGCATGAACTTATGAATGAAACATCAACTAACATTAATAAATGGCTCATATATTTAGATTTAAAAGGGATATCCCATTGTACATGGTTAATTTACATAATTTTGAGTTCTATTCCCTTCTCAATTCTGAAGCAAGACATTCTATGTTGATTTTTGACTTTTCATCTGAACTACAGTAAAAGGATCATTGGAGAGATCAAACATTGATCAACAAGGAACATGTATATATGCAAAAATGACAAGACGTCACCATGTGGTTTCAATTACAAAATTTCTGACAATTGTTACGGACTTCAACACTCATACCAAACACAAGACAAAAAAAATACACTGACATACCATGGATGAAGACATAAAACTTCAACAAGGAATTTACATGCAAGATGTCACCACCTGCAATTTGTTGCAGATGCCGACTGCCAAATGGCAAACACCAACCACTGAACACCATCTTCAAAAAATTGGATACCATAACAATATGTCACCACTTGTGATGGTGACATAAAAATGTATCCTTACTTTCCAGCCCTCTCCATTAGTGTGTTTATAGAATGGGAACATGTCTTCAATCCACTTGTAGATTTCCCTGAGTGTCAACTTCTGTGCAGGGGAACTACCGATTGCGATCTGAATGAGGTGAAGGTATGAGTAAGGGGGCCGTTGCCTTGTGCCACACTCAGTTGCCACCTAAAATCATGCAAAATTAAACATCCATTTAACATGCACTTAACTCAGTTGCCACCTAAAATCATGCAAAATTAAACATCCATTTAACATGCACTTAACTCTGCAGCCTGAGACGCTTGACCTTTTTTCAAAATAACCAGGATTGTATAATGTCTCCAGAACATCATGAAAATGTGTCAGGATTAAGCTGATTCCAGGCTGTATTGGCATTGCCAATTTGACAAGTAGACCCTGAAACTGATATTGGTCCTAAGTCAGACATTTTCAGTCAAATTTTAGCTGAAAATGTCCAGCGTTTGCTCTATCGTTACTCTTTATTTGTTGATCAATAATTTCTACTGGATTTGACAGATCTTTAGATACTTCCAAAGATTCCAACCAAAAGTTTTTGTAAATTGTGTACTACTGCCATCTATTTATCAACTATTTAGCAAGTTCTCTACTAGTATTCAAATGAATAAAGATTGACACAATTCCCTACCCTCCTAATATCCACCAGGCTATCAGTGTTATGTAAATCAAGCTGGAGACGATCGTTGGCCTGCTGCATAGTGCTTGGGGGTCCAGTGAATTCTGGGAGACCTGGGCCGCAACTCGATATCACATTGTCACCAGTGACCCTGTTTACCCATCCTAGATTGGTCAGAGAGTCATTGTGACCTGGAAATAGATGAATGTATTGTTAGTACCTCAATTCTGATTGGTCAAATACATATATGGTCAATATTTCTGACTTGTCAACCATACAATGCCTTGCTTGCAGTCTTGCGTTGAGATATAAAATTCAGAGAACAACAAATAAATTGAGGTATTTCTGGTATTTTTGTGTTTGGTCAAGAGTAAAAAGAGTCGAGACCAATGGGAACGTTTGAATCAGTAATGTTTTCAATGAACAGAATTGGATTTCTTGTACTTACTTGTAATTATGATTAGAACATTTGCAATCATATGACAACAATCTTATGTAAACTTATGCCAGCCTCTAAACTCACTGTGTGTTTAATTTATTTCCAACCTGTCCTATATACCAACATCTTGTTAAACCTACTTATCAGTCTTATGTAAGACTTTTATATACTATTACTTTAAGTTCAGTATTTATATAAGAGAATGACTCTTTATGAGAGCTGCAAAGGATGGGGATGTGTAATCTATTCATTTTGAAAAGATATATACTATAACCCCTTTCAGGCTAGACCAAATGGTCTTTCCCTGCATGATTTATAATAGAGGTTAGATATCAGCACTTGAATATCATATTACAGTTGGTGGCAACTACTGTCAACCTTTCTGTGGTAAGCACTGCTTGGAATAGTTTGATTTTACTACTTCTTCAAAAGAGAGCTTCGTCTACACTCTGAGTGATGATCATTTGATCTAACATTACTTATCAATTAGAATACTGAGAATAGTCAATAAAAATCCAGCACCCAATCAAAGTGGAATCTACTGAATTTTATGCTTTCATGTGTATGTATGTATATGTACATTCATTCATTTTATCAACTGTATATAATTTTTCCTATTCAGAGCCTACTATAGGCTCAGACATTCAGGGGCTTGTAAAGGTGTTCTTATAATAAAAGGACTTGTAATCGATAGGAGATAGAGATAAGAGATAGGATCTGTCTTAACTTTAAAGTGGTGTCTGCATATACAAGTTTGACTGTACAAGGTCACATATTTCAGAATTTCAGACAGAATAATACATAGAGCTGTTTATAACAGTATGCAATACAAGAAGACTATCCTGCAATCAGAGCTAACTGGTTCACATCACTGGTGGTTTGTTTCTTTGAGTTCAATATTTGCAGAATATTTGTGACTCCTGAGGCTCGTGAGGAAAGACAGATGACAGTTGAGCATTAACAATAAATACACTGTACATGTATCATAATAATACATACAACTGTAAGTGAATAAATCTCAAGAAGGAAATGTAAATACCAATTCTGGGCAGAGAAAGTAGAGATACAAGTGAGGTAGTGACATCTGAATGTAGCCACTGGTAAGAGATACTATACATCTGAGCAATGAGCATAGTCAGAAATATGTAAAGTGCAAGTTGTAATTGTCAATTGATTTCTGAACAAGGAGCCCCAAGGATAATAAAGCTGACTACTGAATATGGACAAAAGCTGGAACTAAAATCAAGAAAAACAAAACAATAGGAATTAATGTACTATCAGTCTTTAGTGATCCATTGTTGACAACTGGAGTAAATTACAAAACTACTTAACCAGTTTAAACACAACAAAATATGAATCATCACGAAGAAAGTGAGAATGAAAGTCAATCAAGACACGCTGATGAAAAGGCAGCAACAAGCCAGAACTATATTGGAGAGAGAAATTTCAAATGTGATGTGTGTTTAAAGATATTCAATCAAAATTCTGGACTCAAACAACATTATAAGATCCATACTGAAGGCAGAAATTTCAAATGTGACATTTGTTCCAAAACATTTAAACAAAAACCGTATCTCATAAACCATTTTAAAAGTCATACTGGAGAAAGAAATTTCAAATGTGAAGTGTGTTTTAAGACATTCAGCCAAAAAATAAACCTTGCACAACATAATAAGATCCATACTGGGGAGAAGAATTTCAAATGTAATATTTGCTTTAAAAGATTTAGTGCAAATGGCGACCTAACAAAACATTATAAGATCCATACTGGAGAGAAGAATTTCAAATGTAATGTTTGTTCTAAAACATTCATTAAAAATTATGGGCTTATACAACATAATAAGATCCATACTGGAGAGAAGAATTTTAAATGTGATATTTGTTTCAAAACATTTAGACCTTATAACCCATTCTTACATCCATACTGGAAGGCAAGAGGTGAATTTCAAATGTGATGTGTGTTTCAAGACATTTATCTACAAGTCTAACCTTACATACCATTATATGATTCATACTGGAGAGAAAAATTTCAAATGTGATATTTGCTTCAAAACATTTAAAAGTAAACATATCCTTATAAACCACTTTAAGATCCATACTGGAGAGAGGAAATTCAAATGTGATGTTTGTTTAAAGGTATTTATTACAGCCCATCACCTGAAGAGGCACTGTAAAATTCATACTGGAGAGAAGAATTTCAAATGTGATGTTTGTTTGAAGACATTTAGTGAAAAGTATTGCCTCATATACCATTCAATGATCCATACTGGAGAGAAGAATTTCAAATGTGATGTTTGTTCAAAGACATTTAGCCGAAAGCCGTACCTTGTATTACATTCAACAATCCATACTGGAGAGAAGAATTTCAAATGTGAAATTTGTTTGAAGACATTTAAACGGAAATCTCACCTCAAAAACCATTCTAAGATCCATACTGGAGAAAGGCTTTTCAAATGTGATGTGTGTTTAAAGACCTTTAACCAAAAGTCTAATCTCACACAACATTCCAAGAACCATACTGAAGAGATGAATTTCAAATGTGACATTTGCTTAAAAACATATAAACGACAATCTGGCCTCATAACCCATTCTAAAAGTCATACTGGAGAGAGGAATTTCAAATGTGAAGTGTGTTTAAAGACATTTATTCTAAAAAAGAGTCTAACAATACATAATAAGATCCACACTGGGGAGAGGAATTTCAAATGTGATGTTTGCTCTAAAACATTTAATTCAAAGGGTGACTTAACAAGACATTATAAGATCCATACTGGAGAGAGGAACTACAAATGTAATGTTTGTTCCAAAACGTTCACTACAAATTATGTGCTTACCATACATTCTAAGATCCATACTGGAGAGAGGAATTTTAAATGTGATGCTTGTTCTACGACATTTATTACAAAGCCTGCACTTAAAAGACATTATAAGATCCATACTTGAGAGAGGTATTACAAATGTGATGTGACATTTTACCCAAAGTCTAACCTCATACAACATTATAAGATACATTTTGGAGAGGAATTTCAAATAGGTTTTAATTGTAACTGATCATCTACAGGGTGACCCAAAATGAATGCAACCCATAACACAGTTAATAAAATTAAAACTAATAGTGATTCACCTTTTATTTTGCACCCAAATGAAGCTGAGATGATAACAACCAAGTTCTGAAAGTATTGTTTCTGGGATCCAAAATAGTTCATTTTTATGGCCTAGCAAAAAATATGTTCGATTTGACCAACTTTATGTTTCAGCCATTCCTGAATGTGATGCACAGAGTTGTCAATTAGGAGGACACAATTCCTTTCTTTGAATATCTCTGATTTATGTAGTAATTGCTGGTCGTTAGTCTCTGATTGTCTGGGTGTGGTTTTCATGGACATTGTCCTTCATATAACCCCTCGAATAGAAATCTGAAGAGTTTAAGTCGGGTGATTGTGGGGTCCACCCAGGATCATATCTCATACTGATCAATCAATCTTCAAACCCACCCATTCTAACTTTTTGGTTTCAAGTGTTTGGACTTGCTCTATCCTGCTGGAACCATTGTTCTGACCCTGAGTGGGCCCCACACTCACCTGACTTGAACCCCCCCCCAGGTTTCTATCTGTGGGGTTATATGAAGGACAAAGTTTATGAAAACCATAAACAGAGACTAAAATCAACGATTACTACCAAGATCAGGGATATTCAAAGAAAGGAATGTGTCCTCCTAATTGACAACTTTGCATTTAGGACTGACTGAAACATAAAGTTGGTCAAAGCGAACATATTTTTTGCTAGGCCATAAAAATGAACCATTTGAATGCCTGGGACAATACTTTCAGAACTTGCTCAGCTTCATATGGGTGAAATTAAAAGGTTTATCACTATTAGTTTCAATTTCATTAACTGTGTTATGGGTTGCATTCATTTTGGGTCACCCTGTAACACATCAGATACTCACCATTATTACCATGAATTGAAAAATGTAGAGTGATACTTTATTATTCAACAAAAAAAGTCTTAATCATAGCTAAGACATGACAGATATGACAGCTTGATACTTTATGTTTAACTACGTACATACAGGTAAGAAAAATTCTGACAATTTTTCATGAAAATATCTCAAAATAATGACCAGTTTTATGAAAGAATAATTTACTTCTTTCCAGTTAGATTCTTCTTGAATTAAAAATCATTTAATACAAGGTGAAACTAATATATATTGGCACAAGAAAATACATTTTAACTCCACTAAATGCACTAAATGCTACATCCTTGGATAAGATTCTTTGAATCTTTTCTACTCCCAGGCCCTTGCATATCATTCAGCAAACCGAATGCTCGTTTTTGGTGTTGCTCACCGTTTAGTATAAAAGGCGCGATCCCAGAATATTACTCAGGTTAAAGTCACTGCGTAAACACCTTTGCCTGTGTATGTAGGAATAGTAAGAGTAAACATTGTCACACTTTTATATAAAGGAGATTTTTGTGTTGACAAATCAATTTCACACTTTATGGGTGAAGTTTCAAGATTTTCTATTTGTAAATTAATAAGAAAAATTGACATCTAGATTTACCCATCACATATTCAGGTATTATTAGCACAGAGCATGGTCTTATGAAATGATCCTGTATATGAAACATGGCAGTTTGGATTAGTACATGGATTTATATTGGCTGATGCAGATGCATCCTTTGGATAATTCATTCTCCTGATGTTTATAGAATCATTGTAAAACGATTATTTTATCTTCAAGACAATTACAATAAACTGGATATACAAACTCCTTTAATTTCTTAAAAATAGACTGATCCAGTGGACTCGCCTGGAGCTGCCATATTGTTTTTATTTTTTATATGGGAAGCTTATCGTAATCCTTTAAACACCATCAGCATGTGAATTATGGGATGATATAAACAGACTAATTTTAAACTTATTTTGCATTTAAAACATGTTAATATTGTAATTTTATATGTTGTACAATACTGTAAAATTGACACTAAAATGGTGGCCATTTTGATAATCGGCTTTAAAACTTACATGGGGAATATATGTATAAAATATGAATGACATTTTGTCAACATACTGTGTACTATAGTTTCATTAAATAAAATTAATAAATAATAGGAGAACATGTACTTACCTGTACTTGAGGTAGCTGCAGAGACATTGGTGTTTTCGCCAAAACCTGCCCTGTAAATAGTTGATATTTAGACTTTATAAAGTAATATTCAAACAAAATAAAATGTATTGTTTTAATGTTATATTATGTATACAGTAGCCTATCTGTTTTAGTGCGTGAGACATAAATAAATATATATACTACAACTACGACGTCCTATAATGTGCAATTTTGCCTGATAAATAAAAACTCTTTCAATCCAGTGTAGTGCCCCTGGGCTGGTATACATTTTCATCCATTGTTATTATGTTATACCACATGTACGAGCCATATTATGCATTAATTAAAACTTTTAGTTTAGTGCCCAATGGCACTTAAACAGGTGGGGCTCAATTTGTGTAATTTTTCAGATGATAGTTACAATCAAAACATGAATACTTGATCTCAATTAAAATTCTTAACATTATTTTTTTAATCTCAACAGCTTTTTAACATTAAACAGTACTATGTACCAGTATATGAAATTAATTAATATATCCAAAAGTACCGAACGAAATTCCCGGGGATTGCTGATGAGCGGGTGATATATATATAATATCTCTTGCTAACCTCAGCGGGTTATATATCACCCGCTCACCTCAGATATCAATTATATTCCCACGTGTTATTTACCTATGACACTACTAAGTATGGGATAATATACAATTATTGACCTCTCCAGAGGTTAACTGTCAAAATTATATCCCGAGGCTGTAAACCGAATGGAGAGGTCTATAATTGTTTTGTTAGTCCGAAGAATATCTTAGATTTTTCTGACCCTTGAAGTTGACTTGAAGTTGGATCCCGACCCTCGAGACGTTCATGTTGTATTTCAGAATATCGGCAGTAAGTTCACTCAATGGAGTCAAATTACTCTCCTGGGCGAAGTCCACTAAAAGCTTTGTACAAAGTTTTAGATTTTTCTTCGTATTTTGACTGTCTTTACTCTCTAAGAGACTAATAATATCCTCATCTTCAACATTTTTGAAACGGCTAGTGCTAGCGGCGGCCATTTTATCGTCTGATAATGACGTCATTTTAGTGGAATGCTGGGAATATTATTCATCGGCAATGCATTGTGCGGTGTACAGTTAAAATTATTCACCGCTCATTGACCAATCAAAATCGAGTATTTCAACTGAGGTACTAACAATATAAGTTATTGAATGATTTGAAGTGCAATACAGGATATATTCTGCTCAAGAAATTCTGTATTGAAATGAGATGAAGTAGAGTGCCAATACAGAATATCGAGAGCAGAATATATCCTGTATTGCACAAATTATTTTATAACATTTTTATTTGGCTAATACATTTTACCTAGGAGATAATCCCTGGGAAATATTTTGTTTTCTCTGTACTGAGATTGTCCCCTCCGTACCAATAGTTTCTGTATTGCTCCGAAGATACTCAAAGGGGACAATCTAAGAAGCAATACAGATTGGTACAGCACAAGAACTGACCAATCAGAGGGCTTCATTTTACAGATCATACAATAGATTAATATACTACCACAAACAGCACTAGGTAAATGGGGTTATTGCATTACATTTTAGTTATCATTCTCATTAGGGGGTACATCAATTTTTTAGAAGGAAACAACATAAATAATCAATATTCAAATACAATTTTAGATTTTAGAAATTAGAAAAGGAATAGGATTATATTAGACTATAATGGTTGGAATCAATTGTTTTGAGACAATTTGGTACAGCAAGGATAGGGGGATGTTATTCATATCACTCTAGTGAGTCAAGTTGGATGAGGGCCAATGATTTGATCAGGTATGTTCAATGATATTTTTTATTAGATCTTTTATAGATTTCAGTGATCTCCCCAGCATTTAAGCAAGTGGGCGCAGGACCCACCTGACATTTTGAAAATAGGCTTGCACCCACCTGAAAATCCATTTGCACCCACTTGAAAATGAGAAAAATCATGAAAAATATTCTGACCAATGAGAATTTTGCACCCACTTGAGAAAAAATCCTGTGGAGATCACTGGATTTTGTATGTCCAACCAGCAAATGAAAAATGGTCATATCAATTTTCATGGGTCTGAATATTTACATGGCATAATACAGGATTGGTGGAACTGGTTCGATCCCTAGAATATTTTTTCTATTATTATTCTCATTTTCATAATTCTGACCCAAGTTACTCAAAATATTTTGATTTTTTCTTAGGGTACTGGTGGAACAATAAAATTAGTGGTAAAAATAAAGTATGAACACATGTGAGTTTTTCTTTGCTTTTTCAGGAAAGTATCAATACATTGTCTTCTTTTAGAATATCTAGTAAGAGGTCAATGGCAATCCGGTGTTGTTGAGAAACTTGGAGAAGAAATTTGGAAAATATATTTATATTTTTAAGAACTCAAAGTGAATGCACTCTAATTCAGCACTAATTCATATGCAACGTGAGAACACATAGATAGCCTGGGTTCATGGCTTTATGTTTTAAAGTATATAATTATTATGTACCTTGGTTCCTTTTGTTTTTGATGTGGTAATACAACAGTGAGAGGAGCACTTGTTCTCACAACTTCAATAGGTGTCTTGGGTCTGTCAAGATTTCGAGAAACACCTGTTTCCTTTGATAATTTCCATGGATCGTGTGACAAGCTCTCAAGCACTCTGGCAGCTGTAGTACGATTATTCACATTTGACGTAACAATCACAATCTTTTTGGTTGCTGCAGATTTCTCAAGAAAAAGTTTTGGAGTCGAAAGGTTTAGTTGATCCGTCTTGATGGATGTAAATGGACCAGAGGGTGAGAAGGCTTGATTTTCTGGGATCTGTTTGATGATAATATGTTTGACATCGTCAGTATCTTTTACAGTGTCTGTAAAAGTATAGTTCACTGGAGACACTCTCCCTGTGAAGTTTTCACCCAGTATACTTGTTGGGTTTACCAATGTGTTATTTGGGGCATTCGCAGATTTAGACATTTTCATTCCAGTTTTTAATTCAACAACGGATCAAAGAACTATATGTCATTAAGTTCACATCTATTATTCATTGTGTGCCTACACTTAGTACACTACATTGTATTTGTCAACAAGATCTGATGGATCTATTGCAGCTGCATCTGAAAAGTATACAAAAACAATTTGTACAAAGGAAACACAGCAGAAAAGCAGCAAAATATGTTTCACATGCATCTAGAATTTTTTAAACTAAACTAAATTGTTTTGAGAATCGATAGCTCTAAAGATTTTCCGCAAGATGACTACTCCAATTTGGAACATAAATAAATGACAGGTGGATTTGCTGAAGTGAGGATTTCGCATGTCAAAAATAAGAGAATTTTCAAGAGGCCATGCATCAGTGGGTAGGATTATACAAAATGTAAAATATACAAAAGTTAAGGGATGTGTATCTAGACAATATTGGAAATTATGGGCTTTCAGACGACCATGGTTAGGAAATGGTGATAGAAAATCCATGTTTCATTTATTTTTGTTCCCCACTATATACTTGGTACAAGAGTTGTAGGGTACATTTTTACTGTACCGTAGTCAAAATGGAATTGTACGGTACTGTTGGAGAATGGCTGTGTATAACCTACCTGGTGGATATTTGACAGATATGACAACAAAATATACCCCTGTTGGAGACCCTATCTATTGCAAGACTTATGCCTGGCACAACCGTCACTGTTTTTAAGTATCGGAAGGATCCTGCCATGACTGTGGTAGTGTTATTGTGATAGCATGATATAACCGTGACAATGCCATATTATATTGCATTGCCTGTCATGACCATGGCAATGTTAAAGCCTGATATGACCGTGACAATATTGTAAGGCCTGACATGACCGTGGTAATGTTAAAGCCTGATATGACCGTGACAATGGTTGCAAGGCCTGTCATGTCCGTGGTTCTGTTAAAGCCTGATATGACCATGACAATGCTATACTATATTGCAAGGCCTGACATGACCGTGGTATTGTTAAAGCCTGATATGACCGTGACAATGGTTGCAAGGCCTGTCATGACCGTGGTAATGTTAAAGCCTGATATGACCGTGACAATGGTTGCAAGGTCTGTCATGACTGTGGTAATGTTAAAGCACAATATGACCGTGACAAATGGTTATATTAATTGACATTTAGTAGCATGAGAATACTGTAATGAAAAATTTCATTGTTTATCTACCTTAAATATGTAAATCTAGACTACTACTACATGTACTACTACTTTAACTCATAATTCATTTCCACAAACTATAATTCTAATCTCATTCAAGAACGTGAACATTGTCACGGTCATATCAGGTTTTAGTGTTATCGTGAAAGCCTGGTATAACCGTGACAATGCTATATTATATTACAAGGCCTGTCATGACCGTGGTAATGTTAAAGCCTGATATGACCGTGACAATGCTATATTATATTCCAAGGCCTGTCATGACCATGGTAATGTTAAAGCCTCATATGACTGTGGCAATGGTTGTAAGGCCTGTCATGACCGTGGTAATGTTTAAACCTGATATGACCGTGACAATGTTCACGTTCTTGAATGAGATTAGAATTATAGTTTGTGGAAATGAATTATGAGTTAAAGTAGTAGTAGTAGTAGTCTAGATTTACATATTTAAGGTAGATAAACTATGAAATTTTTCATTACAGTATTCTCAAGCTACTAAATGTCACTTAATATAACCATTGTCACGGTCATATCAGGCTTTAACATTACCTCGGTCATGACAGGTCTTGCAATATAGTATAGCATTGTCACGGTCATATCAGGCTTTAACATTACCACAGTCATGACAGGCCATGCAATATAATATAGCATTGTCACGGTTATACCAGGCTATCATGATATAAGTACAGATAATGACTGCTGAGAGAGAGAGAAATAAATAAATAATATGAATGTAAATATGAATAATGAATGACACTTTGAAAATCTGCGCAACAAGTGAATAAAGTACAAGAGAAAGTACATAGTGAATATACAAAAAGCACAAGAGACTAACTGCCGAGGAAAAAGCGGCTTATGCAACACAACAACAACAAATAACACAATGGTCATGGCAGGATCCTTGCGAGACTTAAAAACACTTAATAACATGGTGACAGTTGTGCCAGGTTACTCCCGTCGAGAGCTACTTAGATTTTGAAAGTATAGCTCTCTATCGCTAGAATCAACAGCTTAAGAATCCTGACTTCAAAGAAAATTTCAGGGAATTCAGCTGACTCATGTTGCACATTATATACCTGAAAATGTATCCTACATCGCCATCTTTCATTCAGCTCAACTATAGAACGTCTCACTGCCCTATGTATCGATCAGGACTTCATTTTATTGGTCGTGTCAAAAGTTTTGGCCAGGTATATTCAATATGGCGGCTTGACGTTTCCCAAGTTGCGCATGCGTCGATAGTATTTCCGTTTAACCGCCATATTGGAAATGGGTATCGAACAATAAAAGATTAGAACTCCTGATCGCCATAGAAGCACATCCGCGATCCTACATGCACGGGGAAAGTAGACACATATGAGCCCATAATGTAGGCTACAGTTTGAGACAAACAGCAAGCCGTTGAGTGGCGCTGATCAAAATAAGATGTCACAATTCTTCAGCTGGGAGATCCTCACGATGGAGAGCTATACTTTCAAAATCTAACATGGTAGCTCTCGACGTGAGTAAGTGCCAGGCAAGTCTTGCAACAGATAGGGTCTCTTTCTTTCTATCGGTCTCCCCCTTGGCCTTCCCAAAATTCTTAATTTAAAATTTAGAAGTTCAAATTGTGCACGTAATGATGGATTAGGCTATAGACCTAAACAGTATAAACCACACTTAACCTTTTACATTTCTAATATAAGTTTACTCATGGGCTTTCAAATAGAAAAAAAGCAGTGATGACTGTCACTGTGTGTCATTGATGATTGTCAACGTCGGATTGCTAAACCTCATCCATTCTGAGCAATGTTGACGGACAAATATTCAATAAAATTAAGAAAAGTGAACGTGTCATAGTGTTAATTCTGTTAGTTTGTATCAATATTGAATATGTTTGGACTAAGGTAGCACAGAGACGTTCTTTGAAGGTAAAATGTTTGCAAAATAATTTTCGAACTTACCACTTCATTCAAAATTGAAATTGACCAATCAGAATCTAGGATTCAGGTTCGGAACCAGTTCCGGTTTAAAAACTTGTTACGACAGCATTGATTGGCTTAATAATTTAAAAGTGGTGTGATTTGACAAATAGAAAGTCATTTAACAAATATGATATGGAACTTGTTAAAAATTGTAAAAATCAAAAATAATATTGAATTCGACAACATTTGTGTAAGGTAAGTCTTTTAATTCACCGTGTACCCATATAGAGAGCTATTTACATTGCTTACATTGTTACCACACTTGAGATTGACGTCCATGGAGTAGCCAATGCATTCTTGCCAATCTGAATCTTGATGTAGCCTGTAATCTAGGCTACAGTGGGGATCATAAAGAATTGCAAAAGCTATGAAAATTACATGCTGTCGCACATGTAATAAATTCTTACCTCAGTGTATTCAGTGCTCTATTTTCTAAGTAAGTCCAAATATAGTGGAATTTGTGTCCCTAATGACAAATAAGAACTTCAAAAGTTGAATTGGATATTCACATGTTATGCCGACTCTTCAAATGTTGAGGTGATTTTGTCGCCCGATTGCGCCAGAACGGAGGATTGGCTCCCTGAATGCAACATGACACGTGCCAGCTTTCAAAATGCTGTTCCGCCATTTTGAAACCTGTCATGAGTAAATACGGTTAACTGATGTTGCATTCTGGGAGTCAACCGTCCTTGGATAACAAACATGGCGATTCATGAAAGAATTCATTCGATTTGGTAGTGATTTATCATTAATTTGCAGGTATGAAGCTTTGGATTCATTTATTGTGCTACTTTAGTGAACTGGAATTGTTTTTCTACCGCTTGGGAGAGTTTGAGACACGAAACTTGGAAATTAGCTCATTGTGACAACTTGTGAACGTTGAGTTTTATTTTTGTCCCCCACTATACAGGAAAAATATTATAGACAAGACATGAGAGGCTCATCCGACCCCCTCCCCCTTCAACTTGAACCCCCTTTCTTTATAAAAACTAACTCCCACCCGGGAACAAGCCCCTTTTCAAGATCAAAGATCCCAAGTCCGGGAATTGGAACGAAGCCCACCCAGAGAGAGGACTCTTTTTTTGTGCGAATAATGAATCACACGTTTATATTAGCTATTTAATGATGCATGTACAATATTCTGTTATTTGATTGGTTTGTTGGAACTAATTTTAGTGTGTGAACCTCCCCCTTCGTCTCAAACCCCTCTTTACGTTATAAAATGACCCCCCTTCCCTTGGTAAATCCTGACTATAACCTGAAGGACAAGGTGAAGCATGGCTGAAGTTATTCGAATTGACAAACGGAAAAAATTTGAATTTGATTGCGATCATATCTTTTTCAGACGACCCTCGATAATGCCACCAAGAAAACGTAAACGCAAGGATTCTTCTACCAGCAGGAAGCCACCCCTTATATTTACAGAAAGTCCGATAAACAAACGCCACAACCTCCCTAGTCCAGTCTTTAGTGCAGACTTTCCTATTCAAGCTAGTGTTGTACACATAGATGACAATCTTCAGATTCCATGGGTAAGACGTATATATATTAGGGGTGCCTCGATATGTTATATAACTAGTATTTCAATGTCACATTTTGTGTTAATGATTCCATACACAATGCATTATTAGACTATAATTACCAAGGTTTATGATATTTGCTGATGTGTATCAAAAGACATTAATTATTGGGTGCATTGGGAGAATGTTAATACCATTATGTTTATGTTATTATGACATACACATATTTATACCACTCTAAGTCCGATAACAGTTGTATAACATGGGTCTATAACAACGATATACAATGGAGAGTGGTATATCGTCATCGTATACAACTCCTCCGTATACACTCCAGCGTATACCACTGTAGAAGTGCATTCTGGGAACTAATGAATATTGACCGAAGAACGAGGTGTATGTTTTGTTACACATGATTTCCTAGAATCAAGTGACGTCATAAATGGTTCCCACATGATTTGCTAGAATCAAGTGACGTCATAAATGGATCGAGAGTTGGCTATGAGATATTTTTATGGTTTTTATAATTGTTATGATTGTAATCAACTGTAATTGAACTTAGAGTGGCATAATAAGATTATATAATGGTTCATTCTGTATATCGTGCATTTTATACTCTCGTGAGAATATAATATATTCACTCGTTCGCTACGCTCACTTGTGAATATATTATATACTCACTCGAGTATAAACACGATATACAGGATGAACCATTATATAACCTCATATTATTAACCAGCCACAAATATACACATACTACTTAAAAGGCGAGGTAATGAATGAGGAGGGGCAAGTTGGCAAGGTAATTAATGAGGAGGGCTTAGTTGGTAAGTCAATCGCTTGGTTCCCAACAGGAATCTGATCAGTTGTCCTGTATTAGTCAGTCTTTTGTGAAGACACGGCACTTGGTCAAGCAAAGCTTGTGCATATACTTGTACATGCAGTATTGTTTAGCTCAATGACAAATTGGTAAATAAAATAAGGCTGTGGTTCTTTCATTTCAGGTTTCACCTCAGTTCCGTGGGAAAGCATTAACAATGGAGCATGGTATGTCTAAGAGGACAAGACGATCCCGGAAACCTTCAGGGCCAGGCCCAGTAACCAGAAAGAGAAACAACTCAAAGGAAAACCTTACCAGCAAGCCAAGGCCTCTACCTAAAGGAATGATACCTTTAGCTTTTATTGATAATCCAAAATCCCTCGAAACGATTTCCATCATCGAAGATGTATCGATCGAGGATTGTGATAGCGAGAAAACACAAACTCCAAAGACTAAATCTGGCGCAAATGGGATTCATATGTCTCGTTATATATCCCCAAATGGAAATATTATACCTTGTATTGGAGCAAGGGTAACTCGTTCAAAAACTAACAAAATATGTCCAGTTAATGCGAAGAGCAATAATGAGGAGAATGTTATTCAAAATGATGGAGATATCAGCACTGAAGATATTGAAAGTGATACTGCAGATGAAATCGATACCAATAAAACCAAAAAACCTTGGGCTTTAAGACACAATAAATCTAAACCAACCACACCATCTTTATCCCAGCTCATTCGTACACCTCCTTATATGGGCATATATACAAAAACTAAACCCAGAAATGTTCAAGGTGAAATTGAAATCACTGATAAACCACCTTTTAGTGATGATAGTATAGAGGACATTGAGGTGACCACTCATACTACTGATACAGACAGTTCTCCATTATTTATGACGCAAAAACGCCCAAAAAGAAGAACTAAACAAGGCAAACGTTTATTCCAAAATTCAAGATCAGAATTGTCTAGTAATGACTCTTCAATAGAAAATAAGGATTCAGATGCTGATCTTCCCAATATCAGATCTAAAAAGAAAACATTAACTTTGAGAAAGATAAGCTTTATAAATAATTCAACAAATGAAATTCATAATCAGTCGATCACAGATATCGAAACAGACAGTGATGGTTTAACTCCAAGGCGTAGATCTTTACGATTGCGTCGTAAATATTTGCAATTATTTTCAAAGGTGATTGGCTCTCCTCATACCCCTAGTCAACGTCCATACAGCAATATTCTTGCCCATGACACCCCAGAAATACATTATGGATTGTCTTATCGGGAAAAGCAACTTTTGGGATTGATTGACATTTGATATTTAGGTTATCTCTAAATTCCTACACATCTAAAAATAGTAGTGAATCTTCCAAGTATTAATTAAAGTGACCCAACCTCTTAATTTAATAATTTACACTTTCTTATAAATGAACTCTGATACAAATATTATCTTCTAAAAAAACATACTAAAGGGCACAAATAAACTGTCTTGATATGGTTGCTATAACAAATTGAGCTATTAACAAAATGTACATGTGAAAATATATGCAGAATGTTTTTCATGCATATTTCGAAAAGGATGAGTCTGGGAATGAGTCTGGGTATCGACTTAGAAAATATTGAAAATTGTAATGTCTGAAAAACCAACTTAATCACACATATTATTAAACTTCAATATCTTATCCTTCTTCTGAGATTACTAAAATATCAATTTGTATCACAATTGATGAAGAATATTGGCATCAAAGACAGTGCATATCACTTTGTCAGAATCGAAAAAAAATCAATGGCAAATATTAAATGAATTATTTATACAAAAAGTTTGAAACATATCCTCCAAAACATTGCTTATTTTCTTTGTATAGACATTGAATGGTATTTCTGGATAAGTGAATTTGTTTTTATCTGGGTAATCAAGGGATTATAGTCACTCAAAGTTACTGAGCATCCAGTTTTGAGACTTCAATTGTGTTGGTGAAGTTACACATATTTCAGTCAAATTCATGCTGAGCACAACATTTTGGTTTCAATTTTATAATCCCTATACATGACCCTGGTGATGAAGAGTCAGATTCAGTCAAAAAACCCAAACTGGAAAACTGTGTTCATTGTGAAAACTAAAAGTGAAGCAACTTTTTTTCTGATATTTCTTACATCAAATGGCAGCCATCTTGTTTTTCCCCCTTCAAATTAAACTGGCGGGAAATTCAAAAATTTGAAAAAAAATTTAATCCTTACATATATTTCAAAAGTATGATTTTCTTTTTAATTCTTCATGGGTCTTAAGTTATTTCTTCTTTGTATGTCATACATGTTGCCATTGGTGTTTTTTTCTATGATAATGACTATTTTTTGTTTGTTAGGCTACTTATTCTGACTCTCAGCAGGGGGCTAATTATGCATCAGAACTCATGAAAAAGTAAATATTCTTATCAAATATCACTAGGACAGTAATAAAAACCATATTTCACATACATTTGACTGAGGGACCAAAAGGGCATATACCCAGACACATCCTTTTAAGACCGCCATTTTGTTTGTTGATTTTTTGTACATAATAAAGATATGTCATCTTTGAACGTTGGGATTAATCCCCCTGAGGCTTTAGCAACCATATCGTAGAAATAACGGGTTGAGAAGAGTTTACCTTTAAGTTAAGCTTTATAGTGAAATCTGTCTATTAGAATTGTTAAAACATCAATGAATCTAAGTAATATTTTCAAGCTTTGATATGGAACTCTGAAGCATATATTTTTCTAAGAATCATACTCAAAGCATGAATACATGAATAAATTGCTTTTTTTAACAGCTTGATTTTGATTGAGATAATTTTTGTATGTAAGGTTTGTATCAAAGTCTGTTGATGCTGCAAGTTATAGAGCAATCTGATTGTTATGTCACCACCACAAATGGAATGAATATTGTTATAGTCTCCAACTTATTTGTGGATGGTATTGGGTCGAGTGTCACCAATCAGCATTTGGCAGTTGGTGTTTGGCTGACAGGTGGTGACATTTTACATGTTAATGACTTCTTTTTTAAGTATTTAAGAGTAAGAGGTTGGGTCACTTTAAGGACATTTGGTTTTCTAAACACAGGAACAAAAATGACAAAGAGCTTTAGACTATATATTTATATTTCATTGTCAATTTATTTCCATATATCTATAGACAATTACTTACAGCACCAATTTTATTCAACAGCAGTACAATAAATATTGTAAACCATCAGTGCAATTACGATACAATTTATATGGAACAATAAATACTGTAGATTGTGGCAACTCAAATTCTGATTTTTATTTATTTGCTCCCATTTTCAGTTTGTCCTTCCTTTGTTATGTCCATTATAAGAATTTAATACAACAAGGTCTCAACAAGCTCAGTTATATTAAATAGGCCAAGGCAAGTAGTTGTCTAAGCACATGGCCATGCAATACCCTCACCCTGAGGCCTATCATGAGATTTTCTTGATGCTAAAAAAACTATCAGTCACATACCTGTGAGCACACAAAACAAAGAACAACTTTCCATTTGTAATACATGGGACATGATGCTTTGTTTTAAAATACTATCATGGGCTTCAATTTAGTAATACTGCAAATGTATGTTTAGATAACCTTTAAAGAAATTAAAGTCTGAGCTCTCAGAATCTCTCAGACATTATGCATGACAATGAACAGTCCACCCCTAGATAGGCCAACGACAGTCTACTGTACTTTGCAAAGACTAATGAAAGTTTTAAACTGTATCAGCTAGAAGCATTGATGTCAATTTGTTCCCTAACATTTGGACTGTCCATGATAGAGTCCTGACGTACGAGGACTGCTGTGCGTGCATCATCTTGATCCCTGTCCCTGTCATATAACACATGTACTACATCACCACAGACATTCAGCAGACACTGGGCCTGGAATAAGAACATATAAAGTAAAACCTGTGTATAATAAATATTTCTTTGCTGAGAAAAAGTGTTCAGTGATGGTAGGTGTTCACTACAGAGAGGTTAATTCAGAAGTCAGTAGAGCATGTTGGTGACATAAAAATGCTCAAAGTTTGTTATAATGGAAGAAGAATCATGATTTCTTGAAAATATTACCTGATTTTTATGTGGGTTGTCAAGTAGGACACATTCTGTCATCTTGTACCCCACAAGTGCATTGCCCCCCAGGGCTGCGACATGTGCACGGGCTATGGCCATCACCTCTGTTATGAAACTCTGCACGAAACCACTAAGACCTCCACTCTGTAAGATGGAATACACTGTTAAATGCATCAGCCCAAAATTATGAAATATGATATCATAGTTTAAAGGCATGTATTCAAGATCCAGATTCAAATGATGTTTTTTATAAAAAAAAGGTTTTTGATCATTACACCATTTGTCCAAATGAGTAAACGCAAGTGTGATACACTTTGTTTATCAGTCAAGTTGATTGTGTCAACGAGTTGAATAAGTACAACAACTCATATACTCATATACTCGAGATGTTTTGCTAAAGCTCAAAAATACTTTCAAAAATTGTTCAGAAGTTTGTTTCTTGGACACATATCTTTAAATCTCTAAACACGTTCATGAGCAAAATAACCTAAAAATACATTTAGGTGGAAAGAGAGAGAAATAAACTAAACAACTTTCTTGATAGCTACTATAGATTGTAAAAGCAAGCATTTAGTTCTCATCAGAGAGAAATACATTGAAATAAGCATGATATGATGAGCAATCAGAGAATGAGCATCTTTGGAAATTATCATACGTACATGTATACATATAAAAAAGATACATGCATAACAATAACACACTTTACACCAATTAAGGTTTAGAAAGTTAAAATTGCTGATTAATTAAGACCTTACAGGGTTGGGACAGCAATTATAGAGTGTAAAAGGTGGAAGCAATATTTTAATTAAAAAAAACATGTAATCCTTATCATCGTAAAAATACCAGAAGAGATATTTAAAAACCAGATCAAAATTAGATTTTATAAAAAGTTACCACCAACTTGTATTTAATGCACCATCCAAAGGTTTGTGTGAGACCCCCATACAGGAATGGGTAGAGTTTCTGGCAGAATGAAAATTAGGCTGTCAAATAGGATAGGGAGAGCAATATTAGCCAGGCAAGTATAGTCAAAATACCTATTTTGTTAAATATGCATATCAAAAGTCCCTACTCCCTGAATGAAGTACTGTCAAAATCTCACCCACTGGGACAATACTGCGTGTTCAATTTCTGAACCTCTTAGCGGGTCACCAAAAAACCTTTGAATGACGCATTACCTTTAGGAGGCCTATTAGGACAACATTTGGACACATGTTGCAGTAATATCCATATCTGTAAAGCCTAGCAATATTAATACCAGATCCTTTTATGAACAATTGCTTGTTGAACTAAACAAGGAGTTTGCTTAAAAATACATTAAAATACAAAGATGACCTTAACTGTACTGGCATAATTTTTTTAACCAATAGAACAATAAAACTTATCATTAACACATATACAAGACTCACACCATTTCATACACATCCAAAACCACTGACAAAATATATGTGTACGCCAGTCTCTATTGGATGGATGTTACATATAATTTTTCTTTCACTGGGGAGGGCGGGGTAGAAACTTTGAGAGATGCAAACTTTGATTTAACATATTCCTGGAAGAAAGAGGGATGGGGAAGAGAGCAGAATTAAAACTTGCTCTATGCCTCTGGACATATGTACTTTTGCACCCTTTTACAGAATCTGATTTTCACAACATGATACATTCTACCACATGCTGTGTACTTGCACACACAACAAACAAACCACAAACCTCCCACTCTTCTTCTGTTATCGACATTTTACTAGGACTACGTCTATTAACTTGACGGTGTAATACTGGCCTCATTTCTTTTGGTTTAACCTTGAGCTTACGGCTCCCATAAAATGAACGGAACTTAGGGCTCAAAGGTGTCACCACTTTACCCTAAAGCAAGCAGAAATTAGAACTGCCAACTGGTTGTTTCATGGAAGTACTATTCAATCCATTTTCAAAAGTAAGAATAGGGTTTTTTAAACAGGACATAAAGCTTAAAGGCATATTTTGCATATTTTCCACATTTTGTGAGGAAATAAAGTCTTACGTTTGAATTTAATAGTACATTGTATTTCCAATGGATTGATAAGTACTTTATCTTTATATTTTTTTTATCTTGTTTGTATAGCATGATACATTCATTTTTATAGAAGTGTCGCCATCTTTAAAATCAAGAGTAATTTAAAAATGTGCATGTACTACTAATGATCTCTGAACTTCAGATGCTGTTTTCTATGTGAGTTATTTTTTCCTTGGTTTAATATTACTGCAAATCAAACTTTGTATCATATTTGAGTGTGTGAGTAACATGTTTCAATGATTAATTTTCACCTTTTTCTTCTAAATTAAGCATAGTGTGGCTTTCTAAGGCCTTTTTGAAATTTTTGGTTAGCAATATAGTGAATTTCAATTTTGGTTCAGGATTCCTTCCAAAAACAGCTCGAGCATGCTTTAAATTCTCAGATATCAATATTTTCAGGGATCTAAGGGTGAAAACTATATCGAGCAATCAATTTCAGTTTGAAGTGAAATTATGAGTTGCCATGCAACAGTGATGACGGATCAAATGTTAAGCTATTTGTGTCCACAAAGCTGGGATACATGATGGTCATATTTAAAAATTGAAAATACATGGAAGAGTGAAATCAGTGCAAGCAATTGCTTGCAGGAGCATTATTTTCAGAGGGAAGAATTGATTTATGGGTACATACCTCTCTTATGGATGTGCTTTCTCTAATGATGAAAAAATTGATGTTGCCAAGGTAATGCTCTATGTGTGCCCCAGGGATAAATGGTAGGGGGGTCAGATCGATACCATCGTAGTGCTTTGGGGACATCTGAAATTCCATGAACAAGGGGATAAAGAATGATACAATGTACATGTATGAAGAATCTTTTTATAATATTATATGAACAAGGCATTAAGGATGCAGTACCAGGTCAGCGTAGAAAAAGTTCCAGACATTAGATTTTGCTCATATTTTTTACAATGTATCACTATGATGTTATCATCATCCAAGTGCAATATGAAGAAGATTGACCGTCTGGTAATTACAAAATAAAAAAATTATTTTACCTACCCAAAATGAATCTTTTTACTTTTTTGAGTTTTCAAAAGAGCTGGCACCTTTCGAACCCTGGTTTTCGTATCCACTAATTGCGACTCAAGAACAAGTTTTTCAATAAAAGTGAAAGGGATAAAATATGCTTGATAAAATGTTTGCAATGTAATTATTTTCTGGAAACACCATTATTGAAATAAACTATAATTTTTGAATAAGACTAAATGCGAAAATGACGTTCTTGGGAGCTAGCTTTCTCAAACCGGAAGTCAAACCTGCGCAAACAGACGTGAAAACTGACCCGGTACTGCTTCCTTAAAATGACAAAATGTCACCACCAAGTTAGTTATTGCAATTGGTTACAAAAACGTAACAATAATCACAGAACCAAACGTTGGGTACCCCCAACAGTCACAAAAATAAGCTGTTTCCCTTGTAACATATATTCATTGCCATGGTAAATGAAACTGCCAAAAATATGTTAAAAGTCGTAACATGTCTTATATTTGAGGTCCATGTGAACACACCTTCTTAAATTATTGAAAATGGTTTCAAAATGTGACAAGTCCAGCTATTTGTTGTCATGGTGACAGATATTGGGAGAAATCATTAATGTGTTGGAGCTCAAAACATCATTACATATGTTCACAGTAAAAATTTTAAGTCATTCTAAGCATAACTTAAGTTATTGGAAGTTGTAACGCCGAATATGTCACCATTTCTGTTGGAACAATATGGTACATACAATACTTACGTGATATTCAATCTTTTTCTCTGATTTGGCACCTGTAAATCAGAAATATTCTTAAGAATGTTGCTATTCCATATGGAATCACAAGTACAGGGTTATATAAATAAACAGACAGTAAAGATAAGTAATAAATATTTTCATCGAATTCTCAATGTGAATCTTATCGTTTCTAATGGGAATTTCATCAGGGCTCCAAATGCAGATCTCATCAAGGTTTACAATAGGACCTACATCATGCTCCCAATTGGAGATTGTTTTTTCAATTAAGGAGGCTAAATTCTACTAAGAGGGTGCCTTAAAGAAAATTCAAACTTAACCTACTCACTTTTACTTGAATTGAAGGAGGATTGTTGGCTTGGCATACCCTCAGTGGTCACAGTGGGCAGAGGTTTAGTACCAGAGCCATCAATACAGCTGCCCAAGCCCTCCATGTGAAACATCATCTCATCAGGATCACCTAGTATAGAAGAGTGTATTTTGAGAATGTTTACATGTAAATACAAGGCATTAACATGAAAAATGTCACCACCTTGTAAGTTCTTGCAACAAATTGTTACAGATGCCAAACTCTGGGCGCTGACCATCAACCACACAAAAAAGATGGAAAAAGTCACAAAAAAGTTGGAGACTATAGTGGTGACTAAGGAATTCCAATCAAGTCCATGTTCAAGTGGAGGAATTTATTCTACAAACTGTGACCAGAAGTCAGAGCCTGAATGACATTTTCTGAGGATCTGTCAGAATCTTCTAAAGAAGCGATCTATAAATATTTCTAAGAATCCCTTCCCATTGTTACCTTGTCTATTAGCTTTGTCAGGACTAGATTGTGTGCCGACTAGCAGATTAACTGGTTCTCCTAGCCCCACACACATGGCTGTAACGGACACCTAAAAACAGGAGCATGGCATTTACAAATGAATCTGGATCAGCTAGATTGAACCATTCATGACATTACCTTTACAATTAAGAGAAAACCCTGTTCTATTATTTTAATTATAAAAGGTTTATCACAATATAAGAATAATTCAAAATTCAAATGAAACACATGGCTTAAATCTATTTCAAAATAATATATTGCATTCATATGAATCCCAACCTCAAAAATGTTCATAACCAACAATGTATTGTTACAGGGTGGGCAAAATGTTATATAATTTCACAATCAGAATGTGTTTTTGTATGATCTATTAATCTTATAATACACATAGATTTTGGCCCACTCTGTATAAAGTATACATATACCTGTATTTTGTCATCTTCTGGCAATTCAACATTAAAATCTAAGTTGGTCACGTAGCATGGCACCATTGTTCGCAGTTTAAAAAATATACTCTGAAAAATATAAATCAATTGTAATGCTGGAGTACTATTTGCAGTAATTTTTATTCGAATATGATACAGTATGTGATATCAGAATATCCAGATTTATAAGTCTATAATTTATTGGCTAGAGTTACCATGTCAAACTTTGCCAGCAGGAATGACAGTCCACAAAAATATGATATATAAGCAATACATAAGCTAATCCTATGCCCTGAACCTGTAAGAATTGCATCATAACCATCAGGTGACAAAACTGGATTGTTCTATTTAGTTTTCACAAAAAGGCCTGAAATTCCTATGACACACCCTGTCGTCAACTTACCCTGAGTACATGTTCAAACAGTGCGGAAAACTCCTTATTATTGAGATCACTGAGTTTGCCTCTCCAGACTCGTGTAAACATCTGAAGATTACACGCAAGGTTTGGAAAGCCAGGTACAATCTGAGTGTTGCATGTATCAAAGCCTGATGGAATCTGGGGGTCTAGTAACACTGATACAACGGCCTCATCCTCAGCGTCATCTATCTAAAATTCAAACATGACCGTGCTCTATTCGAATTTCTCAACCAATCAGAATGCAGCATAGTCAATATAGAACGTTCTCTAATTCTCCATAGATGCACGACCATGCTATATTCAATCTGCAATTTGCATTGTTTTGAGTGACGTCACATCTCAGCTGCACATCTGGGGCTCTGTCCGGGGATAGCTGTTCTTTTTTACCCCCTCCGTAACTACTGTAACTATTTAACTATGGCTGACCCATGTTTGCATACACCGTATAAAATCTAAAACGGGGAGTAAAATAGAACAGCCCAAACAAATTCTTCGGCCGACTTCAAAATCCTGACAGCATGCGTATTCTTCCTTCATGCCCGTTCCACAGACACGGCTTTTACTAATTTTTTATGTTTGAATCGGAATAAATAATGATAGGCCATTCAATATGGTGAAATTCATCACTCGTTGGACAGAATGTTAGTACAAATGCACTCACCTTCGGTTCGTGCTTTGTACAACATTCTGTCCAACTCGTGCTGAATTTCACCATATTGAATGGCCTATCATTATTTATTCCTTAATTCAAACATGACCGTGCTCTATTCGAATTTCTCAACCAATCAGAATGCAGCATAGCCAATATAGAACGTTCTCTAATTCTCCATAGATGCACGACCGTGCTCTATTCAATCTGCATTGTTTTGAGTGACGTCACATCTCAGCTGCACATCTGGGGCTCTGTCCGGGGATAGCTGTTCTTTTTTACTCCCTCCGTAACTACTGCAACTATTTAACTATGGCTGACTTCAAGTTTGCATTCGGTGAACGAGTCTGAACGGGGAGTAAAATAGAACAGCCCAAACAAATTCTAAATTTTTTCCGGCCGACTTCAGAATTTTGACAGCATGCGTATTCTTCCTTCATGCCCATTCCACAGACACGGCTTTTACTATTTTTTATGTTTGAATCGGAATAAATAATGATAGGCCATTCAATATGGTGAAATTCAGCACTCGTTGGACAGAATGTTAGTACAAATGCACTCACCTTCGGTTCGTGCTTTGTACAACATTCTGTCCAACTCGTGCTGAATTTCACCATATTGAATGGCCTATCATTATTTATTCCTTAAATCAAAAATTGAATATGAACGGCTCATGGGTTGAGTCAGGGGTCTTTTGCCTTGAATGACACTGTTTGTTGATAACCACAAGATAGCATTTTTCAAACGTTAATAAGCCCAGGGTTGGCTGGTTAAAATTGTTATATTGTTCTCATATTATTCGTATTTGTTGAATTGTAAGACTGACCAGTACAAATAAACTTAACTAAACTAAACTAAACTATCATGGAAATGGTGAAAAACAGGAAAAAATATATTCTCTTAAATGATGTTGATCACAACATTTGATATATTTATATAAAAGTAGCTTTCATATTTAAAAAACAAACAAGTAAATTCCATAATGCTAATGACATCTTTTCATAATGAAAGACTGCATGTTATGGAGTAATTAATAAGAGAAAGTTCAATATATTTACCTCTAAGATGAATGTATCTTTGTTCCCAGAAGACAAATCAAGATCTGACAATTCTTCCTCTGTTTCATCAATAACATAGTCACTGTGAGGACTGGGCTCTCCTTGATTGTTCTCCTGAAGGTGAAAAAATGTAGAAATATCATAAACACAAATGTAAACTGATCTTAGGGAGGGAGGGGGCGGGGGTCTTTAGGTCTTAGTCTTTTAGTCTCTTTTATGCATTATATTTTATACTCCCTTACACCTAATATTGCAGTTATAACTAACATCGTAATACCATATACATTTATCATTAGGCCTGTATCATATCATTAGTTATGTTTGTGATTGGGAGTGTGAGGGGGATTAAAATAAAAATGTCTAAAATCCTTTTTAACTAAAGATGGCATAAATCATCATGAATTATTGATCCCAATGAAAACAAATCTGGCACTTTATTTTGCAATCATCGAAAGTCAACAGCAATCTCAATAGAGCGTCTAAAGCATACAATTCTGTTGTAAGAAGAACAAATGTAAATAACACCTCAAAGAACTGCCTGTGTATTAGTTTGTAATGCCAACCGATAAAACATCTATTCATATCTTCTCCAAGCGAGTTCTTTGCTCTCATTTACACAGAAAGATGCAGTAGTTTCTATGTAAAACAACACAAAAATGTGAAGCATAGAGTTTTGAAGATAAGATGAAGAAAAATACAAAAATATGATGAAGATATTTTCACATAAAACATTTTTATTGTATGGATACAGGACAATAAAAAATTAATGGATCCAAATAACGATAAAGTTTAGAGGATTCTAGTTATAAATACAAATCAAATGAAAATACAGATCTAAAGGGATAATCAAAACAATATATAAGTAATCAATTGTATTCAAATAAAGTGAAGGAAGGTTTATCTCTCAAAGCCTACACTAATTTGATTTGTGGCTAATTAAAGGTAAGAACTTCATGTTTTGTTATATAAGATCAAACAAAACTTCTATGATAAGGCAAAGAAATTAGACTTTATCTGTTTATTCAACAAATGGTTGATTTTAAAGAAATATAATAGTGATGAAAGATTTCTAAAAGAGATTCTTATAAGTTGTTTATTAATATGAAAACACTATAAAAAGAAAATCAACAACTGCATAAAATGAATATTTTTTGATTCTGAGTTTAATAATTTTATAGTAACTTTACTGGACAACAATAGATTGCGCTACCATGAACACAGATGAAGATGAGCTACGTCTACATGATGGGGCATACAGAGGTGACCTTGAAACAGTGGGGCAGATGCTGGAGAAAAAAGTTGACCCAAATTGTGTAGATGAGGTAAGTCTTAAAAAATTGTTATGTATTGAAGTCTAGAAATAGAGTGGAAAAGAGTGGATTTCCAAAGAAATAAATTGAACAAACAGAAAACACTGGATGGATTTGTGAATAGCATTGACCATTGGGGAAGAGACTACTATGATCCCTTTACATTGATTGTCTACATGTTTTCTGATTTCAAATGGATAGTAAAGGGGTTCTTTCCTAATGTATAGTTACGACAAATATAATCATAATATTATATTTCTAATTTATTTTATGAATAACGTATCAACTATATATAGATAATATCTATGATTAAGAGAACACACAATTGTGTGATCACTAATCTATGTTATAAATAAAAAAGAGAAGAAAAGAGATTACATGTATCTACGGAAACATAAAGTGAACAAACATCAAGAAGACACTCCAAATTAATACATGTATATAGAAATGCAATAAGTAGAAACTTCATTGAATCAAATATTAGAAACATTTTTGTTTCTATGATCTATAGAGCTTTGGTTGTTCGATTGTTTCATTACATGTCGTTTTGATAGTATAATATATTTTATCAGACAATTTCTGATCAATTTCAGTTGAAAAACACCCCTCTACACATGGCATGTTCAGAAGGCCATATCAAAGTTGTGAGAGCTTTAATTGCAGAAAAGGCAAAACTAAACCCACAGAATAAGGTAAGAAATTATGAAGCATCTTACTTTCTATAAAAACTCCCGCATGCTGTTATATTTGGAGAAAAAATATTTTGTGTATGTTCCCTTTGGAAGTAAGACCTATCATACCCAAAGCTTATAATGTGGAATATGGTTTAAATAAGTCTGTGGATGTTTTTGTTTTAGTTGTTCTAAACTGTTCTTTATGATTATAGAATGGCCAGACCCCCCTACAACTAGCAGCCTATCATGGTCACCATAAGATTGTCATGTGTCTTCTTGATGCCGACTGTAAGATTGATGAACAAACTGGGGTACGATAATTTTATATTTCTATAAGTTACATGGAAATGCTACACTAGTAATCTGACTGAATGATAGCTGCAGATGGTAGCCCTGCAGATTATGAGCATTTTAGGCACCATGAAGCAGAATAAAACAAAGTGTTCTATATCCAACCCATAACTATCCATTTTCCATCCATTAAAATCTAAATCTAAATGTTTAACGTTTCTGTTGGATAGTACTATAGTTGTAGGTATTTAGCGAATCAATTTTCCATTTTAAAGCATGATTACCTTTACATTTTTCTCCTTTTAAATCAAATCTTTTTACTCTTTGGCTTTCAGTTCAGTGCATTCACTGCCCTCCACTTTGCCGTAAAGAGCAGTCAGGAGACTTGTGTCAGAGCCTTGCTAGAACGTGGGGCTAACACAGATATAGCCGATCTGGTGAGTTAGGTGTTTTTATATTTCCATCTATTCTTATAGCAAACAAATGTGTATTTAAGTAATAATAAGTAATTAAGTTCTCAAAATAGGTTAGCTGTCAATGAGAGCCCTATTTTAAAGAATCCAGAAGAGATCGTTACTTTCATTTTATTTACAATGTTCTAGTATGTCCATGTAGACCAATTAAAACTTCATACACAAAGATTAAAAGATTTATTTCAACTAGCCAGAATATCAGCAAATTTGTCTCTGTTGCTGCAACCTTGATTATGATCAACCAAAGAGCATTCATCTTTTCTTATCCAAGGCAGAATAGACATACTGTAGTTGTAATCTTCTAGTACTTTGCGCTGTTCAAATAATGGCGCAGATAACTGAATGAGCATGTACATTTACACTGAACAAAAAGAATTCCTGGGTATTCTGAAAAATTGGCGAAGACATGAATTGGCGAATTTTTGGAATTCGCCAAAAATTGGTACCAAATTAAGTTGTCTAACAGTATGTTATAATACTTAATCTATTCATTTTTAAAGAAAATCTTTTAAGCTTATATTTTATGAGGATTGGTTCAAACGTTTTATTATGTACTGACCATTTTGTATAATACACATGGTTCTAATCTTTATATTTATAGATCAAGAAAATACCTGAATACTATGCCAAAACAGACCCAATCAAGGCACTATTCGCAAAGTACTCAAAGAACAAAGACAGCAAACAAGACAAAGAGAATAAAAAACCTGTAGAACATACTGATGATGCCACAATCGCTACAAAAGAAGGGAATAAAAGATCGAAACAAGATAAATCTAAAAATGAGGACAATAAGAATGCAAAGGAAGATGATAGCAAAAGGTCAAAGACTGATGAAAAATCAAATAAATCTAAAGAGAGTGAAAAGACTAAATCAAAAGAGGAGAATAAAAAATCAAACACAAAAGAAAGTAATAAAAAGGAAAATGATACTGACAATAAGAATGATGATTCAAAGGCTAAAAGTAAAGAAAACAAAACAAAAAATAATGATGAAAATACAAAACAAAATGATAAGAATAAAGCAAAGTCAACAGATAAGGCCGATGAAGAAAAGAAAGGCAAGAATTCACAAAAAGATAAAAAGGACATTGACTCTGACAAAGGAGAAAATGAAAGTGATAAAAACAAAACAAAGTCCAAAGATAAGGCTGGTGAAGAAAATAATGACAAGAAATCACAAAAAGATAAAAATGACACTAAATCTGATGATGCAGATAAGAAAAACAGTAAAAGCAAAGAGGAAAAACCCAAAGAAGACAATAAAGAAGAAAACAATCAAAAATCAAATGATGAAAACAATAAGAAAGGAAAACAGAATGAAACAAATGAAAGTGTGCAAGACAAATCATCAAAGGAGAAAAATGAGTCACATGATAACAAAGACAATCCCAAAAAAGATAAAAGGGTGAAATTCAGTGAAGAAGTTGAGGAGAAATCAAAAAAAGAAAATGAGAAAGAGAAACCTCCTAACAAACCAAAAAAAAATGAGCCAAATAACCCAAAACCTGTAAAAGAGAATAACCCAAAACCTGTAAAAGAGAATAACCCAAAAGCTGTAAAAGAAACTAACCCAAAAGCTGTAAAAGAAAATAATCCAAAAACTGCTAAAGAGAATAACCTAAAAACTGTTAAAGAGAAAAATAACCCTAAAGCAAAAGAAGATCTTAAAAAGAAAGCACCAGTCAAACAAGCTCCTCCAGAACCGCAACCATCACCAAGACGGAGACGTGAAAAACCAATGACAGAAGAAGAGAGAAAAAAATTTGAATTCATGAAGCGTAAAACAAATGTTAGTAAATTAACTGATAAACAATTTGAATATTCTGATGAATTTAGAGAGAAAATGAAGAAACCTTTATATGAAAGACTCATGGGAGGTGGTGGGTCAAAAAGGAAGTAGCTAGATGCTTTAGTTTGTCAAAATATTTCATGTTCTACAGCAATTTAAAACTTTTTATAGTGTTGTAGTTTTTAATAAATTAATTACATTTCTATAATTATAATGTTGTTGATTATTTTATGATGACGTTTCATTTCAAAATCATTTTGGCTAATATGACACCATGACAAGGCTTAGACCAATCCTAAAATATCTTCAGCGAGAAATGAATTGAAACATTTTCAAAGAGTGCATATGCCAACGTTTTACACAGGAAATTTTGTTGTTTGATAATAGTTGAATGAATATGAATACATACTGGGTGAAAATGTCTTATGAGTAATCAACATAACTCAGAAATATTACAACCTCAATAATACTTCATTCCAGAGGAAGAGTAAGTTTTTTGAGGTTTTTGCATAAATGATTGTTTACTGAAACAAGTTGATCTTCATATTGTGAATGTTTGAATGTGAATGTTGTGTTTTTTAATTTGTTTTTTTTTTGGTGCTGTATCTACCATATAAAAGATACATGTGTGCTCTTTGGGTTCTGTGTACTCTATGGCATGAATTGTCAAATTTTTCTCAAAACGTAATTAATTACATTTCAGACTGACCCCCTCTCTCAATAATTTAGCAAAACACCAATTGATTTTTCTTAATTTGTCTAATGTTCCACTTTAACCTTATTGTACTTGTAACCCCTCACCTAAAAATATAATTTCTTGGCAAACAATGATATACTGACTCTAGAATCACTATTGTTAACAATTTCTTATTCATCACTTGGTCCATAAATTGAAGCCCTTATGTCAAATATTGTTAATGTTTACCAAAACTAAATAGGGTCCATAAAAATGAAAACTTTTTGTCTTATTTACACAAATGCTGTTTAAATACTGTATAAGGCTTTTTTATGAAGTAATTCTTTTCAGTTTTTTAGATCACTATTTGAATTATTTAAATCAACATCAAACAAGACAACAAGCTAGAAAATGAAGGAACTTTCTTTGGAAAGGACACACTATTATTTCATATCTTCTTGTATTTTTCATCATGAGAAAGAATGAAGAGCTTTATGTGAAATTCTCAAAATGATCTCCTTTACTGTTTATAATTTTATATGCGAGGAAATACAATAATGTACAATAAAAGCCTGACCTCGAAAGAGAGAGTTTCTAAGAGGAGAGACTAAATTACACCCTTGTGTTCGATCAATAGAAGAAGCTTTAAACCAACCCATGTTGACTCCTTAGTCATAACTATATTTAATTGTGGTGATTATTCCATTCTTTTTTTCCCAGGAACAAACTGCAGTACATTCACATCTAATACAATTTACAGTGTCAACCTCTTGTATTTTCATGTCATTTCTTGATAACTTTCATCATTTTCATGCCTTTATGCATCTGATAATCTGACTTAGGATTTTACCCAAGGACATACAGGGAAGCTGTAGAATAAAAACAAGTTGAAAACCAACTTGAAATGTTCAAATTTTAGGTGTTCACTTCCAAAGGGTAATTTGACAAGGTAGAAAATTATTGGAAATATATTTAATATTAAAAGTGTTCACTTTATCATAAGTGTTCATCTAATCTTGATGTTTACTGTTCACATTAACAGGTTTTACTGTACTGCACATAAAGTGAATTGATATCCCTTTAATGTATATCTTAAGAATAAAGAACATCTAAGTCGTAACTCTGATGTTTACGAGCTGCTCCTGAATTATTGATAAAGCGAAAACACAATCTGTAACTATGGTAACTGAATACAGTAAAGATATTAATGTCTATGAGATGGATTCAATAGATGAGATTCTTTAAAGCAAGGTAAGTTATTTTAACTTAATATGAATCACACATGAAAAAACATACAGATAAAGTTAAATAGTCACAGAACTCCTAAATTCATTCCCTTTAAAAAGTAAAATTGTGTTGCTTATTTGTAGCACCATCTTGGCACAGAATTTCAAGGAGTAATCTAAATAAATATAGATATTTCTGAAATATACCAAAGACTCAAGATAGTAAAGTATAATACATCCTTTTCAAATCTACCGTGATAAAACCAAACACTTATCTGCATGTATTTCTCATGCACTGTATACTAATTAGAAAGCTAGCCTTTAAATTTTAAAGAAATTTCACATATTCTGGAACTTCCCTTTAGCAGTTTATCATATTGCATGCAGACATTCACTTTTCCTGGCCAAAAACACTCTCTTTGCATTCCAAAACAATTCATACTTGAAATTTTATCTTAGGGCTACCTCTACTTTCATCAAAGCAATGCAGGTTTAAGTTTCCACGCCTGTTGAAACAATAGAAATTGATACTCAACCATAATTAGAATTGTATGCCATATTCTCTCCATTAGTCGCACACCTAATAAAACAGGGACGATATAAAAAGCTGATCTAAAAGCCAAAATCTGAATTTTAGCATCCACTTTTGAGAGCTTCTTTGTAAGATTCCAAGAGAGAAACTATGCTCAGATGCATCTTTTTGGAGAAATGTAAACCCATTGTATATGTAAATGCATTTCATTCTATATCTATGACGACATTGAAAATGATATGAACAATCAGATATGACTCGTTACAGGATGGAAGAAACCATTGATGAAAAGGGCCTAAAACTGAGAGATGCAGCTCAAAGAGGGGACCTATCCATGTTGTATAACATGATTGATGTGAAGGCTGACATTAATGATACAGATGAGGTACATTATAATTATACCCCTATACTGCCCATAGTCTTATCTACAAACATGGAAGTCTAGGCTTCTGAATAAAAGTACATTGGTGTTGAAATGATGAGTTGTTTGCATTATCATGTATGCATTGCTATGTTATTATGTTACAGTACAAAAATACGGCACTACACCATGCATGTAGAGAGGGCCATCTATCTGTAGTAAAGGCACTAATTGACGCTAAGGCAAAGCTTAACAGAGAAACAAAGGTATTATTTATATGAATACTGAATGAATATGAAAACACTGATTTCAATTTCTACTGGATACATGAAACCATGGACTTGATTTTACAAGACAATTATAAAGACAATTCCAATATTTTTCATAAATCATGATTATGATGGCAGATTCCAATTAACAAACATGTGCTCAACTTAATCTTCCATTCTCATATAATTTCTCTACCTTGGTAAAGGTTCATATTTTGTCCAATTTTGCTCTGAATTGTGAAAATGAGAATTTTGCACCCACGTGAGAAAAAATCCTATGGAGACCACTGAAAATATAAGTTGATGTTACTTATTACGCAAAATATTCCAGATTGGACAGACCCCACTTCAACTTGCAGCTAATAGAGGGCACCACATGGTTGTACAGACACTTTTAAATGCAGATGCAAAGAAGAACAAGAGAACAGGGGTGAGTGATTTTCCCCAAATTTTACAAAAGTATCCTTACATGTAATTGCTAGTTAACGTAATATTAAAGACACTTATTTGAGAAACTCTCCTCATTTCAATTTGAACTATAAATATATCTCCTTTATAGGACATTATTGTAAGTCCATTTTTTGATTGTCACACAGGCCTGTATTTATCACACAGGCCTGTATTGTTTTAGTATCCACCAGCACTTTTATGTAGCCTTGTTTATTTATGGTAGTTATGACAACATGATTCACTTCATTCTGATACATTAAATGCATTTTCAGTATAGCGCTTTTACTGCCCTACATTTCGCAACTAAAAGCTGTCATGCAGAGTGTGTTAAGATCTTGCTGGACTGCAATGCAGACACAGAAATACTAGATCTGGTATGTGACCATTGAAAGAAAATCAGAAAAATGGCCAAAATATTCACTACATACCTACGTCAAGGGTTTTCTCTCTAACTGTAGTTTGAACCACAGTAACTAGGTCAACAGAAAGGTGGCACTAGTGGTCTTACTATTCACCTCTTTTGTACTGTCATCTTTCTGAAGACCTAGTGCCCCCTAGTCCTTATGGTTCAGGCAGTTATAAATCCTTATGACCTCAATGATGGGTTTTCAAGAGAGAAGGCCCATGCCTGAAGTTTGGGCAATTAAGAGTATTGTCAAATAAAAGAGTATTGGTCAGTTCTCAATCATTCATTTTGTTTTAAAATATGACGATATGTTTAATTTCAAAATAGAGAAACAGAGGACGAAATCAGAGCAAGAAAAAAGGAAAATCACTGAATTTTTATTTAAAAAGAATATCTAATCATGGTATGGTATTTAGTAGAGGTGTCCTGGGTCAGATATTTTTTTGGGTTGGGTCAGGCCAGAAAAAAGGGTGCGGGACGGGTATTTTCTGGTCGGTTCAGAAGAAAACAGAAAAATTAATTTGCCTTACTTTTTAATAACATCTTCTGATAACATCAATACTGCATATTATGCTTTGATAAAGGGAAAATGATAGAAACTTAGCATTAAATCATTTCGAGAAGAACCATAAAGGAAATAGGCAAGCTAGAAGTTTCAAATTTTTGCTGGGAACATAAAGCGTTTTATGATAATTTCCAATATTCCTGGGTGTTCTGACCTGACCCAAAATTGGTAAGTTTACTAAGTACGTAGTTGTAGATGTTTGTGACCCGAGCCTTCCAAATGATAATAACTATTGAATTAAATTAAGTACAGAAAATGTTTATCTTTCAGATTAAAAAACCAGCAGAATATTATGCAAAGACAGAGGAAATAAAAGAATTGTACAGAAAACACAAAGAAAAAGATGCACATTGGGATAAATACATTGATAAAGAAAACAAAAAATCTCGGAAGTCTGCAAGACGAAAAAGAGAAAAAACACTTCTTGAAGAGAAACATGTGAGTTTTGTGGAGGAAAATATAAGGAAACCAAAAGCAGATAGCAAAAAACGCGACAAATCCCCACATGAAAAACCCAATACTCCACCGAAAACCAAACGTGACAAATCCCCACATGAAAAACCCAATACTCCACCGAAAACCAAACGTGACAAATCCCCACATGAAAAACCCAATACTTCACCGAAAACCAAACGTGACAACTCCCCACATGAAAAACCCAATACTCCACCAAAAACCAAACGTGACAAATCCCCACATGAAAAACCGAAAACTCCACCAAAAACCAAACGTGACAAATCCCCACATGAAAAACCGAAAACTCCACCCAAGACCAAACGTGACAAATCCCCAAATGAAAAACAAAATACTCCAACTGAAAAGAAACGTGATAAGTCCCCAAAAGCTGAAAATCTGGATGACACCATTATGACTGAAAAGGAAGAATTTGAAAGATTAAGTAAGAAATCTGAATCTGACATGACTTCTGATGAAAGAGCAAGGTATAAATTCTTAAGAAAAAATCACAATGCTGGAAAAATATTCAACAAAAAGTTTGAATTTTCAGAAGAGCATAAAGCTAAAATGAAATCTTCTGTGTATGATCGGCTAATGGGTGGAGGTAAAAAGCCTCCAGTGGAAAATGCTAGAAAAAAAGTGGCAGAAAAGAAAAAGGTTAAACCCATGTACTAAATGTACTACAAACTGTAGAATATGTAAATGAACTAGTTTGTTAAAATCATTTCATCATATAATATGGATCTTGTTAACTGTAATTTCTAGTGTTTTGGTGGTATCATACTATATATGGTATCAATAAATACATTTTTATATCGACAAGAGGTTGTTTCTAAATGCCCCACTACAGGGCACCATTGTTCCTATCTTTATTTCATCAAATTTCCCGACAATCAAGACAAAAAAAAATTATTTATTTCTTTTGATTCACATGACCTCTAAAAAGTTCATATATCTTACTGATAGTTTCAAAAACAGTTTTTTTTCTATAAATTTTTTATTTTATTTTAAAGTTCTGATGACAAATCTTCCCATCACATTTTATTATTTAAAAAGTCCCTGACATTTTAGCCCTTTTGGCCAGATTTCAAAATTCTCTGACATTTTGAGGTATGCATTTCTCTGACAAGAGAACTACAGACGAATAACAACTTGAACAAGTATGTAGCCCATGTTGTAAATTTAATAAAAATCAGACATCTTATTCAAATTCGAATGAAATATTGTCAAATATACATTAATAAGCATGAGCAAATTTCTAAACTGAATTTCCTGGTTTAGGTGGTCACATACATCATGATAAACCATGACATCTAAAATCTTCCCAGCCTTTCAGGTGAAACAGAAAGATGCTAAGAGTATCAGAATGAGTCACATACATAATAGTACTTACAGGTACATGTAGTCCATAGAGGTCTCTGTTGCTATTCACTGCATCTAGAATATTATTCTGCATTCGTTCTAACCTTTTGTCTTCATTAGGGTCAACACCCTAGAAAAGACCAATGTACTGCATATTACAACAATGCATTAACATGCCAAATGTCACCACCTGTCATTTGTTACAGATGCCTAACACCAACCACCAGACACAGAACACAAACTACAAATCCAAAACTCATTCCACAAAAAAGTTGGAGATTATAACAATATGAAACCACTGGTGGTGACATAAAAATGGACTATTTCATCCTACGTTTTCTTTTTAACCTCGAATGAATATGATTTATTCACCAGAAAAATCTTCTTGACAATAGAAATGGCTTAATATTATATTTGATATCATACACAAATTACCATCATTGTATAGATAATGAATTTGTGGACATAGTATCATTTTGTCTAATTGCTAAAATGGAATTGTATTTGACTGAATATGATCCACGTGCGTTTTCTGCTGAATAGCTATTATTAGCTAATATTGCTAATATCTAATAGCTCGTATTTCATGTTTTCACTTATCAGCTAGAGGATTTATGCTTTGAATTATTAGTTTTAGAATAACTATGCTGATTAACTCTATAGAAAAGAAAATTTTGGTTGGCTACATGGTGTTGTGAATTTATTAATTTATCAACTGAAGTCACTTCATAAAGGATGTGTCCGGGTATATGCCCTTTTGGTCCCTCAGTCAAATGTATGTTAAATATGTTTTTTATTACTGTCCTAGTTATATTTGATAAGTATATTTACTTTTTCACGAATTTTGATGCATAATTAACCCCCTGCTGAGAGTCAGAATAAGTATCTTAACAAAAAAATAAATAGTCATTATTATAGAAAAAACATCAATGGCAACATGTATGACATTCAAAGAAGAAATAACTTAAGACCCATGAAGAATTTAAAAGAAAATCATATTTTTGAAATATATTTAAGGATTAAAATTTTTTTCAAATTTTTGAATTTCCCGCCAGTTTAATTTGAAGGGAGAAAAACAAGATGGCTGCCATTTGATGTAAGAAATATCAGAAAAAAAGTTGCTTCACTTTTAGTTTTCACAATGAGCAGTTTTCCGGTTTAGATTTTTTGACTGATTCTGACTCTTCATCACCAGGGTCATGTATAGAGATTATAAAATTGAAACCGGAATGTTGTGCTCAGCATGAATTTGACTGAAATATGTGTAACTTCACCAACACAATTGAAGTCTCAAAACTGGATGCTCAGTAACTTTGAGTGACTATAATCCCTTGATTACCCAGATAAACACCAATTCACTTATCCAGAAATGCCATTCAATGTCTATACAAAGAAAGTAAGCAATGTTTTGGAGGATATGTTTCAAACCTTTTGCATAAATAATTCATTTAATATTTGCCATTGATTTTTTTTCAATTCTGACAAAGTGATATGCACTGTCTTTGATGCCAATATTCTTCATTAATTGTGATACAAATTGATATTTTTGTACTCTCAGAAGAAGGATAAGATATTGAAGTTTAATAATATGTGTGATTGAGTTGGTTTTTCAGACATTACAATTTTCAATATTTTCTAAGTCGATACCCAGACTCATTCCCAGACTCATCCTTTAAGAATTCCTAAATGAATTTAACCATTTCAAACAATGGACTTCTTAATTTCTAGGAAGTTGAAGAATATGAATAAATAGTGCTAATGGTGTTTCATGTATATCCACTTTGTTAACATAGATAATTGTTAAAGGACGAACCTTCCCAGTGATCTTTGGGGCAATTGGAGCAGGTAAAGGCCCAGCAAACACTGCAGTTGCAGTCTGAAATAGAACATAACAAGAGAATGTCATGAAAATTGATGTTATGTAAAGCAACATGTTACTATTGATGTCATATAAACTTACATTTTACTATTGCTGATGTCATATTAATGACATGTTACTATTGATGTCATGTAAATTGATGTTATGTAAAGTGACACATTACAATTGATGTAATGTAAAATGACATGTTACTATTGATGTCATGTAAAGCAACATATTACTATTGATGTCATATCAACTTATTCCTACTAATGTCATGTAAAGTTATTATTATGAATGAATTATCCATGAATTATCCATATTTAAGAAATGTTTGACATACTGCTATGGCAACCAGTAATTCTTCGCCAACTGTGACCTGGATCTTCAAGCCAAACAACAGGTTCATTCCTTTTATCTTCAGTTTACTCAGTAACTGTTTGTGAAGCTCATACTCCATGAATGGAAGATTCTGAAAATATTAATAGTTCAACATTTACATGGAAAACATACATTCAGTCCATACTCCACCCACAAATGAGAGATCCTGACAAAATTAAACAAGGCATTAACATGACAAAATGTCACCACCTAGTTGCTCACAATATTATGAGTTCAATCTTAAGATTTGGATTTCCAAGAACTTGTAGATGATTTTGAAAGAATAAATTGGTCAATTTGAAGCAAGTTGAAAAAAGACATTTTTTGACCATGAAAAGTCAGATTTGAACTTCTGAGAACTTGTAGATGATTTTGAAAAAAAATTGTTCAATTTGAAGCAAGATGAAAAAATACCTTTTTGACCTTAAGAATTTCATGGAAGGTCAAATCTATAGTCAGATTTGAACTGATGAGAACTTGTAGATGATTTTGAAAAAGAATTGGTCAATTTGAAGAAAGTTGAAAAAGATGTTTTTGATCTTTTTTGACCTTGAGAAGGTCATTGAAGGTCAAATCTAAAATCTAGAATCAGATTTGAACTTCTGACAACTTGTAAGTGATTTGGAAAAAATTGGTCAATTTGAAGTAAGTTGAAAAATACCTTTTTAACATTTTTTTGACAAACAGTGATTGAAAATTGCTGAAAATCCACTCCAGGTTTCATTTTAGTTGAGATACCAATCTAGGCTAACTTTTTCAATTTATTTCCCTATACACAAGGACAAGGGAGAAAAGACGTCACAACAGACGTCATGAAGTCAATGGAAATATGAAATTGTATATAATCCCACAATAAAATCATTATACAATTGCAATTAATTAGTGATGTGATACAAACCCAGCTGAGAATCTAGCCAAGATGATTATTGTTGCACAGTGTATCAATTGTGATCTTGAATGTCTGAATTAATGAAACATAGCATGTGGCCAGCCACACTAAACCAAATCATTCCATTGGTTCTCTGAGCTTGACAGAGAACATTAAGATCATACTAGCTAAATATGTTTCAGACTGGAGAGATGTAGAATACATTCCGCAGGAAAACAATATTTAAAACTAATTGGAGAAGTTAATTGTTGTGAAGTTCAACTAAGAAAGTGCAAAATGACTCAGGTAGCATTGACAAATTCAACTGCGATTGGTGGATTAACTGCTATCTATATGGCCAACTCATTTAAATATGAATAGTACCTGCTACTTTTCACTTATAAATGAATTTGCCCTAAAATAGCAGTTATTCCGTCAGCTGACAGCTGGTGGTTGAATTTGCAAATGCTAGCTTTTTCTTCACAAACAGTTGGACATTTAAAAAGGATTTCGTCTAGAATAACTGATGACAGCGTTTTGTAAATTACAGATGAAAAAAACTATTTAGATGAGTATAAATGATGTATTTTGTGGTACACAATTTGAGGGTGTAACATTTTTTGCAAAAAACAATATCCAACATTTGAACATGGTTGGGGAAGATACTTTTTGGAGCTCAATGGAACAAAATAACTCATTGAGTAAAATGCGAGGAAACGAGACTTGGAATGCACATCTTCTAAAACCCGAGCTACCAAGACATCAAATGATTGTGCATATGTCGATCGAAATTCTCCTGATTCTGCTGACTTGTTGTGGAAACATTGTAGTTCTTATAAGTATCTGGTTACGTAGGAGTTTACAAACAGTAAACAACATGTTTCTTGCAAGTCTATCCCTCGCAGACTTAATAATGGGAACATTTGCCTCACCACTTTCAGTTTACATCCTTTACATGGTACCAATCGTATATGGTTCCCATATTCAGGATAAATGGCTTTGTACATGCAGGTATTTCGCAATCTGTATGTCTGTAGCGCCATCTTTATTTAGCCTTTCAGGGATTGCTATTGATCGTTACATAGCAGTGGTTTACCCAATCAAGTATCGAGAAACTGTTACTCGAACATGGGCGGTGATTTATCTAATATTCAGCTGGATTTACTGTACGATAGGATCAGCTATGCTGTTTTACAAAAACATGATCAGCTTTGATGACCCGGGGGACTTCTGCAGAACAAGAATGGTAATGCATCCTGATTTTTCAATTATCGTAAAAGCACATCTAGGTGTTCTCTTTCTCATTTGCTCCATCTCTCACATTACAATAGCATTTATAGCGTACAAGCGTAAGAACGCAGTTGCTACTGAACTGAATGTAACAAACAGTGACATAATGGTGCAAACCTACAAGAGACAGAAACGAATCACAAGGACAATGACATTGATCTGTGGTGTATTTGTTTTGTGTTGGCTACCATGGGTGATCATGTCTTTGATTTCCCTAGATGACTATCCAATGTGGTGGAAGTCATTGTTTTACTTTACCGTTGAGCTGTCATTTGCTGGTAGTGCAGTGAACCCATGGATTTATGCTTACAGGCACCGGACCTTACGCAAGGCCATGTTGAATGTCTTGAAGTGTAAATACAAAAGACTAACTGCTTCTGAAGTCATAGCTTCATCGTAAAACTCTGAGAGAGATAAACACTTTTACTTGTGAGGTTACATTTACATGTAAGGTTAATGTTTGGAAAAATATGTGAGATAAACATTATAGGTTTGCTATGGGGAAACCTAAATTGGGCAAATTTATAAGGCTTACATGTGAATGAAGCATTTGAGGTTAACCGATGTGGCGGACATGTGAGGCAAACCTCTAAAACTCACATATGAAGGGAACCTATAACAAACAGAGAAGTAGCAATATTAACAGTAAAATTGTGAACATGTAACTGTCAGAAGTCATATTGAGTGTTTTTGAGAGAGACATTAGATATCAAAGATTTATATGAAAATTGATTTAGTCAATCAAATAGTGACACTGGCAACTAAAAGATCCTAAATATGCCACTTGGTTGTTCATGAATTGAATACCAAATAACATGGTCAGAAGAGAAAAAACATATATTGTACCACATGTAATTCTGATGCTGTTAGTGGTGACGTATCACCATTTTGTGCTCCAGTCACAAAAGAGAACACTTACTTGCAAGATTGATATAGAAATACTGTTGGTTTCTTAGAACTAACCTATAATCTAGCCTTGCCCAAGTCGGTATTTTTTTACTAATCTGATCTTGAATTATTACCGCCTTGTACAATCCAATACATCTCCGCTGATACTGAGATATTCAATGGTTTCGAGATTTCCATAATACCTACGCTATCAGGGGTATCGCGAAACCTTATTGATTGACAGATCGCGTGGACGACATGACGTGTGACTCCAGGCTGATTGACCAATCAAAACGTTATCAGGTTGAGCTGCATAAACAAAGCAAACATCCTGTCTACGACTTGAAATTCAATGATCTGATCGAGTGTTTCTTTAGAGGTTGCAATAACATTCATGAATATATGTAATAAATGCACATTGGAATATAAGATTCATTAATATAAATTAAATCATGCGAATCAATGTTGATTTAAAACTGATTTCGCGATGAAAATGTAGCAAGGCATGCAGTCGTCGATCAGTGATTCAATCTCAGCCTACATGTTCGATCATTTGAATTCAGGGATCGTTTCAACGTTTATTGTTGAAATCTTATCACCTCCGGTTATCCAATCGATGCTCCGGCATCCACTAAACTCTGATTGATATTTATCTGAAAAAATATTTGTATTTTCATGATGAATTTGTGCAAGATTTGTTCGTGAAAAGTCCCGGTGAAAAGTGTACTTGTTTTTGACCGTGCATAATAATGAGCTAACGCTACAGGGCCGTCGTTGATTGGTCAAATTTTACTGACATCAACAAACTGTCGGTAAAGCACGTGGCTTTCTCTTTGGTACAAAGCGGTCATAATAGAAATCAAGATAAGTAAAAGAGACCGACTTGGGCAAGGCTACCTATAATCATATTGTTACCTAATTAGGGATCTATTTGAGACTCTGAGAAAATTATTGTGTAATGATTATCACTTCTATATCCTAATTACACGTACATATATGTCAATTAGGGAATCAATAGACAATTTTGTTGCCATTACTATGGCATTGTATATTACTGTAATTATGTATAGGCTGTATGTTTGTTTATGCTATGGGCCTGATGTATTGGCCTAAGATCACACAATAAAAACGTTATTCAATAATTTGAAGTGCAATACAGGATATATTATGTCTCGATATTATGCATTGGCACTTGACTTTGTCTCGTTCCAAAACAAAATTTCTTGAGCAGAATATATCTTGTATTGCACTTCAAATCATTCAATAACTTATATGTATTGTGGGAATTTTTAATTCCCCTGAGTAATACTTGGGCCTGTGAAACGTTTATTTTACAGGATTTTGTGTTATTTTATCTTTATTCAATGTTCCGTCCCTGTAACTTGGATGTTTACTTGATCAGCAAGCTGAGTTGGAATAAATTTGAATAATTAGGCACCCAGCAACAGAGCTCCACCAATCAGATTTCTTTATTTGAATTTACCGCCAACTTAAGTTGTATTTTCCCATAATGCAACCTGAGATGTCTGGACTTTAGCGTGAGATCGTGACCTGTAAATCAGAGTAAACCAAGACTTTGCAGAGGAAAGACCTCGTTAATTTGTATCGTTTTATGTGGTAGCGTGTTCGATGTGAATTGCGAACTAGATTACATGATATTTGGATTATTTGCTGACATTATTTGCTGCAGTTTTTGCGTCCGTTGTGACTGTGCGAGATACAAGAATATAACAGCCAGTTTTGGGTGAGTTGGCAATTTGATTATTGAGTTTGACGCCATATTGCTGTCCGCCATTTTGATTTCTTCTTCCCAGAATTCCCAGCGGTCGGCCATCTTTATTTTTACGGAAGTGATGTCATTTTAAGAAGTAATTCCTCCTCCGAGTAATTAAGGCTCTTGTCTAATCTCAGTTTGATTGATATTCGAGAGTCGTGTCTGCTCCGAGGACTCACTGCTCCGAGTGATTACTCCTCCAATTATTTAAGTGTTATATCTCCTCCGAGTTATATTTGGTCCGAGTAGTTACAGCTCTGTCTAATCTCCGTTGTGATTGATATTCGAGAGTTGTATCTGCTCCGAGGATTGCCAGCTCCGAGTGAATACTCCTCCATCTAGTTGAGAGCCATATCTGCTCCGAGGACTCACTGCTCCGAGTGATTACTCCTCCATTTATTCTAGAGTGGAATCTGCTCCGAGGGTTGAGGATACAGCTCCGTCTAATCTCAGTTTATTGATCGATATTCGTGAGTTGCTCCTCCTCCTCTGAGTTATTGATGATCCGAAATCGATACAAGTTGCTGAACTTGACGCATCCTCCGAGGTGATTTGACTCCTCCAGAAGCTAGGTACTGAGGTTACACTACCGGAACCAAAGTATCCCTGGGTTGCAAGGTTTACTCTCATTGGAGCCAAGGTTACACTCCCGGAACTGAGGTACTCCACGATCGAGAAGTGGCAGCTCTGGTCTAATCTCACCATTTGATTGACATTCCAGAGTTGTTATTTCTCTGTAGAAGTTGTAGTGGTCTCTCTTGTGAAGTGGTGACTCCTTGAGCAGAAGTTACTCCAGAGCCTGGACTCCTTCCAAGAGACAGTGTGAGTAGAGGTTGAGAAGAGATTACTGTGGTGACGAGGTTACTATAGAGACGGGAAGACTCCCGGTGCGGAAGGTACTCCCAATAGCCAGGGTTGCGTTCAGGAGCAGAGGTTTCCCCTGAGACGAGACAACTCCTGGAGTGGAAGGTACTCCAATAGCTAGGGTCTTGTACAAAAGAAGAGGTTTCTCCTGTGAAGTGGCGACTCCCCGAGCAGAAGATACTCCCGGAGCCTGGACCCCTTCCACGAGACAGTTTTATAGAGACAATATAACTCCTTGAGCCGAGGTTACACTTCCGGAACCAAAACTCCCGGAGCCCTGATTCCTCCGAGGTGAGAAGACTGAGGGACATTGGTGTGTGTTTACTGGGAGCAGTCACATCCCAGGTCTTATCTCAGCGGAGCCCCGATTCCTCTGAGACGAGACGACTCTGAGGGACAGCGCAGTGAAGATTATTTGGAGCATTTATAACTCGGGTCTAATCTCAGAGTATTGATTGACATTCCCGAGTGGTTCCTCCTCCATAGATATCACATTGCAACAGTGATATAGACGAGACGATACCTAGAGCAGAAGGACCTCCTAGAGGGTGAAGATAGTTCATAGGAGCAGATCCTCCTCCTTTTACAATTATTCAAGAAGGTGTTATTAGAAGAGAGAGAAGACTGGAAGAAGCTGAACAGAGACATTGAAGCTGTATATAGACATTTTGAATTTACTTGTACTATTATTTTACGTTTGAATAGATTTTAAAATCCCTGTATATCATTGTTATATTGCCATCTTTGAAAGGTAACTGCCGTACCACCAAACCAGGTCGGCACCCGTGTATAACACCTCCAAGATCCCTTATATCGTCCCTGGCCTTTCCTGAAGTTTGCATACAGGGTACTCCTGGGAATCGGCCAGGCGCGACATTGGTGGCAGCGGTGGGATCTGTTGCCTTAGAAGATGTCTGAGATGTCACAGAAGTGCGAGCGTTCGCCAGAGACGATGGAGCGAGAGGGCTCCAGACGAGATGACGTGAGAACTGGCGGAATTGTGCGATTGGTTCCAAAGATGGGTTTGAAGCATCTTGAGACTCCTGCAAGGGATAGATGTCCAGAAGAGCAGTCTGGTTCGGAGGGAAAATCGCTCCCAAGAGATGAGGAGAGAATGCTCCCAAGCGAGGAGGAGAGTCTCGGTGTTCCACTTATGAGAGTAGATGACACTCTACCAGAGGACTTAGATGAGAGAGCCGGAGCAACTCTAGTCCGAGGAGAGCCTAGAGTTATTTCCCCAGATATGACGATGAAGATTCTTCCTGATGTAGAGAAGGAAGATACTGGATACCATGCTGAATCTAGGCTAAGACGAGATGTTCCAGCTCCCGCTTTGAGAAGAGACCATTGGGCTCGGGGGAAGAGAGAATTCGACTCCACCAAGTCCAGGCTGGTGTCTTTAGAAGGGAGCTTGGGAACTCTGAGAGTAGATGTCCTTAAGATGCGAGATTGTTTACTTAGCAGACAATGTGAAGGGCAATTTGCGATCCATGAAGAGATGAACCACCTACATGAGGAGATAGCACATCTCTCTAATATGCAGAGGAACCTTTGTGAAGAGATGTCCCGTCACCAGGTGGAGGCTAAGAAGAGTAAAGCTGAGCTTGATGGTACATTGAGAGAGTTGACTGGTTCATTGAGACAGATTGCCTTAGATTTGCGAGTGACCAGAGGAGGATTTGAAACTCAAAAGGGAGCTAGGAAAACTCCAACAGACGAGCAATATGAGCTCCTGGGATCTCAGTACAATGCTGATGGAGTGACTATGGCTCGGGAACCCCAAAGACAAGTTGTGGCTGCTCGAGAAGTAGAAGCTCCCCAGGAGGACTCCAAGGCTCATCCTGCAGATGTGAAGAAGAGCGAAGATAGCTCCAATGGTAACCAGGAGCATGCAATGGTCAAGCTCGCAGAGAAAGCGATGGAAATGTGTGGAAAGGCCTTGGACTCAGTACAGCAGGGAAGAAAAACTAAAATCAAGATAACCCAGTTGTTCGATGGGAAGACTCCATGGCTGGACTATAAGGCACACTTCCAGAACTGTGTAGAGAGCAACCAATGGACTGATGAGGAGAAGAGACAGAACCTGACCAATCAGTTGCGAGGAGATGCCCAGCAGCTAGTACAAGAGCTGGAAGAAGGGCATACTTTTGATGAGCTAATAGAAGCCCTTACCAAAAGATTTGGGCCAGGTGAGAAAGCCTCATTGTATGAAGCTCAGCTGAATACAAGGGTTAGACAACCAAAAGAGTCATTACAGAGCTTGGGCCAGAGCATAAGGAGATTGGCCTCATTAGCCTACCCTGAGATGTCTCGTTCCTCCCAAGACAGACTTGCTCGGCAAAGCTTCGAGAGGGCTATTACTGATGATGATGTCCGAGCTGCAGTGCATCGCCGAGCCCCAAAGTCTCTTGACGAAGCCATAGAGGAAGCCCAGAAGGAGGAAGCTTACCAAGAGTCGGAACATATACGAAGGGGACTCAAGCCAAAACAATTGAACCATCCCATCTCAGTTGTGAATAGCGACCCTTTGGAGGAAAAGCTCCTCAAGATGATGGAGGATATGAAGACAGAGATGATGAAGGAGATGGATGAGGCGTTAAAGCTCTTCAAAGAGCAAAGAGAACTCCGAGCTCCTCGATCTATTATTTGTAGAAGATGTGGAGAGGAAGGGCACATTGTGAGAGGATGTCCTCTAGTAACCTGCTTCAATTGTTCGGAGCGAGGGCACCTCTCCATTGATTGTCCCAAATCCAAGAAGAGTAGAGATGCTCGAGGGGTCCATCCAGTTTGTTGCCTTGATGTCAGAGATCAAGCAGTGGTAGATCCTAAGAGAGCTGAATCTGCTCAGAAGATAGAGGCTGTTGTTGAGCTGTGTGGAACTCCTGTTAAGTGCCTGATAGACACAGGATCAGTGGTGTCTTTGATGAGTCTACACAGCTTCAACAGAATCAACTACCGGAAGAGACCACAACTGAAACCAGCCAAAGATGTCTTGCTGCAAGCCGATGGTTCTCCAATAGCAGTCTACGGCTCGTGTTCTATGGAGGTGGAGTTAGATGGAAGGAAGACCCCCTTGGAGATGGAGATTGCCGAAATCAGCCAGGATGGAATCCTAGGGACAGACTACCTGTCGGCTAGTAAAGCAGTGATCCATTATGGCTCTTTACAGATGAGCTTCCATGACTCCAACAGAGAAGGAATCCAGAGCTGTTGCTGCTCCCAAGAAGAGAAGTCAAAGGAGCCAAGAACTTTCATGACTGCAACCCACAAAAGAAGAGAGCAAAAGAAGAATGAGCTTCAAAAGAATCCCGATGAGCTAGGTGATACTGTGTGGCTCCAGAATAGCGGAAGGAAGAGCGAAGATGACTCTCTTGATGTTAAGAGCCGAGATGCCTCCAATAGACCTGGGGTGGGAGCTGAGGAACCTCAAGCCCTAGTAGACAGCCGAGAGAGACCTACACTCCTTGAGAAGGGAAGGTCAAGTAGGGGGGCAAGACGGTCGAGTAGTAGCGATTTGACAAGAGAGAGGCGAGCCTACAAACCAAGAGGGTCATCAAGTGAGCAGTCAGAAGAAAGTCTACCTTACAGAGCGAGACCAAGATGTCAAAGAAGACAGCCGACATACTTACCAGTATGTTGTGCTGATAGAGACAAGATGAACTGGAGAAGAGTTGACTCATCTGAGGAGCCAATGAGGCTCTCCCATGTGCATGGCAGAGGGGCAACTACTGAGGCGTAGTGACTCTTTTCCTAAATGATACAATACAAAGTTAAGATAGATAGTAGTGCAGATAGTAGATGAGTGTAGATAGACTGTTGATTGAGCGAGTATTGATGAAAGGAGCTAAGTGAGCTCTTTACTTGTAATTATTTTGTAAGAGGTACTTGAGCTCTTTATGTACATTGTAACATTGAGATGTATTTTCTTAGTAGTTGACTTTATATTGTGTGATCGTGGGCGATCAACCTTAGTAGGGGGGAGTGTGGGAATTTTTAATTCCCCTGAGTAATACTTGGGCCTGTGAAACGTTTATTTTACAGGATTTTGTGTTATTTTATCTTTATTCAATGTTCCGTCCCTGTAACTTGGATGTTTACTTGATCAGCAAGCTGAGTTGGAATAAATTTGAATAATTAGGCACCCAGCAACAGAGCTCCACCAATCAGATTTCTTTATTTGAATTTACCGCCAACTTAAGTTGTATTTTCCCATAATGCAACCTGAGATGTCTGGACTTTAGCGTGAGATCGTGACCTGTAAATCAGAGTAAACCAAGACTTTGCAGAGGAAAGACCTCGTTAATTTGTATCGTTTTATGTGGTAGCGTGTTCGATGTGAATTGCGAACTAGATTACATGATATTTGGATTATTTGCTGACATTATTTGCTGCAGTTTTTGCGTCCGTTGTGACTGTGCGAGATACAAGAAGATAACAGCCAGTTTTGGGTGAGTTGGCAATTTGATTATTGAGTTTGACGCCATATTGCTGTCCGCCATTTTGATTTCTTCTTCCCAGAATTCCCAGCGGTCGGCCATCTTTATTTTTACGGAAGTGATGTCATTTTAAGAAGTAATTCCTCCTCCGAGTAATTAAGGCTCTTGTCTAATCTCAGTTTGATTGATATTCGAGAGTCGTGTCTGCTCCGAGGACTCCGAGGACCGAGTGATTACTCCTCCAATTATTTAAGTGTTATATCTCCTCCGAGTTATATTTGGTCCGAGTAGTTACAGCTCTGTCTAATCTCCGTTGTGATTGATATTCGAGAGTTGTATCTGCTCCGAGGATTGCCAGCTCCGAGTGAATACTCCTCCATCTAGTTGAGAGCCATATCTGCTCCGAGGACTCACTGCTCCGAGTGATTACTCCTCCATTTATTCTAGAGTGGAATCTGCTCCGAGGGTTGAGGATACAGCTCTGTCTAATCTCAGTTTATTGATCGATATTCGTGAGTTGCTCCTCCTCCTCTGAGTTATTGATGATCCGAAATCGATACAAGTTGCTGAACTTGACGCATCCTCCGAGGTGATTTGACTCCTCCAGAAGCTAGGTACTGAGGTTACACTACCGGAACCAAAGTATCCCTGGGTTGCAAGGTTTACTCTCATTGGAGCCAAGGTTACACTCCCGGAACTGAGGTACTCCACGATCGAGAAGTGGCAGCTCTGGTCTAATCTCACCATTTGATTGACATTCCAGAGTTGTTATTTCTCTGTAGAAGTTGTAGTGGTCTCTCTTGTGAAGTGGTGACTCCTTGAGCAGAAGTTACTCCAGAGCCTGGACTCCTTCCAAGAGACAGTGTGAGTAGAGGTTGAGAAGAGATTACTGTGGTGACGAGGTTACTATAGAGACGGGAAGACTCCCGGTGCGGAAGGTACTCCCAATAGCCAGGGTTGCGTTCAGGAGCAGAGGTTTCCCCTGAGACGAGACAACTCCTGGAGTGGAAGGTACTCCAATAGCTAGGGTCTTGTACAAAAGAAGAGGTTTCTCCTGTGAAGTGGCGACTCCCCGAGCAGAAGATACTCCCGGAGCCTGGACCCCTTCCACGAGACAGTTTTATAGAGACAATATAACTCCTTGAGCCGAGGTTACACTTCCGGAACCAAAACTCCCGGAGCCCTGATTCCTCCGAGGTGAGAAGACTGAGGGACATTGGTGTGTGTTTACTGGGAGCAGTCACATCCCAGGTCTTATCTCAGCGGAGCCCCGATTCCTCTGAGACGAGACGACTCTGAGGGACAGCGCAGTGAAGATTATTTGGAGCATTTATAACTCGGGTCTAATCTCAGAGTATTGATTGACATTCCCGAGTGGTTCCTCCTCCATAGATATCACATTGCAACAGTGATATAGACGAGACGATACCTAGAGCAGAAGGACCTCCTAGAGGGTGAAGATAGTTCATAGGAGCAGATCCTCCTCCTTTTACAATTATTCAAGAAGGTGTTATTAGAAGAGAGAGAAGACTGGAAGAAGCTGAACAGAGACATTGAAGCTGTATATAGACATTTTGAATTTACTTGTACTATTATTTTACGTTTGAATAGATTTTAAAATCCCTGTATATCATTGTTATATTGCCATCTTTGAAAGGTAACTGCCGTACCACCAAACCAGGTCGGCACCCGTGTATAACACCTCCAAGATCCCTTATATCGTCCCTGGCCTTTCCTGAAGTTTGCATACAGGGTACTCCTGGGAATCGGCCAGGCGCGACAGTATCATATCGTATCATATTATATCGTATCATGTTGAGTTTACTTGAAAAAGGTAATATACTAGTAAATACATTAAAACCTGTATGTCTGAACACCTTTCATTTTGAACTTTATTTTGGTTCTGCCATTGAACTCCATGTGAAAAAAATTAAAATATGTCAATCCGAAGACTTTTTGCCAGTTCCATTACATTCAGATAAGGCAGGTCCTACTGTATATCAATATAATTGTGAATTAAGCAATTTGTTGGTAACAAGTTGCTGAATAGTATAGTTTCCATATAGCTTTTGAAATCTCGCTAAATCTCGTTTTTCGTGAGATTTTAAGAGACTTGCATATTAGACCTTTAATGAATTACATAATCTTCTTTTAAATGGCATATTTGAATTCAGTGAAATGTTTTCTCCTTAAATAGCTTTGATTTACACAGTTATGTAATTTTAATAATTTTCTATGACAATTTAAAAAAACTTGGGCCAAATGTCCATAGATGCAATGCTAAAATTCTTTAAATCCGTGGATTATTTGTATGTCAATCAACATTTGCATGTTTAATCACAACATGTACATAAACAGGGTCATTCAAGTTTTATACAGATTCAACAAACACACTTTGATAAATCATGAAATTAAGCCACTTTTCCAAGATTTTAGCATGTAAATGAATGGAGCTCTAGCCCAAGTTAAAAGCTGAATAAAAGATGGCAGCACGAGATTTCATTGATTTTTCTGCTATTTAGAAACTATCCTATTAATTTAATGACATCACAATTATTATTACCATTGGTTGCACATATATGATTGTAGTAGTGTAAATGTTGAAAAATAAATTGAGTTGAAAGAATGACTTACATCACTTATTTCTTTGGCATTTGTCTCTCCTTTCAGTTCTTTCTTCACTCTGCATATTCTGAAAAATAAACAAATCAGGGACCATGAATCTATGAATCAGTACAATCCAAATTTCTGATGCATTAAGTAATTAATCTGGAGTTTAATTCTTTTTTTCAATTCAAAATAAATATATATCAATTTTCAATCTAAATTTTAATCAAACCATTTTGAGTATTATGATAATTTTAAAATCTGTTTAGACAATAGAGTTATTATTTGTTCAATAAAAGATATATTTCACTTTCATGATTTTATAACATGGGCTCTGTGGGGAATCTACCAAACCTGAAAATCAGATTCCCAAAAATAAAGTTTAAAATAAAGTTAAGCTGATAATGTTTAAAACCACATATTTCAGATCTTTGTAGCATTCAGATATGATGCAACATTAAATATTTAGCGATTAAAAACTTTATTTTTACTAGCATCTAATCCATGGTTTCGCTAAGAAGAATATGCTAACATTTCACCTGTTTACCAAACACTTGTTTTCCTCAGTTAACATACTTTTAATTATTTTTGAATTTAGATCAATTTTATCTTTGTTTATCAACACTCAAAGATGTTTGTTTATTTTGTAACCTTTTCTCTTTTTGTACCTTACTGTATTAAATAATTGTTCTCTCCAGGATCTTCCATATGAAGCAGGTGTAAAATTCTCATTTTTCACAATATTGACAAAGTTGGTCAAAATATGCCAATTCTCAATATTTTTTTGTTTTCAAGTTTAAAGTAAGTGACAATAGATTTCCAGGTGGGAAAAAGCCAATTTTCACAATTGCAAGTGGATGTTGTATTTCATAAAACATACGGAACCATTTCTTGAAACTGATCTCTATCTACTGAATGAATTAACAAATCATAGCCATAACCAGAACAACGGCAACGCCAAAGCGTAGCGAATCCCATCGAACAGAAATGGCTGGCATTTTTACAAACGAATAGCAAATATCATAAAACAACACACCAGAAAGGCCACCATTTTCAAAATGGTTGCTCACTAGCCAAGTTGTCATCAGAAGAAATAATATGCTTTTAAGTAGCCACCTCTAAAATTTTTGAAAAATCACACATGTACTTGTAAAATAACACACATAAAAATGGTTTCCATTTTTCAAAATGGCCGACTACTCCCCAAAGTTTTATTAGACAATGTGCCATGCTTAAAGTATTCACATATCAAATCTGAACAAAATCGCTCAACTACTTTTCGAGTTATAGTAAAATACGTTAAAATGGCGGCCATTTTTCAAAATGGCCACCTTATACCAAAAGTGTCATTAGAAATAGACAGTGTGCCATGCTTATAGTATTCACATACCAAATATGAACAAAATCGCTCCACTACTTTTCAAGTTATAGTAAAATACGTTAAAATGGCGGCCATTTTTCAAAATTTTTTTCAAAATGGCCACCTTCTACCAAAAGTGTCATAGCACAGTGTGCCATGCTTATAGTATTCACATACCAAATATGAACAAAACTGCTCCACTACTTTTCGAGTTATAGTAAAAGACGTTAAAATGGCGGCCATTTTTCAATTTTTTTTCAAAATGGCCACCTTCTACCCAAAGTGTCATAGGACAGTGTGCCATGCTTATAGTATTCACATACCAAATATGAACAAAATAGCTCCACTACTTTTCGAGTTATAGTAAAATATGTTAAAATGGCGGCCATTTTTCAAAATGGCCGCCTTCTACCAAAAGTGTCTTTAGACAGTGTGCAATGCTTATAGTATTCACATACCAAATATGAACAAAATCGCTCCACTATTTTTTGAGTTACAGCAAAAATCGTAAAATAACGAGTAAAGGCCGCCATTTTTCAAGATGGCTGCCATGTGCTTCTTTAATATCTACATTTGTAGCATTATTAATGCCCCTTATAATTTTTTTACATTTAAAACATATTGCTATTACAGTTTTACATATAGCACCTAAATTACTGTAAAATCGGCACTAAAATGGCCGCCATTTTGAAATGAGCGGCCATTTTGAAAATTGGCTTTCGAGCAGAACTTCTACCCCCATAGGGTATATGTGTACAAAATATGAACAAAATCGGGCCAACGGAATTTGAGTTATTGCCCGGACGGACGGACGGACGTACGTACGGACGGACGGACGTACGTACGTACGTACGTACGGACGGACGGACGGACGGACGGAGGCGTTCCCTATATCCCTCCGAACTTCGTTCGATGGGATAATAAAAGTGACACATGCATGCTTCAATATAGAGAAAATCATTTTATTACTAACCTATTTATGTTAACAATTTAAACCCATGAAAAAGTGTCAAGTACACAGATAGTGAAGATAATAAACATCATTTTAAGGTAAAGAAATTTACCATACAATGTATTTATTTTTAATATTATCAAACTGTATATAAACGCCAATTGACCTTTTTAACTGATAGTGATGAATCACACAAACTAGATAAAAAATAGGATTTTGTTAGCCACATGTAAAATTCTCAATTAAAGTAAGTGGTTATATTAATAATTGAAAGTAAACATATTTTTTAACATGTGAACCTGCACGCTGTGAGCCACGCTTGTAACTAAAATCCTTTCGTAAGAAGTTTCATAATGATGATTTCATGGTCAAATCATCAGTTTCACCATACACTGACAGACATTGAATACCATATGAATTAAGGTATGTATTAAATGCATATATATCTAATGTTACAGGTATTAAGCATTATTGTTCAATATCATTTTTTCATCTTGGGTCAAGTAGACAGTAAAAATCAGTTGTAATAAAAAATTGTGCAAAAAATGTTCAAAGTAAATCCACATGTTGTGAATTACCAGTAATCTTAATAAAATAATAAAATTGATAATATTTTCTACATTTTCATGAATATACACAAAATACATCATTCAAAATCACTGCCAAAATGCTTATATGACATTTGTCTATTCAAACACATGAAAAATCTTTAGCCATGATTTTGATCTGATGTAATAATGATACTAAGATTTTGTAATAGAATCTATCCTTATATATTATCTACAGATACCATGGAAGATACAAGCACAGTCCATGGCAAGCTTTCAGACAAGAGCACTCGAAAACTGATTTGTAAAATAAAGAACTTTCTGCACACACTCTGTATATTTGGAACTTTAAAGCGCGATCAGTTGTGTGAGGCACAAAACCTTACAGAAATAGAATGCGACGTTATACTAAAACATTATGAATCCTGTGGAAGTTCAACTGCGCAATTTATCAACTGTCTACTACAAAGTGGATTTTTCGACCCATTGGAAAATCTTTCCGAAAGGTTAATCCCTAGTATAATAGACAAGAATCAACTGAATGAAAATGCCAGGAAATATGCTAAAATTGTGTATCTGGACCCAATAGCTAATACAGAAACACAAAATGCATGCCCAGGCTCTTATTATGAGAATTATGAATACATAGATGTTAACAGGCCTGATGTGTATGGTCTTACGGCATTGGAGTATGCCCTGATTTATGAGAGATCAGACTTGGTGAGAATATTGCTTCAGGTTCCCCAGTTAGACCCAAACACCACGCTACATTTCACCATAGCTGGACTCAGTGCAGATGTTTTAACAAATTTTCAAACTCGACCTTTAGCCGACATGGTTGCTAAGAGATCGATTTCACTGCAAAGCACGGTGAGAAAAGAGCAACTCTTGAATGGATTAGTCTGTCGCAAAAGTAAAGATTTTGTTGAAACGCTGCTGAAACACCCTAATTTGGATGTAAATGCTTTAGACTGTGATGGCCACTCCGCCTTATATGAAGCATCACAAAATGGCCTATTTGGTATTGCAAAATTACTAATGGAACACAAAGATATTGACATTAACCAACATTGTATAGATGGCAATACAGCTTTACATGCAGCAATCCAAAATGGCTGCCACAAAATGGCAAACGTATTACTTGACAATTCCAATATTAAGGTGAATGCATGTAACGGAAATGGAGAAACGGCTCTAATGCTTAGTGCAAATGAACCCCATCTCATTGAAAAAATGCTTACATCGTTCGATGACATTGACGTAAATGCTGTCGATAATAATGACCAGTATTCAACATTGCATAGAGCAGTATTAGCTAAGAATAAAGAATCGTGCCAGTTGCTATGTAAAGATGAACGTATTAACTCTTTGGTTAAAGACAAACATGACTTGACGCCCCTTGGGCTCCTTAAACACCAGAACTCATCAAGTGAGTACCCAGAAATATTAAAAGTACTACAGATCAAAGAGCGCAAGTGTCGAGAAGATGAAACATTAAAAATCAAAACAGCTTTAGAACATTTATCTGATGTGATCAGACAATCATATCTGATCTCTAATGTAAAAACTTTCATGCAGGCAGATATTGAAAAGATAAAATTTAAACTATCCAGATCCACCAAAACAGAAGAATGAATGTTACCTGAAAATCTGACACATGAATTTTAATGTACAAAACTATTTATATTATTTATTTTAGTGAGAAAATAAGATGTATAATACATGGATTAGTAAAACAGGTTACTGTTACTGTTACTCATAATGATGCCCTGGACATTTTTATTGTAAACACATATGATATATTCAAGCTCAATACATTTGTATTTATTTATGCTTGTACTGCATCAGGTCTGTATACTTTTTTTTTAAAGCAAAAAGTCAGATGTATGACATGAAAAGTTGATTTAAATTTCCAGAATGAAAACTTAAAAAACGATTTGAAGAAACATACTAGTAAATACACAGAAGTATAAAAAGTTGTTACAGGTGTTATAAATTTTTCTAATGACATTTATGGTTAAGTAGAGTGAAGTAAGTGCATCATCTTATTGCATCTTTTTTCAAGTGGCAGTCAAGTACTTTTGTATTTGTTTATGTAAATAATTTCATCACATGCTGCATAATTTTCAAACTGACAAAATGGTTATCTACTGCTGCCCTCTTTTATAACATATTTTTCTAGATTGGGTAGTACAGGTTCATAAACACATATCCGTGTATCAGCAATTATACAATATAGTACTATGCTACTTTCGACAAACATTGGTTTACACATTGTAAAGACTTCTATCAAGATATACCAAAGCTGGTAAAGATGAATAACCCAGATGCGAGTAGAAATAATCTTGATTTACGTCATTAAAAATTCAAAATTCAGTCAAAGTAATATCATATTTGAAATCTACATGTAAAATTACATCTAGAAATGTGGTTTTAAAAAGTGTTTATCAACTTTGAAAAATTAATTTTCTTTGAAAATGTGACTTCTAGCTCGGGGAGATTCCCCATAGACCCCATGCTATAAAATCACAAAAAGTGAAATATCTTTTCTTTTAGTGGACAGATAATATTTTGCTTTACTGGACATATTTTCATTAGTATAAGTATCAGGCACATAAGGGTTATATGAAAATTGAGCCACTTAAATTGATAATATTCAAGTTTAAGGGAACTTTCTTATATACCTGCCATGTTAATTGACCCGAATCAGCCACCTGGTGGTGAAACTGGTAACTACCTACTCGCATTTGGGTAATTTGGATTAAATTGAATTATCCAATTAGATACATTCAGAATACAATAGCCATCCATTCTATAGCAACAGATATTCAACAAGAACTTTCAAAAATTCGACTGAGATAAAGGATACTATCTTCGAAAACAAAAAACAAAAATAAGATAAGAAAAGGAAGAAACAATCAGCTTTTACAATCCAGGTGGGGCTTAGCTTTCAAAGTTTGATGACCAGAAACAAGATTTTTCCAAGCCTATATATATATGAATGTCTAATTACCTTGCTTGTATAAGGCAGCCTTTTCCTATAACACACAGCTCTCTGGGTGGCTCTATGGTAGTGAATAGAACATCTGGAACTTTGGATTTCCTGTAATATAAAGATAATATGTACTCATTTTGGGGTCAGGTCTGTCCCTAACAACACTTGGCAACACAGTCCATGTATGTACAGGGTGGGGCCAAAAAGTCCATTTTTGCTTTGACATAACTTTTTTGAAAATATATGGATTTCCATAAGATTTTGGCAGAATATGCAAAAATCAATTTTACAAATGTTCCTAAAGTTGGATGAATAAATCTTTAGGGATTTTTGAATAATGAAGGTAAAAAGACACTAGGGGTCTATATGAAAAATTACAGATTTGAAACCTGTAAAGTGGAACACCTCTGTAAGTGGAACACTTTTCAGAGTCCCAAGACCAACTGACTGACCTAATGTTAAATGAACCTATATAAGTGGAACATTCCCAAATGGTGTTACATTTAGACAGGTTTTACTGACTATAATATACAGTTGGGATAATAACTTGAAAATAAAAACACTAAACCCCCCCCCCCCCCCAAAAAAAAATCTTCTGCTTCTTTTGGAGTTGATGCACATATAAATGGCTGCTATTCTTTAAATGGCCACCTTACAATCAAGTTGTCAAAAGAAAATGTGTCATGCTTTAAAATATTTCATATAAAATATCTCTATATCCCCAAAATTCAAAAATCATTTAAAAAATGGCATTCAATAGTTTAGTAATATGTAAATCAACATGAACAGTACTGCTGAATATATAAATACCTTCACAAGGCCATTTAATAAGCAGATATATGAGGAAAACATGATTAATCTTTCTAAAAATCAAACAAGCTATTACTGTGGTAGTTATGAAGTTCAAAAAAGGATAAGTTGCAGAATAAGGAGTTGCGTAACCTAACTTCAGCTACAGTGAAATATGATTAAATTCTCAATCTCTAATACGGATTAATTAAGTCTTTAAAGAATTAGAATCGGATATAATAGTTGAATATGACCTTGTAATAGTTGAATTCAGTTCAGCTATATTTTTAACCACTGAGTCAGAATAATTAATCATAAAATATATAAACAAGAAAGTGATTTTCCAATATCACCTTACCTGAATGTATGGCCACTGATCGACCAAAGTAGTCATTTGAGAAAGTATTCAAATGAACAAATAACTGATCTTAATGATCTGTTTCTCTCTATCTATCTCTCTCTATATATATGGTAGCCCGGACAGAATTGTTCAATGGTCACCTTTTCTTTCATAACTTTTTTAATTTTCAGTATTATCAAAATCTGATTACATATTTGAAAACTATAGTGAAATTCTGACATACAAAAAAATATTTAAGAAACATCTCTTAATTTATTGATATTATAGGCGTTCATAGTATGAGTGACGCAAATACACAATTCACCATTTTGTCTCATATTTGTTCAAAAATGGTGGCATGTTAGTTGAGAGTTAATATTTAAGAAATGTCATGGGCCTACGAAATTATGTAGACTGCTGCCTTGGTATGAGGTAATGACTGCATTTATAACCATTTGTTTTTTATTTTGACTTGTATGTATACCAGTTCTTAAAAAGGTTTGTACATTGTGTGTACAGTATATTGGTAAGGTCGCAGGACTTAAAGTTTTTTGGCCATTCGATTGTTACTTGTAGTGGATTAGCAACCATGTTCGTTTAACCTGTGCAACTATAGGGTCATACTGCCACAGTTTGTAATGTCTTTCCCCAGTCACACGCCTCTTAACCCATCCTTGGCATGCATGTGAATTGTTCTTCAGCTTTTCAATGGCCTCTGAGATGGCTGTTTGGAGCTCTTGAAAAGATTGAGGACCTACTCTCATCACACCCCGCACAGTGGGGCACCACCTTTTCAAATCCTCTTGAACACAACCCCGAACATTTCAATAGAGTTGATCATCAGGATTGTAACGGTAACTGTGACAGCATGGGACAATAGTCCTATGACAATCTTTAAATATTAACATGCAACTGAACATTCAAATTCACAAAATATGCCACCATTTTGAACAAATGTGAGGCAAAATGATGAATTATGTATTTGCATCACTCATACTATGAACGCCTATAATATCAATAAATTAAGAGATGTTCCTAAAATATATTTTTTGTATGTCAGAATTTTACTCTAGTTTTCAAATATGTAATCAGATTTTGATAATACTGAAAACTAAAAAAGTTATTTAAGAAAAAATGACCATTGAACAATTCTGTCCGGGCTACTTTATATATATGTATGTAATTAATTTACAACTCTTAAGCTCCTAGTAATATCCTGAAGCGTGACGAATAGTTTTACCCCATATTAACTCAGCTTAATTGCGATGTACAACAATGAGTCATTGTTGTTGGCGGAATTTAGAAGTTGTATGAATGAACAAGTCTTAAATTAAAAGCATTCAGGGATGAAATACATTTGCAGACATGTAATCTTTACTTACCCACATATTGCACACTTGCTGAAATTGACTGGAAAGGGGGCGCTGTTTTCATTGTAAGGAATGTGACAGAGGCGGCAGGAGTATGTCATCCCATCATCCTCAGACCTACAATTTTAGTTAACATCTTAAATACGATGATGTTGACATATATACTGTAACAAATAGACCCAGAGTGAGGGGTATATCTGTCACTGAAATTTGGTCTCATTTTGACATTTTTTGCCAAAGAACAAGAATAATGTTTTAAAATGTGTTCAATGGGTCCATGATTACTTTGGTCAAAATGTAAAACTCATTTTTATGAAAATTTTCTGCCATTTTTAAAGTTGTGGCCATTTTAAAAATTTCTTTGAAGTTGAACAATATATACCTTTCCAACAAATACGAAAAAATCCATCAGCTAGTATAATGATTGACAGAGAGACGGACTGACTGACAGATGGATTGACGGATGGATGGAGGGCTTCACTATATCCCTACTGAACTTTGTTCATTGGGATTACAATGCACCAAATACAAGTATCTCGAGGTTCTAAACAGATGCATGGGTGAATGATGAAAAATAAGTCAAATTTATCTTGTCTCTTTTTGCTGTAGTTTATGTATAAATTATGTAAAAATATTGTCAATAGAACAAGAAAAATATTACATGTTTAGTTGTTTCACTTTTATCTCAGTCATATTGAAAATTTCCTCTCTAACAGTGAAGAACAAAATAATTATAATTTAACTTACTCCTCCGATAGATATCTATGCCTATCACTAGCATTCTGATTGGCTAGATTAACATCGACATGCAGCTTTTCATGAACTTTAACTTTCTCTTTTTCTTTTTCAAACTGTTGTCGATCCAATGATAATGTTAATAGATTTTGTCGCATGGCAGATTCAGGGTCACAGTTTAAGTTAACGAGGGCAGCAGTTCCTGATGCCGATAATATAATAATTTCATCGCTGAAATAAAATCATGATATCATATTAAATACTGCTCCAATAACTCCTTATCCAAAACATGGGGAGATAAACAGAACTAAATTTTGTTGAAAATTAAAGATTTGTTGTAGGTTCATATTTTTAGTGAATCATCTTCAGCGAAAAGAACATATCCTGATATGTCCTGTCACAAATGAGGAGAGAAATTGGAATCAAATGGCAACATCCGTATTACAGGAGATTATGATTAATTCTAGTGATTTATAGTACTTAACGTTTTAGAAAGATGAAGCACATAATACTGTAAGCACGACCAGCGAGGAACCTGAGGGGATGCAACGTGGCATTGTATATGGAATATGAATGAGGGGAAAACGAATGTAGATTAATGGGAAAATAAGAATTTTATATGGAATATATTAATGAGGGGAAAACGATTGTAGATTAATGGGAAAATAAGAATTAGAAACAAGGCATTAACATGCAAAAAGTATGGGTATTCTGCTTACCATATACTTGTCTGTTCACTATACCCTACAACAGAATGGCACCCTACAGCTCTAGCATGCGACCTGATTTCTGTCCGAATCTCAGTCCACCATGCATCACGAGTTTCTGGCTCATCTACAAATATGTAAACACAAGTTCCATAAGAGACCAAAAATATCAAAAAACAAATAGAATAGCAGCACTTATGAGTATAACTAATCATGAAAAAACAAATCCCAAACAACAGCTACTTTAATGGCCCCCGATAGCAAGAAGCTACTACATTAATTGGCTCAGCAGTAGAACATGCATCCATGGAGCGGAAGGTCCTGGGTTTAATTCTGGCAATGGGCATTGAATTTAGCTCACTCCCTTTCATGTATCTGGGTTAACACTACCGCTTAATTTAAGCCCAAAAGAAATCCACTAACATGTTCCTTTTTTGCATTGCAAATAATTATATGTATTTGTAAGCTTCACCTGGATTATGAATCCTATCCAAGAGTTTCACAGATCGGGCTGATACAACGCCACCTATATGTACAATGAATCCACGAGGGAAACTAGTCATGGTGAAGAATGGGTACTCCTAAAAATAAAAAATAGCATAGGTCTCATTGGAAAGTGTTGCATGAAGAAACAGTCAGAAAATTCAAGGACTGGGCCTGTCATTTTGGGAAAATATATCCATATGCTTCGTATTTGGTCAAGATGTCGATAAATCCTGAATCATTGGGTCAGAAGCAATAACTGATTTTTCATTCAATTGCTACTTATTAGGAAAACGGCATGTGTTCCAAACGGGGAATAGTGTGCAATTAAATGGAACTATCACTGAATAAGGTTAAAGGTCAAATGTAAACTTAATGATAATCAATATGATAATTCATACATCTTGGGTGGGGGAATAAAAATATCTTCCCTTGGACAGATATTTCATTCTTAAAGGTAAATATGAGATCAAAATATTATGTTATGTCACTGTAAAATATTGATCTACAACATATGAACCTAACAGAACCAAACAAGTACATATACAATATGTGGATTACATAATCCTCACATAATGTGAGTTCAACCTACCATGATATCAATACTATGGTTCCCCTGCTGTAAGAGAGATCTCATTTGTGAGGGGCGGGTTGCTACCCCGCCACCACTTCCCCCACCCCCACTTCCGCTGCCACCACTTCCAGCTATACTACTTCCTATAAGTATAGTATTGAGATAGGTAGATTAAAATCTAATATTTAATTGAAGATGATTTCACATTGACATTATCAATATCTGAGTTAATTTAATCCAGGCTCAAAAGTGGTTGCTGATTCAATGGATGCAATTTAAAATTGCTTTTGACCAATCAAAAGTGATTTTACAATTTTTAAGAGACCACTTTGACCAATCAAAAGCGATATTACTTGTATGCTTCCAATAGCATGCTTTAACAACCAGTACAACAATAATGCCATCCACAGTTAAGCAAAATACAGAAATTGGATTCAATACAAATATAAATCAAATATATGTATAGACAAGGCACAAACATGCAAAATGTCACCCCCTGCCATTTGTAACGGATTCCAAACACCAAATATCAAACACAAACTGCCATCAACAAAACAGTTAGAGAATATAACCACTTCTGGTAGTGACATAAAAACTGTATATTGTGAACACCACTTTTGCATTAAAAGATTCAATTTTCACTATGTTTATATTGAGGGGGAAAGACGGAGTATTAACAATATCATTACTAATAATAGTAGCCAACCCAAAAATATAGATTTAAAATCAGTGGTGTTCACACTGAGTGGTGTTCATTTACTTAAAGTGTTCACAATTCACAAACAGGTCACCATAGTAACTTTCCATAACATCAATATGCACTTAAACCTCAGCAAACGTAAAATAGCATTACCCTGAAGCATAAAAACTAAATATAAATTGAAGATACATAAAATGTAATAAGTTCTTACAATCTCTGACAGGGTGCGTCTGAGTTAATGTAAATAAAAATTCAGTTGTCAGGTAATTTTCCCTTTCCCAGAATTCACTTGAAATTGTCCTTGGTCACAGAAATGGAATAACATTGTACTGGGAGGTTTGGAATATAGGGTAGTGAAAATGCTCATTAAAGTTTTAAAACCAATATCAAAATATATAATTTCTTTATGGAGAGATAGATATACATAAAGCTGTATGTCCTGGACCTCGGCAACAGCAGGATAGACAGAAATATCCATCCCGTTCCCTGGATACACTACATGTATTCATTCCTGCACGTTACAAAGTTGTAGGTATGGGATAATCCTAATATCCTGAACCTGTCACTGTAGACTTCACAAAGGTATCACTCTTAAACTAAACACAGGTGCTGGGGTGATTGAAAGATGTCAGAAAAACAAATAATAAAGTACAAATAAACAAACAAGCTGTTATCTTTCAATAGCCACCCCATAATTCAAAAAGTTTTTCCAAATTTAGGATATAGTTTAGTGCAGTGCAATGTAGTATATACTATATCAGTGATCAAAAAATGTTTTTACATATATAGTACAGGCTTTGGATCCTACAATGAGGCAAATTCCATCCAGTCATGAATCCCCCATACTCTTTACTCTTACATACAGGCCCATGACAACAACAATGTCCCCCTCTTACTAGGGACTTCACCCAGGGTTATCCTCTGTGTCAATCTAATGCCAATACAAACAATTTCAAAATTTCGAGACTCCAAGTTTTACTGCTACATTTTACAACTTTTTGCAATTTTGGCTGCTTTAAACTTGGAGCCTACTCTTATTGTTCCAGTGCAGCCATTACATTATGGCCTTTACCTTCATATGTCAGAGAAGCATGCATTACAGTGCTTTCCTCAGTATTTCACAACTGGGTGCCAAATGTTCATTTCATCTATTCTCATTTCTGAACAGGAAGCATACAATTTCAAAACTTGTCATCTCAATTGTATTTCTTATATCATTCTTCCCTGCATCTGCTACTCTTATCAAAAGCTGAAGTGTGCAGATTGTTCAATTTTGCATGACTTTCAAAGCTCTCAACTAGGTGTAATTGAATTTTCAACAAGGTGAAAGGTAATTCAAATCCTCAACAGGGTGCAGCTGCAGCATCCTACTCTGGAGAGATCACTGCTATACATTACAAAATATATGATGCACCTACATGTATATTGTATTAAATTACATATCCACCAAAGCACCATTAAAACATCAAAGCAAGAATCAGAGAGAGCAATTTTCCAATGTCAATTCAAAAAAGTCTCCAACCATGCATTGATTTATTTTATAAAAATCAAAACTGTTGATAACAGACTTAGGAAATTACAAGTTTTTACAATAAGGTTTTATTTTATTTTTCTAAAGATGATGCATAAATTCAAATTTACTATTACATTTCTGCACCTAAAATTGCAACCTTCAATGAGTCTTTTTTAAATATTATGTAGAAAAAAGATAAAGATGCTTGATTGTAATTAATTGTAATTACATCACTTCCTTTACTCTCTGATTCTCTCTTTGATTCAGCATTTCAAAGCGACCTAATTCAGACCATGATTTGCAATGATTCACCACAATGCATTCGTTTAAGCTATAGTTTGTCAAACTCTCTCAAGGCATAAACCTTTGCGTTATCCTGAATCACTGTTTATAGTACTTACGTCTCTTGAACTTAGCAAAGCTCTCTAAACCAATATAAAGTAACCCAAAATGTTTCAAAACATGCTAATTATAAAATAAAGCGTAAAATTCAGGCATCATCACAGGATTTCAAACTAGATAACGGCAACTCCGCGGAGTAGCAAATCCCAACGAACAAAATATCAATTACCGAAATCCAATCAATTATACGCATTACTATGGTTAAGATTGAAAAATTTAGATTTTAGAATTGCGAATTCCTGCAAAGCAGCCATTTTGAATTTTCTGAGGTACAAATCTGAAAAATAATACCATAATTGTGATCTACTCTAAAATTCCTTCAATTTGAGTATAATATAGCCATACTTTGAAGGGATCGAAAAATTATTGCGAAATCGTGTATTAGACGGCCATTTTGAATTTTACGAGGATCGAATCAGAAAAAAGATACAATATTTGCAATCTACTCTTAATTGCCTTTCATTTGAGTATAATAAAGCTATACTTCAGAAAGATCTAAAAATTAGTGAAAATTTCTGTTTTCCTGACCCCCCATACACGGCCCCTGGGGGTCAGGATGAAAAACATGGAATATACGTGAAATAGATAGATGTTGCGAATATACTACCAAAATTTCAAACAATAATATTAATTACTTTGGTTTAGAATGAAAAATTTATGATTTTTGCGAAAAAGTCCGGTCATTTTTAAACTGCGGCCATCTTGAAAAAATTTTTTTTGCGTAAAACTATTCATCAATATACATCTTTCCACCAAATATGAAGTAAATCCGTCGACTAATATTTGAGTTATCTTCCGGACAGACGGACGTCTTGTAATATATAGATACACTGTCCCACATGTTTTGTTAAAGAGCAACTGAAGCATACAATCTTTCCACAAAGATAAATTCAGACCAACATTTGGATATCTACATCATATAGGTAGATTATAATTGATTTTATTTACTTGTCATATCCAGTATTTAATACATTATAGGTTAAAACCCATATTAATATTGAAGTCGGACGGACTGACTGACGGACGGACATCTTGTAATATATAGATACACTGTCCCACATGTTTTGTTAACAGACGGACGGAGGGCTTCACTATATCCCTACCGAACTTCGTTTGTTGGGATAATTAACTGCATGGTAGCAAGGTATATGTGACAAAATGTCACCATTTTGTAGGATATTGCATATGGTTACAAAGGCGTAACAATTTGTCACAGATGCTGAATATAAAACTCTAAAGGATGGTTACAATAATTGGTTACCATAGCAATACTGTATGTAACCACTTCTAAAGGGTTCTCAGTGTGAGGAAATTTTTCAGTGAGGAAAGGGGAGGGAAGTTTGGAATGGGGAGGAAACAGGTAGAAGGCCTTCTTAATGGGGAAGCGATGACAAACATTGAATTCTTCAGTGGTTTTTGAATTATGGTATCAAAGATCTGAGATGGAACCAATTAGATGGGGAAGAACTGAAATATACATTATCTTTTAAAAAACATGTTGACAAACAACTTTTCATTCGTGGAATAACAAAAAAGATTAATTTTAAGAAAAGAAATAGATTCCATTTAAAATAACAAATTACAAGACATCAAATAATATGTTAAAGAGGTAAAGAATGATCTTGGAATCATTATAAGTGAGGAGGGGGGGGAGGGTGCAGGGATGTGCCACACACTGTAAAATATGGAAAAAAGTACAATCGAAAAATCATGCAGTTTTAGCTTGGTTATTATAGCAACATTCATAATATAATCTTAAAGTAAGTTTGAGCATAAGCCAAAATTAATATGTTAAGTATATAAGAAATCTTTTTTTTAGAAAATTTGGCTAATTATGTTTATCAAAATATGTTTTAATTCAAATGAATGAACATTATCAATGTTTTAGTTTATTTAGTAGATGAGTATTTATCCCAGCTGTAACATGATTCAAATGTCAGATTGTAACATTTTGAAGCATTATTTTCATAGCACACACCTTCAAGTTCATAATGGGAAAGCAGATTTTACACAGATCATCTATCCATATGAACATGTCACTGGCAAATTACAAAATATCTCACCCATTTTAAATAGATTTGTTTTCAACAATTTCAACATGATTTTGTTGTCAATACAGTGACATATTAGTATGGATGTAATAAGTGTTACTATTTTTACAAATATTTATGTGGGTTTTATATGAACAATGAAGGCATGAACTTATCTAAACAATAAGCTTAAAAAGATGCTACTCACCTTTAGGTGGGGTTCCTATGTCAGAGTCAGATAGACGCCTCAACAGAATATTGGCTGACTTTGATGGGGAACTCGACAGAGCTTTAGATCCTGAGGTACAGGTTGCAGATGTTGCCATAGTAACAGATGGAGAATTTGTGACTGCAGATTCCTCTGGTACAGGGACGCTATAAGCGGAAAAAGACCCCTTGAAAGCATGCCTAGTAGGGGTCATTGGCCCTTGAATGTTAGAGGGATCAAAACTGAAAGCAGCATGCATGGTTTTAATAGCACTAGCACTATGAGGGTGAGGAGGAGGGGTGGCGAGTGATGGGGAGTGAGAGAAACCAGGTGCAGAGACTTTGCGTTGTGCCATTCTGAAAATACACATGGATATGTGCCATCACAACAAAATACAACTAATCAATACATACTCACAGCAAAACCACACTAATTAATATGTACTCACAGCAAAATACACACTAAGTAATATGTACTCACAGCAAAATATACACTGAGTAATATGTACTCACAGCAAAATACACACTAAGTAATATGTACTCACAGCAAAATACACACTGAGTAATATGTACTCACAGCAAAACACACACTAAGTAATATGACTCACAGCAAAACATAGACTAAGTAATATATACTCACAGCAAAATACACACTAAGTAATATGTACTCGCAGCAAAATACACACTAAGTAATATGTACTCACAGCAAATATTAAGTAATATGTATTCACAACAAAATATGTGATCAGTATGGACAATTAATAAATAATTGATGAACAAAAGTAGAAGGTTCAATCAAATGTTAAAAAGAAAAAAACTTACAAAAAATGACTTACAAAGAAATTAGTCAATACATGTTTAAGAGTATAATGTACAACAAATATATTACATTTCATTATTCAATTTTCTATGATTACATTTCTCCCCCCCCCTCTCTCCCAATATATTACCATCGCTGAAAAGGTAAGCAAATATTTCATTCTAAGGAGAGCAATATACACTTGTTCATCTTTCTATAATTTTTAAGGGCTGAGGGCAAAACATTGTCAAAGATTTTCAAAAGATCGAATGAAATATTTGTTTTATATATTCATTGCTAGACATACCCTATAAACGGAATCCACTATAATTGCTTGGTCATAGCCATTAACCAATTAGAGCACTGGGATTCAAGCAATGATTCGATAAAATGGAATATTTGATTTACTATTCATTGTAATTATAAATGTACATTTCAAAAATGAAACTCAATCAGGCAATGTCTAACCTTATACCATAGCTGAGGTCAAATCTATATAACGCATAAATATATTTATGATATTTTGCGTGGAAAAAAGAGATATCCATGGAACATCAAGAACTCATGGATAAAAATGATATCACTCCAAACTAGAAAAACAGCAACTCCACGGAGTAGCAAATCCCACCGAATGACAGTTGAGTTACCAAAGATTACGAAAATGAAAATGAAAAATGGCAGCCATTCTGAAGATCAGCCACCATCTTAAAATTTTTTTCTCAAACAGAGCTACTGTGTTTCTAGGCATCAGCATATAAAATTTGAACCAAATCTGTTCACTGGTATTTGACTTATCAAAGATTACGTTTTTCTTATGAAAAATGGCTACCATTTTGAAATTCAGCCACCATCTTAAAAATGAGCCAAATCTGCTCACTGGTATTTGAGTTATCAAAGATTACGTTTTTTACGAAAAATGGCGTCCATTTTGAAATTCAGCCACCATCTTGAAAATTCTTTCTCGAACAGATCTCCTTTGTCCCTAGGCATCATCATATAAAATTTGAGCCAAATCCATTCACTGGTATTTGAGTTATCAAGATTACCTTTTTTTACGAAAAATGGCTGCCATTTTGAATATCAAGCCGCCATCTTGAAAATTCTTTCTTGAACAGATCTATTGTGTCCCTAGGCATTATCATATAAAATTTGAGCCAAATCCGTTCACTGGTATTTGAGTTATCAAAGATTACCTTTTTTTACAAAAATGGCCACCATTTTGAATATCAAGCCGCCATCTTGAAAATTCTTTCTTGAACAGATCTATTGTGTCCCTAGGCATTATCATATAAAATTTGAGCCAAATCCGTTCACTGGTATTTGAGTTATCAAAGATTAAATTTTTTTACGAAAAATGGCTGCCATTTTGAAATCTAGCCGCCATCTTGAAATTTTTTACTCAAACATATCTACTGTGTCCCTAGGCATCAGCATATAAAATTTGAACCAAATCCACAAACTAGTATTTGAGTTATTGAAGATTACATTTTTTACGAAAAATGGCGGCCATTTTGAATTCCTTCTCGAGCAGAGGTCCTACACCCATAAGGCATAAGTCTATAAAATTTGAATCAAATCCGTGAAACGGTATTTGAGTTATCGCCCGGACAAACAGACGGACGGACGGACGGACGGCTTTCCTATATCCCTCACGAACTTCGTTCGGTGGGATAATCATAGGATATCCTGTACACCTTTTGAGGGAGAGAGAGAGAGATAGAGGGAAGAACATTCCAATGATATAATAAAACAAAATATCCTAGGAAGGAAAAGTTAATGCATGTATATTTATACAGAACTGTGCAATCAAATAACACATTCAACAACACAACACTGCACTCAAAACACAACACAACACAAAAACATATTATTATATATGAGAGATGCAAAAACTTCCAAAATAATACATAACTATAAAGTTTACATGGATATCAAAAGATAGCTTATTAGTCAATTAGCTTCTTAATTATGATATATCATTCTGAAACTTAAGAACAAAAGAAAATATTGAGGAATAGAATGTACAAATGTAATCATAGAGACTTTAAATTACTTTCATGCAATGCAGAGATGTGTCTGTTTTCTAAAGTTTACATGGTTAATTTGGGTTGTTTCCCTGTATTTTAGTTTTCAAATATTGCCTCATGTGATTTTGAATTAGATAGTTGAAATTGATATGCTGGCTTGAATAATCAAATTGCACAAGTTACAAACAGAAAATCTACAATACATAGAGCTACATATGTCTATATTTGTGAAAACTTATCTAGTTTTAAATCCCAATTTGAACTTGTGAAAGCTTCCAAAAATATACATGTATAACTGAAATCAACATAAAGTAAAAGGCAAAGTAAAAGACAATGATGTGAAATAAGTACATGTACATAACAGAAACTTTAATGATTGATTGGTATAGAATATAACAAAGAAATCTCCAGTTTATTTATTGTTAACTAACTTAATTGTAAACTTGCTAAAATTGCATCAAATTGTACAGGTATATCTTAACATTAAATAATTATTTATTGCATTAATTAAGACAGCTGTTCTGACTTACTCTCTGACGGGAGATGCACTGTGCGGGGATGAACTCGTTGTAAATCGGGAGACTGTAACAGCCGTTCCAATGGCTCGGACTACTATGCCAGACTCACCCTCCAAGTCAAAACACTGCTTGTATCTGTAATGATATAAAGTTAAAACATTCAATACTACCTCTTTCTTTGTACACGTGTATTATTTGTTAGTAAATAATTGTTGAGCATTTAGAAAGAATATTATTCAATTCCCTATATACAGGGTGGGCCAAAAAAACACCACTTTTTTTTCAAGCCACTACAACTTTTTTATTTTCCAACCTACATACCCCAAATTTTGCAGTTATATAGTGCCAAGAGTTCTTAGTAATAATATAACATAACAAGTCATTCAACTTGGATAATATTTGATCTAAAAGGGGAGTTCAATTGGTCCGCCAGCCTAATTGATGATTTTTTTAGCCCACCCTGTATATATAATACTATACAGTATTCACTATTTCGTCAGACATTGGATTATTTTCTCTTTTTGAATTTGATCTCTATATACAGATGTAGTCTGACAGAAGAGGAACTAGTCACTTACAGACATTGTATTATTTATTGCGCATACTATGCAACATAAAATACATGAAGAGGCATCCAATGAAAAACTACAAACTGCTAACCCCCCTATCACACCAAACTAGTTCTTACCCGTTCTTGCCAGTCCTACGAAAACGTCGTAAAACGGGCTCAATCTGGCTGTGGTCGGGAAATATGTCTGAAATAATTAGCTTCTTCGTTCTTAAACAGTCGTCAATACGTCCATCTCGTTCGCAGTTCGTTCAGGTCGCACTACGTCGGTGTGCAACGTAGTAGAACGCGTCCCTTAGTCTAGAAGGTCAACATGACCTGATTACAGAACGGTATGGTCGCCATCGAACTTTGAATAGATTCAAAATTCTAAAATCACATTCCCGTCTGAGAACGATCATAAAGTTCGTAAATAGACCTTAGAAAGTTGCAGCTACGATCATTCCGTTCGCACACAGTTTAAAACCAGTTTTGAAGAACGCAGTGGCAACTTGTTTGGTGTGATAGCTATATTTTTGCAAACACGTTCATAAGCAGTGTTAAACACGTTCTTAATCAGTTTAAACCAGTTTGCAATTAGTTCTACCTCGTTCTCAACACGTCCTCAGACAGTTCAACTCGTTGTTAAAACGTCCCTAGTAGGATTGAGTTACGACGGTTCCGTTCGTAGTACGTCCAGCTCGTCGTTAGTACGTTGTCACTCATTCTAATTGTAGAACGTGACGACCACGAGAACATTTTGAGCATTGTCTAAGTTCTAGAGGACCTACCCGTTCGAGTACGTTCGATGAAGTTTGTACATAGATCCCAAACGGTTCTTAGTAGGTCCAGTCCGTTTGTACACAGTTGAAGCCCGTTTTCGAGAACGTAGTGAGAACTAGTTTGGTGTGATAGTAGGGTAAGAATTCTTTCTTTACTTGTTAAACAGAATTAACCAAAATTGACACTAGTCAGAAGCATAATCCCCAAAATATGCCCTTTATAGATTTTGGCTGTTACAATGTGATCTCATGTGGCAATTTACAAAACAAACCTACAAATTATAATTTGAAATGATACCCCAGGGAGCCAAGAGCCAGAATATTTATAAAACATATATTTATTACCCAATGACAGAATTTCCTCCCATTTCCATCACTTTTAAGCCAATTTTTCTCTGTAACTCTCCTGAAAACACACAAAATGGAATAATTTTGAAGTGACATTTTTTATTTATATATCATAGTTTAGTTTATTTATTTATTTATAGTGGTCAGTCTTACAATTCAACAAAATATGAAACATTAATAACAGTTTTACCCAGTCCACCTTGGGCTTATTTAACATATTATATTAGAATACCACATTATGTCATATTACATATATTATATACATGTACATAGAGTTGAACCATGAAACTTGGCAAATCAATGTAACTTTGGATAAGCTTTAAAATGATATATGACACATACAATGGCGACATTGGTACATGTCTGCCTAGGATGGGGGGGGGTCCCATGCTTTTGGGACACCCTGTACATATATATAAAAACATTTGACGTGACATTTAGTGAAAGAAAGAATATTTCTTGTGTGTTGTGCTAAGAAGAACAAATTTGTAGCTGATATCTCAGCTCCATGTAAGAGTCTAGCTATAACACAAAATTACTTTTCAATGTCTAAACTCTTCAAAACTTTAAACCATAATTTTCCAGGCCATGCCATTTATATAATAAATAATAAATCAATAATTTTGAACTTTGGAATAAAGAATCTGAAAATGGTAAACTACTGCATGAGTAATTTAGTTTTGTTAACTACATTGTTGCTAACTACCTTTTAATTCTAGTTGTTAAACATTTTCTGTTTTATATGAGACCTGTCATCAATGTAAAAAGGAATCAATTACTCTTTGTTTTCATTATACCCATATTTCAAATAAATATCTAAAAAGGCCACATAGAAATATGTGAAATACACACAGATATGAGGGTTTGTAATGCTTAATAATACATGATGGATGAAAATTATCTGAATAATGAATAAAATTATGCCATAAACCTACTGATCTGAACATTTTTGTAGGTCCCCCATTTTTTACTCTGCCATTGCCTTCCAAGTTAAAAATCCCCAAAATGTGAACTGACCTAACAATCTGAATATTTTACCGGTCCGTATGAGTTTTACTGTTTATGTTAACCTGGGTAGACCCTTTTAAACGAATGGAGGACAAACTCAATTTGAGACATATAACCAGATTATAGTGATCTAATAGTGATTATAGTGATCTCATAGTGATCTCATAATGATCTCATAGTGATGAACTCAACAATTTTATAAAGTAGGTTCTGCACCCACTTGAAATATTGAAGAGGCTTGGGCCCACCTGATAATGACTAAGAGAAGTGTGACAATGAGAATTTTTCACCTATTAAGTAACAAATTCCTTACCCTTTGCATTCGTTTGACTTCACTTCTTAAAAGAGAGCTTCGTCTTATATCTTTCAAACTAAAATAAACCTGTGAACTCACCGCGCCAATCAGTGTCCGTCGGCCAAATTTGACCGACGTTCTATATATGGTCATTCTTTCTGACGTCATCGTTGAGCCCGGAATTGACCAATGACATGCACATATTTAATTAGAACGCATTTGGCGTATGTTTCTTCAAGCTCGCGGATTGGTGGAAAAAGGTCAGCGCGTAGGTCAAAAGTTATTTATTACGTAAACTGTCACCGGTACCTGTCGTGGGGGTGGGGCTACTAAACCGTAATATGGTATCTACTAGGCAGAGTGTAGTTTAACTAGACTCTGCACGCAGGGTACAAATTCCTTAATGTGAAATAAATATTAACAGAGTCCAAAATGAAGTCAGAGTTTCATTTTAATGATGATATGAGTGCAGGTTAAAGGCTCATCAGTTACTTCTCATATTTCAGCATGTGAATAAGTTAGTAAGTGGAAATAGAGGTCAAAGTAGTCAATATCATAAAATTCTAGTTTTTGTTTTATTTACATTATTATTAAAATGTTGATTGATTCATTATCATTTTGAAGTATAGCAACTCCCTGGAGTAGCAAATCCAACAAACAAAATGTATTTTATCTAATCTCTCGTCACTTGAACATATTGTTAAATAGATATAACTAAGCAATAGTTTTGTTTCCTTTGCCAAAAGTTATTGTCTCCTTTAGGCAATATCTTCACTTTCTATATCTGCATTCTATATCTGCACCAAATCTGATAACTGGTATTTGGGTTATTGCCCAGACATCAGCTTATAACTCATACCGTAGCCTTTAAACAAGAATAAATATAGCCACACATTTATTAAACTGATCTGAATTCTAACAGGTATACAAGGCCGAATGAAGTTAATTCTATGTTAAATGTTAAACCAAAGGGTAAAACCTATAGGGTAGAGAGGTAGTGAAAAATACATAGCTAAAAAACATAAGTTTAAATCATTCCAGTTGTGTGGTGGCAGCAGCCTAACTATTATGACAACATTAGTCATCAGATATATCTAAAATTGCTTATCAGTAATTAATAAAAATAGATTACTAAATAACAGTTTAAATACATTTGGTAATTGTAAACATTATTGCATTTGTGAAATGTATTAAGAAGGAAATAATAGAAAGAAAAGGTTACCATAGAGATGAACATAAACCATATTATATTTGTATCAGGGAAAACTTTTAAGCCAGTGGAACATTATAGTTACTGATGCCTGGTTAGCATGACCTCTTATGCAACAAATATTCAGATGCTTTGTGATGCTCAACAACAATGTATATCAAGGCTAAGGAATAAGTTTGTATGATATAACATTGCATTAGACTTGTATTACACTGACATCTGCCTACCTTGATGTGCAGGTGAAAAGATTTAACTGTTGTTACGAGGAACTCGAAAAAATGAATGGTACTATGGCGGAATTCAACTATACTGAAATACATTTTAGTGGAGCCCTTGGAAAAGGTGACCATAATTCAAGCCTAGTGGAGGAGCCAGGATTTTCCTTCATCCCTGCAAATGGATATGGTGATAGCAGCATTATGAGTGCTCTTCCACCTGGGATTGTGTTTGCGTTCGTCATTCTTAGCATCCTCTGTATCATTTGGATTATATTTGGAAATGTTATGATCATTTTTGCGTACCATAGGTTCCCTGCTTTGCACTTGGTCAGTAATTACTTGCTTTACCAGTTAGCAATCGCAGACTTATTAGCTGGATTCGGTGGAATATATGGACTCTTTTATCAACTTTTACCATTGGAATTAATTCAGAACTTTACTTGCTGTGCCTTAGGACAAGCCTTTATGGGGATACCGAGTTACGTCTCTTTGCTGTTACTACTCGCTGTAACAATTGATCGTTTTATCGCAATCAATCACCCACTACAATACCGAATGCTTGTCACATTGAAAAAAGTGCAAGTTTTGATCTTAACAGTTTGGGCTGGAGTAGGTTTGCTAACAATTGTGTCAATTGTTGATTGGTATTTTCACCTACGTAGACAAGGAAAGCAACACTGCTATGAAGGTAGTATTTACGATATCGAAATCGAATCGAGAATTATGGGATTTCTCTATGCACCATTATTTATAATTGTCCTTATTGGAACTTTATGCATGTACACTCAAATATTCTATATTGCGAGGCAACAAATGGCAAATCAGAACTCTAAGATAAACTCAGCGGAATCGGGTTCTACATCACTGAAAATGAACCTAAAAATCGTGAAAACTGCATGTATCATCATTGGACTGTTTTTCATTTGCTGGTGTCCATTTGTTATCATCGTTACCATGGATTTATGGGGACTTGCTCTAAAATTCAAATCAGCAAGGAGCACGTTAGGAGAAGGAACTTTTGTGATTGTATACAACTCGTTTTATTTACTTGTATTGGCAAATAGTGGTATGAATCCAATGATATATGCAGCAAGAATGAGAGCCTTTAAGAATGCATTAAAGAAACTGCTGTGTTCATGTTTTAAGGACGATGCAACAAAAGCATATGATTCGGGGGTCAAGTATGAAACAGGAGATACCCAATCAATACAGGAGCAAAAGATACGGTTAACGAGCCAAGATTGAGACATGATTGAAAATGAAACAAATGTTCACTGCATATCTATGAGAATAGAGTACAGTTAAACAATATAAAAATTGTATAGTGTTTGAATAGTGTTACTAAATACAGAATATATACTGTACAAGAAAACTCATGTACGGTTTAACTGTATAGTAATACCATATGCAGAAAACTATATAAAAAAACATACCATTCATTAATAAGATTTATTCACTGTAAAATCAAGTTAAGTATTTAAAACAGAAAAAATGTATATAAAAATGTATATGGCTAACATATAAAGCAATATACTGTACAGAAAAACATACAGGGTATTAAAAGCATATAGGGTAAAATAAAACAGGGTTGTAATGAGAAAAAAATATAGAGAAAAACATGAAATTATGAATTTGCCTGTTTTGTTCCTCTCACAAATCATCATACAGTGTCATCACATATGTGCAATACAGTTAGCATGTCAGGCAAAAATTCCAACAAATATAATTACATGCTCTGCCTCATTATATGATAGAGAGAATGATACCTTAATACACTTACATAAACTACAAATGTTCTTGGTTGCATAGTTTTGTAAAAACATCCCAGTCTGAAACAAGGCATTAACACGCAAAATGTCACCACCTGCCATTTGTTACAGATGACTGCTGAACACAGTCCACAAAAAATTGGAGACTTTAACAATAAATTAGACCAACCTGATAGCTTAGAGAAGAGTCTCTGTCTCGTCTCATTTGAAGTCCTCGGTGATCGTATCTTGTCGATCCACTGATATTCCGGGTCATCATTCACCACAAGCTCTTCCACAAAACCCCTGATTGCTTGTAGTACATAGCCTTGGGGAACTCCACATGCTGTAAGACACAATGGTACAAATTGGTGAAAATTTGGACTTGACGTTTTTGTCATTTTAACATAAAAAGGTAACTCTGACGGAGAATGCTTGGGACTGGGCTTCAAATTTGATTAAATAATCTCAATAAGGAATATAATTTGACCTCTGAGCGTGACTGTTTGTATACATTAAGGGTTGACCATTAAAATTTTGATTAATGGATTTCACATCATACATTCGACCAATTTTTTTAATATTTAAGAAAAAAGAATATTTCTTTTTCTTCCTGTCAAAGTTTCTTCTAACCAAGATTGAAAAGAATTCTTAAAGAATATTTAACTTAATTTCTTATTAAAGTTGTCTGTAATTTGTATATGAAGATTCAGTGAATATATTTAAAGAATAAAGACTGAGATTTTATAATTTATGGCGTAATATATGACCGAAAATTTTATTCTGTTCATTGTTTGACAATGGCCAGAATAAAATTTGAGGTCATATTTTTGACATAAATCGTAAAATGGAGGTTTTTGTTACGATTCTAATATGATACTAAACAGACAAGAAACACAACTATTTGCATTTATGAATTTTAGCAGGTTCTAGCTATTGTGACGTCACGTATCATATTAGAATATGAAATAAAAATACATATCAAGTAAGGGGTCTAGTAAAAATTAGTAACTTATATCAGAAAACACAAAATCAAGCTTTGGACATTTGTGAGTGAGTGAGCAATGGTAAAAGAATTGAATGTATAGAATCTATCAAAGCCTATAATTTGACCAAATATTTGAAAAAATAATTAATTCAATAACGAAATTTTGGCTTTTGCCAAAAGCAAAACTTCATGAGTCACATTAGCAAATACTGAAGTACTAAGCCTTAGTACCACTTTTATAGAAGATTTTTTACAGCAATATCACTTTAATTGTCACAGTATCACTAAACAATGTATGAAGGACATGTAGGATATATACAAAAGAGGTATTCAAGTGCAGTTCTCATTCATACAGATGTAAACAAGAAATCAACTTTAATTTAACCCTTGCAATAAATCCTAAGCATTAACAAAATAAAGATAAAACCTTGTAAAACTTTTTTATATATGCTATACTGAGAAATTGATAAGATTGTAACGGAAGGATGTATTAGCAAGCATCTTAATTAATACTCTTTAAAAAAAATACTGTAAGATATTTTTGTAATTTAGAAAATAAAATGAATTCCAAAAGGGTTTATTTCAAGTTGAATTTAAATCACTTGGTCAAAGTCAAACTTACTCATCATGCTCTTGAAAAGCATATTTTTCAAGCCAGTGTATTTACATTACTAGTAACTAAAAATATCATTTCTCGCACGTTTATTCCTGGCTATTTCTCTATTTTTCAATGTAGAAACTAATTTTTTTGGCATTAATATATAATTTAGATTGGCCATTACATGTCTGTATATTTTGTTCCTTGCTAATTTCACTCTCTTCGTGTAAATTATTCATTTTAAAACAGGACCTTTGTGCCTTTTAATTTATTGGTTATCTTAATGACGTACATAGAGTCCATTTGTTTACTTCCATTTCAGAAAATAAAGGAAATAACAACTAAACACAGGATATCGCGGTGGATATAAAACCCAGTGAGAAAATGTACAAGTCAGATACTCTAGCACAAGAACAACAATTAGAAAGACAATATGGGGAGCATGAAATTGATCATTGTAGTATTGGTGGTTGCTATGGTGATTTGTGATGCCATCCCTGCCCCAGGAAGGGGAGGGGGTAGACGTGGAAGGGGCCGAGGAAGACAGGGACGTCAACGAAATCGCCAAAATCGTCGTGATATTGTTCGAGAGAACTGTGCTGGAGAAGATGATGTTGATAAGGTCTTCAAAATTGATTGCAACTGGTGCACCTGTTCAAACCGCCCTGGACTGGCTGCATGTACTATGATGTTATGCCCAAAACCAGGACGACGTCCCCCAGTAAAAGCCTGTGGAAATCACACAGTTGGTGAGGCATACTTTGACGGCTGCAACACATGTAGTTGCACCCCTGTTGGACCCCTATGTACAATGAGGGAATGCCTGGATGATGCTCTCATCGATGATGAATCTCAAATCCCTGATCCAGATGTGGAAGAAGATCGCGAAAAGCGTTCAATTAGTGATGAGACCATTGAGCTCATAAGAGACATGGAAGAAGTTGAAATCTCAGAATCCAAACGTCAAAAACGATGGACTAGTCCCTTTCCAAGAAAACATTGTCATGGACGCAAAGAAGAATGGCGGATGTCCTGTAACACATGCTGGTGTACACAACAAGGGTTCCCAATATGCACCATGAGATACTGCAATGATGACTTCCCTTTCAGGAACAAGCGCTCTACAGTTTATTCGCATGAACATCAAGTGAAATTAGATTTACAAACCAGACTAGAGCTCTTGATGATTTGTGGCCCCGACAGGGAAATAGGTAAGAAAACAATGACATCTTAGTTTGTTGGTGTCTCAAACATTTAGCATACACCATTCTAAACATTATCTCTTTTTAGTGCTTATTCTCTACAATCCATCAATTTTTGGAGTTTTCAACCAAACAATGAACACTTCATAAATTAATTTTACTCTTTTAAAACCTGAATATACCTCTCTAATATAAACACCTCTCAATGTGAACACTTTTTCTCAGGCCATTGGTTTTCTCCCATTGACTCACACATTTAGAAACCTTGAAATGTTTACACTAATCTGTACACTTTTAGCTGGCCAAAAATAAAGGCATACAGATTAGACAGGTTTCACTGTATTTAATAAAACCCTCTGTCCCTTTAACAGTGTCTAATTTCTACATGTACATATACATATGTATACAAGAACACAAATGTGTACAATATGTCCCCACCTATGGGTGATCCCATGAAATGGTTATCCTGAAAATGAGTAGACAAGACTTTACTGACACAATTTGAGGACGGAAAGTCCAAAATGGCCGCCTTAAAATTTACCCAGAATCCCCAAAAATTAGCTAGTTCTAGATTTTCATACTAAGAACCACCCCTGAAAATTTGAAATTGATCCGTCAAACAGTTAAACAAGACTTTACAGACAAGATTTTAGGATGGAAAATCCAAAATGGCTGCCTTGACATTTACCCAGAATGTCAAAAAACTAATCAGTTCTAGATTTTCATACTAAGAATCATCCCTGAAAATTTGAAATTGATCTACCAAACGGTTCACCTGAAAACGCGTAGACAAGACTTTACAGACAAGATTTAAGGACAGAAAATCCAAAATGGCTGCCTTGACATTTACCCAGAATGCCAAAAAACTAATCAGATCTAGGTTTTCATACTAAGAATCATCCCTGAAAATTTGAAATTGATCTAACAAACGGTTCACCTGGAAATGCGTAGACAAGACTTTACAGACAAGATTTTAGGACGGAAAATCCAAAATGGCTGCCTTGACATTTACCCAGAACGCCAAAAAAACTAATCAGATCTAGATTTTCATACTAAGAATCATCCCTGAAAATTTGAAATTGATCTACCAAACGGTTCACCTGGAAATGCGTAGACAAGACTTTACAGACAAGATTTTAGGACGGAAAATCCAAAATGGCTGCCTTGACATTTACCCAGAACGCCAAAAAACTAATCAGATCTAGATTTTCATACTAAGATTCATCCCTGAAAATTTGAAATCGATCTACCAAACGGTTCACCTGAAAACGTGTAGACAAGACTTTACAGACAAGATTTTAGGACGGAAAAAACCAAAATGGCCGACAATAAAAAAGTGATTACGAGTTTTTGCTGATTTCCTTTTACAAAATTATCACATATAACTACTGTTAACAATAACATAGGCTTTTTCAACAAAGTACACCTGGAATTATTTATAAAGCTACTAAATAGTTAAAGTATGAAAACTCAAAAACACCATTCAATATGATACAAAGTATTATCGCGCGCTAACTTTTCTTCAGACATTCAAAATGGCTGACATGACTGGGCTAACAGGTCCAAAACCTAATCAGATGTAGAATGAAGTGAGCTGAACAAGATGTTAAAGTTTTAAAAGCAACTGTGAAGCCGTTTTTCTTAAAGTTTGCAGACAAGGATTTTAGCATTTGACCTCAAAATGGCCGACAGGAAGTAGCTATCGAGTTAATTTTTTTTCATCCACATCTGTATGCACTCACAAGTTATTCCTGAAAATTTGAAGGTGATAGCTGTAGCGGTTTTGGAGAAAACTGCCGGACGTACGGACGGACAGACAGACAACCAGACAGACAGACAGACAGACGGACGGACGGACGCGCCTAGGACGACAATATGGCCCCACACTATGTGGTGGGGACATAATAATAAACGTTTTCCTGAATGTCCTGACAAATAATATGTACATGTTTTTTCCTACAGGGGATAGCTGGAATGATGGCTGCAATCTGTGTGGATGTACAGCATATGGACCCATATGTACCATGAGATATTGCCTGAGCCCGCAATTACAAACTGAGAACAATTTTGAAAACTTCGAAATCTAGTCAGCTGACAGTGGAAATCACTGCGCATTAGGGTAGCACTGCAGAAAATAACAATTGTCGAAGAGGGTGAAATTACCTGCAGCACAGAAATTAAGTATCAAGTAAATTAAATGATGGTAGAATAAATCTAACATTATGCTTGGATACTTACATGTACATTCACAGTATTTGAGTACTCAAAACATGTATGAAACATTTCTAGCCATAAATTGAAACATAACCAGTGATATCGTTATAATTTGACACCTACAAATGTAAATTAGTATTTTTGGGGTCGAGGTAGAGGGCAGAAGTCTCTTACAGTCTCTTACAGTTTTCTTTTTTGAAAAAACTCAAACATATATAGTCCTGGAATTATATTGATATATTATTACCACCTTGCCGGGACAGTTCTAGGGGTTTTAGTGCAAGTTTAGAAGGCATTCATTTTACAATATCCACCTGAGCAATATGTGACATCATTGGGGCAGTCAATACTGTCAAGAATGCAATCAATGACCAGCAATTTTCCCAGGGAAATTAAATATGGTTCAGTGCGTCAACTTTTCTTGCTGTTTCAGTCCTGGTCATTAACGGTGGTAATAATACTAATAACGTCATTTCTGCGGGCAATATAGTGCTAGTGCTATAGCACTATATTGCCCTTAGAAATGACGTTATTGTACTATTAACCTCAGATCGCTTGACAGAGTGATATTGAGAGAGAGTTTACATCTCACATTTTTCTGAGACAAAGATTTTAGTTACAATTTACAGTTTATATGTACAATGTATGTATTATCTTATTGTCTATATGACATATTTTACATTTTTATAAAATAAAAATCATTTTTACTTTTGTAAAATCTATTTTGTTGTTGAATGATGATAATCAAGCACAATAATACATTTCTACATTATTCAAGTGTGGATTCAATCATTATTTGTGGCCTGTTGTATTATTTTTTGCTATATACATGTAATCTTGAAATAAATTACTTGTTTTAGATGAGATTTTTAGAACGAGATTTTAAGAAAATCGCAAAACAATCAAAGATTTTAGTCTATTTAATGACATATCTGAATTCTCTTTTCAATTATTTTTTACAATTATTTCATTGTTTAGAATTTCAAAGAGAAATCCTGAGAATACGGCTGAGAATAATCCAGCTCCCCCGAATCAAATTAGCAATCCATGAATACTATGCCTTCATATTTCATATTCATCGACAGGCTCGCCTGGTGGACTCCATTGAAATCCTTCTGTTGCACTGCATTGTTGAATGCTTGAAATAATACGCCTGCATTTTAGTTGAACATTTCGAACATTATACTGACCACTACCAGAACCTTTGACACCGGACATGTTTGCGAAATAAAACTCAAAGAATAAAAAAATACAGAAGTATATGTATGTTTAAGTAACCAGTTTATGTAACCATTTTGGCAAAATTTCAAATTTGGCAAATATTGGCCATAAATGGAGAACTGGCAACATTGTTAAAAGACCAAAATTGCATTCAAAGCCAAATGTACAAGGGTTTGACAAAGAGTACTAGTGTCAGTTTTCTTCATAACAGTAATGCTATAACCATTACTACTATTGCCATCTATTTATCTATCTAAAAAGCAAGTTCTCTATTTGACACACTATCCTATCCAATATAAGTGGTGTGGATGACTTAATCCAATATCTAATTATAATTCTAAAAATCCCAGATTACTATGTATGTGATTGTGATAAGTCAATTGTTAATATGATGTAACTACATGTACTGTTAATGTGATGTAACTACAGTACTGTTAATGTGATGTAACTACTGTTATCTCTCAATTTGAATTATTTCATGGCTGTAACTGACCGACTGACTCTAATTTTATCTACTTTAGGGGGTATTTATTTGAATTTTTTAATCTATTTTTAGGGGTATTTATTTTGATTTTTAGATACTTTTTTAAAATAAACCAAACTTTTCTTTGTATACTGTGATATTGAGAGATCAATCTTATGGTGTATATGTCATTTTGTTCCAACAAGGTTCAAAAAGATATTTTATTTCATTCTCAAAAATTGGTAGAAAAGGATAAAAAACAATTGCACTTAAAAACAAAAATTGTTTGCTTTATCCCTAATGGGTTGTTCCTTTATCCCTAATGGGTTGTTCCTTTATCCCAAATGGGTTGTTCACTGGGATAATAATCCAGGCCTATTAATTCACCTGAAGAAACTTCTTGACGTCTTATTAATTTCTGAAGATTCCACTGTATATAAGCACATTAGTAGCTCGTGAAATTTCATATAAGCGCTACAGAGCATCAAAGCACACACAAATATATATATACCATATATATAGCAGAGGGTGAGTCTAATTTTGTTTTTTAGTTGGTCAAATTGTTTTTAAAATGGAGTTATATAAAATAATTTGTATAATTATTTCTCTTTTATCCTCAGAATGGGACTGTTAAACATAAAAAATAAATAAAATAAAAACCTTGTGCAAGATAATTATAATTTGAAAATAAGTGGATAAGCCTAACTATCTAAATAAATTAAATAATTGGAATTAAACACTGAAGATAATTTTTTGGTAATTGTTTTGGTTATTATATTTTTATCTATTTTGTTTTTGTTAAAAAGTTTGGTTCATTTTAAAAAAAGTATCTAAAAATCAAAATAAATACCCCTAAAAATAGATAAAAAATTCAAATAAATACCCCCTAAAATAATAAAATTAGAGTATACCTTTTATTTCATTAATAAGATAATTATCATAAATGAAAGAAAATGATGTTTTCTTTTTGGCGTGTAATTTATATTTAATATTAATCTAAGTCTTAAAAGTACAATAAAGAAACATGTTCTTTAATGTGTGGGCTCAATCAAGCACCATACTGATCTGATCTTTTTGCTACAAATAAGATCTAAAAATAGCTTTCACCCATGAAGACAAATCACCATTTTCTCTTGATGCTAAATCAGTTTTTCTTCACCTTACTTATTTGTATTATGATACTTCTAATTTTCTATTTTTCTGAAAATCAATTTACAATATACCTACAGCCTACACCGCATGTTTCTTTGACAGACTAAATAACATGTCAATCTAAGGACTTGATCAGTGTAAAATTGTTGCTTCGAATAACATCTGTAATTTTTCAAATAGGCCCCTTGTGTCTGTTTACCTTTATTATTTGAATATCTTAAAAGACTTATTTATCCCACTTCAGGAACAATTGTAAAATTGATTTCTGCATATCCTGCCAAAATTGCATTGATCAATGCATTTTCAAAAAAGTTATATCGAAATAAAAAAAATCTGGACTATTTTGGCCAACCCTGTATATTTTTCAAATTAATTTGTTACAATTCAAACTATCATCATTAAATGTATCATTTTTTTCACACTAGATTTTTTTGTAAATTTATATATGCTCATAGTGCAGTTAGGGCAGCTTATATAGAAAACACACAAAACCTAGACCCATTTTCAAAAGTCAATTAGAACAAAATAATTACAATTTTCATCACAAGAAGTTTGGGCGAAACTTTTTTCTTGAAAGTTACAAAATAGCAGATGAAATCATTGAAAATCATAAAATTGTTTTTTTCTCACTAATTCATACACAGCATAACTCTTTCTGAAAAGTTGAAAACAAATAATAATCATTGTCATCGTATTGAGTATGGTTACCTTGAGTATTAGGTGATGACTGGCTGTATGATAGGTATCTGATGCATATGTAGAATTCTCTATATTATTAGTATCAACTGGTTTATAGAAAATTCTACCATACTAACACCCTATGCAGACAGAGCCTGTGGGAAATATTGGGTGCGGCGCAAATGAGCGGAGGGTGCGGAGCTAACGGTCATTTTTGAATTTAAAATTGGGATATTTCTGAAACTAAGCCGTTTTGGGACTTCAAATATACCAAGATATGTGTATTTGACACCAAATATCAATAAAATTGTGAAAATAGTAGTGCAATTCATTTTATAGCGACGCAGTATGCCTTAAACATTTCCCAGACCTATATATTTTGAGACTATCCTTTTAATACTGCGTCCCCAGCATTCATAAAAAATGGTGTTCAAGATACACTACCCATGCAAATTATTTTTGCATCTTGGAAGCCAGGCAGTATCTGTGTGATTTTATAAAAATTCGGAAATGTTCTTCAGATATGAGCCCCCTCTAAATATTGGGTGCGGAGGTACGTTTATGGAGCTGCTCCGCACCCAATATTTAGAGGGGGCTCATATTTGAAAAACATTTCCGAATTTTTATAAAATCACACAGATACTGCCTGGCTTCCAAGATGCAAAAATAATTTGTATAGATAGTGTACCTTGAACACCATTTTTTATGAATGCTGGGGACTCAGTATTAAAAGGATAATTTCAAAATATATAGGTCTGGGAAAGGTTTAAGGCACACTGCGTCGCTATTGAATGAATTGTGCTACTATTTTCACAATTGTATTGATATTTGGTGTCAAATACACATATCTTGGTATATTTGAAGTCCCAAAACGGCTTAGTTTCAGAAATATCCCAAATTTAAATTCAAAAATGACCGTTAGCTCCGCACCCTCCGCTCATTTGCTCCGCACCCAATATTTCCCACAGGCTCTGTCTGCATAGGGTGACTAAGCTCACTTATTTATTTATTTAATCTGTAAAAAGTATTAACAAAAATTACATCATGATTAATACTAGGACACCAAAAGGCAAATAATGGTATTATTCAAGAGTAGAAAAAAGTATACATTAAAAAGTGAAATATATGTTTACATATAACTGCCCTAATCGTTGACACTATGTACGTACATGCAATATATGTGATATAAGTGATGATGTGCCTAGTTAGAATGATTTATCATATTATCATTAATATTTTGAAAGAATTTTAGATTTATATGATTTCTTGAAAAGGACATGTTAGATTGTTTAATTTTGTCATCAACAGTGGACCAAAGAAAATTAAGGTCCATGGGTATCCAATTTGTCTGAGGTATCTATCTGAAAGTTTTCCTTAGAAAGGTTTGCTTAGAAATGAGTTATATCATTGTTATTATTGGAACAATGGTACATAAAAATACTTGTGTTGAGTAAAATTCTATCTTTGTTACAGACAAATAAACAGGCTTGACTTCGAAATTAGAATCCAAAAAGTTTGAAGAAGCTGTAACCAACATTTAAGCATGATGAATGGAACGCTTGGACCAACAATTGAAGCCAACCACACACGCATGTATAACAACACCACAAGCACAACAGCTGATGAAATTCAAGGTATGCTTGGACCAACAATTGAGGCCAACCATACACACATGTATAACAACACCACAAGCACAACAGCTGATGAAATTCAAGGTATGCTTGGACCAACAATTGAGGCCAACCATACACACATGTATAACAACACCAAGAGCGCAACAGCTGACGAAATTCAAGAACTATGGGTACACTTCATAATTGCCATTTTCCTCATCTCTTTTATCACTGTGGGGAACAGCCTAATCCTCTGGACAGTTTACAAAATAGAGTCAATTCGTTCAGTTACAAGTCTTTTCATCGTGAATCTTTCACTGGTTGACTTTTTAACTGGTGCCATTGTGTTGCCAATAACAATGACTATTAACTACATTATACCTCTTTTTACAGGCAATTATGTACAAAACAAGTACTACTGCATCGTGAAAGCATTTTTGTTGACATTATTTTTGTTATCGTCAGTGTTTGGGTTGATAGGTATTGCCATAGAGCGTTACATAGCTATAGTGTTTCCACTGCGTTACGTTAGCCTGATGACCGCAAAAAATGCAAAGATCATTATTGTAAGCATATGGGTGTATGTACTGTCAATGATGCTTGTAATATTCATAAATGATTTAAATGTGTATGAAACTGGGCAACAATGTATAAATGATAATGTCATCGAGCAATCTTACTACTTGTTTATCAAACTGAACATTTTTGTCCCAATTCTTATAATTTTTGTTGTTTATTCGAAGATCACTTGGGTTGCATACAAGCATCGAGCCCAGATAATAAATGAATTAGCCAGCATTGACAATGCTAAAGCTGTCGCATACAAAAATGAGCACTCGATTATGAAAGCCACTATCATTGTCAATGTTGTTTTTATGATTATGTATGGACAATTTCTGTATATATCATCACTTAAGCTGAGCACTGAATGGTACGAGACATTGAGGTATCACTCAGGTGAAATCTTGACATTAAATAGTGGAGTGAACCCCTGGATTTATGCACTCCGTGACAGAAAATTTAAGAATGCCCTGCTGGCTGCTCTCAAGCTGAAACGAAATGGGGCTTCGATAGAATATAATTAAGTATGATTTAATATAGGACCCTTAAGGTACTGGTAGAACAAAAATATTTTTGAAAAAATTGCTATTCTTGTTATTTTTCTGGTACAAAATAAAGTATGAAGGCATGTGTCTTCTTTTAGTAAACCTGGTAAGAGGTCCAGGCCCGTAGCCAGGATTTGTTAAGGGGAGTTCACTTTTTGAAAAATTCCAGGGGGGTTCACTTGTGACAATTTTGGTCCAAAAATGTCCAAAATCACTTAAAAAGTGCTTAGAATGGTGAAAAACTGCATGGCTTTGAAAGATTTTTTGGCCAGGGGGGGGCCTGAGGTCAATGGTAACTCCAAGAAATGCTGATATTTCAAGAAAATGGCTGCCTTTTCAATTTTCCAAAGTTCTTTCTTCTCTCAACAACTCTTGCCATTGACTTCTTACCAGACATACTAAAAAAAACAATGTAATGATGCTTTCCTGACAAAAGCAAGGAAAAACACACATGCCTTCATACTTTATTTCGTACTGGAAAATAACATGTGCAAATATAGCAATTTTTTCAAAAATGTACCTTAAGCCTTGGTTGTGGTGTGAACTGGTGTGTATATTCATTATTTCCTTGATTAAAACCCTAAGTGATATACTAGTGACTGAAATGTCTGCTGAAACTATTTTGAAAAACACTGTTCTTTGGCTATTTAATTACTTATTTGAAAAATCTATCATCGACCTAAACATTAAATATATCATACCTCTTATCACAGGCAAAGATGAACATGTACTATATACAGTATGTATGTAATTGGTCGCTATTTGACGAAAGTGCATGAGAGATCTTTGCTGTAAAATTGATGTAAAGGCAATTTATTCAAGTTCATATAGAGCACTTGTAGACAACTCAGTGATATGATGTATATTGTACAGTCTAATGCATACATGTATATTTTTTTGTTTGTACTGTAATTGTTCACTTTATTGGATTCATTTTGGTGGAAAGTTAAAATTCTCAAGAGACCAATAAATAAATAATCTTAGATTGATTTGAGGAGTACATGCATATCACACTTCATGAATTTTGTAATAAAGCATGGTTGAATATGACTTTGTGTTTCTTGTTGTGTTTTAGTCATGTAACTGATTTGAAATGTCAATAAAATATTGTAATTACACTATAATACACTGAACAGATATTTTGTTTTTCCTGATAAACTAGATATATGTATGCCCTACTTACTGTATATATCTTATCTGTATATATCAGTCCTCACATAATAAATACCAAGAAATAGCTACAGGGTGTTCAATAAATAAGGTTAAAGATATTGTAACTTTCTATTCTATATTTATTCTTTCTGATAGCTTTGTTCATACTCCCAGGTCTATTACTACCACAAATGCAATATAAAAAAAAACAGTCCTAAAGTCCCATTGTTATGAAAATAAGCTAGTCAACATAATGTCCATCTCTAGCTAAACACTTCTTATGCCTATTCACCCACTCTCTAAACACACTTTCAAACCCATTCCATACAATGCAGACACCTGAAATTATTTGCAAAGCTAGGAAATGGGCCAAAAGTGAATTTCGGGGAATAAAAATGGCGGCCATTTTGAAACCAGAACAACGGCAACGCCAAAGCGTAGCGAATCCCATCGAACAGAAATGACTGGCATTTTTTACAAACGAATAGCAAATATCATAAAACAACACACCAGAAAGGCCACCATTTTCAAAATGGTTGCTCACTAGCCAAGTTGTCATCAGAAGAAATAATATGCTTTTAAGTAGCCACCTCTAAAATTTTTGAAAAATCATACATGTACTTGTAAAATAACACACATAAAAATGGTGGCCATTTTTCGAAATGGCCGACTACTCCCCAAAGTTTAATTAGACATTGTGCCATGCTTAAAGCATTCACATATCAAATATGAACAAAATCGCTCCACTACTTTTCAAGTTATAGTAAAATACGTTAAAATGGTGGCCATTTTTCAAAATGGCCACCTTCTACCAAAAGAGTCATTAGAAATAGACAGTGTGCCATGCTTATTGTATTCACATACCAAATATGAACAAAATCGCTCTACTACTTTTCGAGTTATAGTAAAATATGTAAGAATGGCGGCCATTTTTCATAATTTTTTTCAAAATGGCCGCCTTCTACCCAAAGTGTCATAGGACAGTGTGCCATGCTTATAGTATTCACATACCAAATATGAACAAAATCACTCCACTACTTTTCGAGTTATAGCAAAATATGTTAAAATGGCGGCCATTTTTCAAAATTTTTTCAAAATGGCCGCTTTCTACCAAAAGTGTCATAGGACAGTGTGCCATGCTTATAGTATTCACATACCAAATATGAACAAAATCACTCCACTACTTTTCGAGTTATAGCAAAATATGTTAAAATGGCGGCCATTTTTCAAAATTTTTTCAAAATGGCCGCCTTCTACCAAAAGTGTCTTTAGACAGTGTGCAATGCTTATAATATTCACATACCAAATATGAACAAAATCGCTCCACTATTTTTTGAGTTACAGCAAAAATCGTAAAATGACGAGTAAAGGCTGCCATTTTTCAAAATGGCTGCCATGTGCTTCTTTAATATCTACATTTGTAGCATTATCAATGTCCTTTATAATTTTTTTACATTTAAAACATATTGCTATTACAGTTTTACATATTGCACCTAAATTACTGTAAAATCGGCACTAAAATGGCTGCCATTTGGAAATGAGCGGCCATTTTGAAAATCGGCTTTCGAGCAGAACTTCTACCCCCATAGGGTATATGTGTACAAAATATGAACAAAATCGGGCCAACGGTATTTGAGTTATTGCCCGGATGGACGGACAGACGGACGGACAGACGGACGGACGTACGTACGGACGTACGTATGGACGGACGGAGGCGTTCCCTATATCCCTCCGAACTTCGTTCGATGGGATAAATAGGCGAGCTTTTGAACCAGGAGTCATAGGGGAGTTTTTTGTATTGATGTTGAAGAAAAATAACTTAAAACGGGAATCCTATCGACAGAGGATACAGGCAAATGGGCCAAAAGTGGATTTTGCGAGATAGATGGACAAATCAATGTTAACTAAAATGGCTGCAAATAAATAAAAAAAATGGATATAATATTCTGCTGATCTTTTGTAACAAAATTATTTCATACAACTTTTCTTTCCATTGACATGGATTTTTAAAATGCAGGACACCTGAATTTATTTGTAAAGCTAGGAAATGGGTCAAAAGTGAATTTCGCGAGACAAAAATGGCAGTCATTTTGAAAATAGGCAAGCTTTTGAACCAGGGGTCATAGGGGAGTTTTCTGTATTGATGTTGAACAGAAATAACTTAAACAGGAATCCTATCGACAGAGGTTTTAAGGCAAATGGTCCAAAAGTGGATTTCACAAGACAGATGGACCAATCAATGTTAACTAAAATGGCTGGAAATAAAATGGCTGGAAATAAAAAAAAAAACGGATACAATTTTTTGCTGATTTTTTGTAATAAAATTATTTCATACAACTACTCTTCACATTGACATGACTTTTTACAATGCAGGACACCTGAATTTATTTGTAAAGCTAGGAAATGGGTCAAAAGTGAATTTCGCGAGACAAAAATGGCGGCCATCTTAAAAATAGGCAAGCTTTTGAACCAGAAGTCATAGGGGAGTTTTCTGTATTGATATTGAACAAAGATTACTTAAAACAGGAATCCTATCAACAGAGGTTTTAAAACGTTTCACTATTGTTGGTCAAAAAATGGATTTCACGAGACAGCTGGACAAATCAATGTTAACTAAAAAGGCTGAAAATAAAAAAAAATGGATATAATTTTTTGCCGATTTTTTGTAACAAAATTATTTCATACAACTACTCTTCACATTGACATGGATTTTAACAATGCAGGACACCTGACATTATTTGTAAAGCTAGGAAATGGGTCAAAAATGAATTTCACAAGACAAAAATGGCGGCCATCTTGAAAATAGGCGAGCTTTTGAACCAGGAGTCATACAGGGAGTTTTCTGTATTGATGTTGAACAAAAATAACTTAAAACGGGAATCCTGTCAACAGAGGTTTTAAAACGTGCCACTATTGTTGATGGATGGACGGACACATGCACGCACGCATGGACAGACAGATGGACAAGTGAGTGATTGCAAAAGCTCACCTTGTGAGCTAAAAATAATCTTGCTTCAAATTGCACCAAATTTATCAAAAATCATCTTCAAGTTTCAAAGAGTTCATATCTGAGATCAGACTTACATGTAGATCTGACATTCGATTGACCTTCACTGGTCTTTTTCAGGTAACATTTTCAAGATCACAAAAAATTGAACAAAAGGTACAATGGGTATTGAACTCATATGGTGAAAGGGCTTTCAAAAGACTTTGAAAGCCATATTTAGACTGAAGATTAAAAGTGTAACCTTTTTACATCTTGGATTTCCAAGGTATGATGTTTTCATACCTTGGAATATCAGGCTGAAATAAGTTTTGGTTGACATTTCGATTTCTTATTAGTGCATATCTGACATGTCTCAACAACTAAAGAAATATTAAACATGATGCTATTGAATTAATCTATAAACTCAGGTTCAACATAATCTGCATACTTAAATCTTAAAATTACTTTCTCTGGTATGAACCCTGGTGAAATGAACTACAACAATTTCTTAACTATTAATTAGACTATATCAACTGACAAAACAGTACCATCTACTTTATTTATTTTTTTGAGGTGTAATCACACAACCCGTAGATGGAGGATTGTTTTTCCATTAAATGCTCAGGTGTGTGATTAGTAAATCCACTTACTTAGCTAATTAGATTCTATTAACGTTATTCAGCTGACCAAACATACCTTCTCCTTAATTGTGTTTTTCTCAGTTGCAACATGAGGATTGTTTTTCTATTAAGATGCATATAAATGCTCAGGTGCATAGCCGTAGGGACCGGGGGTTCGGTCAGGATTTCCCAAAAAATATTTTTGCGGATATGCAATATTAATTAGCCGTGCAATTTGAAAACGTTATATGATCAGTAAATAAATTCATGTTGTTATGGTGAACATAAAACGTTTTTTTGTTAGAAACATAGTGAAGAAACCTCTCTCCAAACATTTGTCAACCTAAGGGACGGGGTGGGGTCGTCTAATTTGGAAAAACCACAGAACATATCATTCTACAAAGAAAGGAAGAGGGAAGTTAGCGCAACCGATTTTGGACAGTCATATGTTTGATTTTGGCCATTTCCTTGGGATCTAAACAGGTGCATATGTTAGGCAAATGCATTACCTCCAGGAAAATCACTTCTAGAGATGATAAAATAATTTCGACTTTGAGACAGGGTAGATGCAAACAACCCAGCCACATGTTTTTTCTGAAATGTTTTCTTGATTTTCAACCCCTTCCATCCCTACTTTTTTCAATTTTTCTTGCATCAATATGTTGCATTTTGACACACAGTTAATCCCTTAAAAGGAATAAACGATTCCTTTTAGATAAAGTGGAAAACAATATTTCCCATGTTATTTTCCCATAGGAAAAATCATTGCTTTCAGCTAAGTTTGGTCACCCATAATGGGTATCTTTAAAACCCCTGAAGGAATCACTTATTCCTTTAAAGTGGTTAACTATGTGTCAAAATGCACCATATTGATGCAAGAAAAAATAAAAAAACAGGGATGGAAGGGGTCGAAAATTAGGAAAACATTTCAGAAAAAACATGTGGGTGGGTTGTTTGCATCTACCCTGTCTCAAAGTCGAAATTATTTTATCATCTCTAGAAGTGATTTTCCATTTGCCTAACATATGCAATTGTTTAAATCCTCAGAAAATGGCCAAAATCCAACATATTACTGTCCAAAATCTGTTGCGCTAATTTCCCTCCTCCTTTAATAATATCACACAATTTTGTAGGAATTTTGTTTTAAGCCAGTTCTGGTCCATGAAAACAGCGCAAATGTCTTATGCTCTGAAAGAAAGTTTTTCTATGATAACTTTCTACAACATTTAAACAAAGGCTTCTTAAAATACCTTGAAGTAGTCATAAAACTGATCAAAACACATATTATTTAAAAGAATATTCAATAATATTTCTTGGGAAGTCCCCAGAACAAAACAAGTTCATTAATAAAAACGTCACTTTTTTAAGGAAAACCCAATCCATTGAGAAAAAATAGTTTTTTTTCAGATGCAGTCAACACATCATAGAGATTATCTTAAATTTGAATTGTAATTGTTTCAATGCGTATTTTCACGAATATCGAATTTTAGTGGATCATGTTTATGTCATCCATTGGTACCAAGTAACACATTTCAAAACGTTTTGATTATCTCATGCAATTAAACTGCTCTGGGGGACCTACCAGCTCCGGGGACTTCCAAAGAAATTTTAGATAATTTCGTATTTCAAAATTCCTGCAAAAGAATGATTCATTTGGAGGTGATTCATCTTGTCCGAGATAAAACAGCTTTTAAAGAGGGACATGGGGTATAAATAGGAGGCAGACAAATGGAACAGCCAAAATAACTGTATTTTTGATATTTTCACAAAGCTGGTCAATTTTCGCATATTTCATATTGATTGAGAAGATGTATTGGTTCCAATTTTGTTATGTGTATCTTTCAATGTTTTTAAGTTCATATTCTACAGTTAGATTTCAACTTCATCATTTTGTTGGATTGTGACAGAACATTTAAAAACACTGATAACATTTTTCAAATTTAAAAGTCCTCAAGATTAGCCAATCAAAATCAAGTATTTAGCAATGCTTTTACTAATCCTGACTATCTGTGCGATGTTAAAGTGTGGATGTAACCTGATATTTTAATGAGAGTTGCTAGCAACTTTAAAACCGGCCTTAAAGTTAAAAAAATTAATTGTGCAAAATAATTGACTAATTCTTATCAAAACATTATGCTCCATGATCTTCCCAAAATAAGACGATCTCACAATCTCACGTTAGCTCCCCATCGGACTACGTGTTAAAGCCTCATTATGTTTGAACTTTTATTTATATAACCTGCAAAGAAAATGTTTATGATAAATGTGCAGATAACTTGACTATTATCTCTACCTCCAATATTCCCTTAATCAGGTCGAAAATTGATGACTTTGATGCATATTTGAAAAACCAAAACACATTTCTATTAATATAAAATTAAATTGTCTGACATTTTGCACATTTTGCAACTTTGTTTACTTCGTGAACATTGAAATAACAAAGCTTGAAATTCATTTTTAAAAATCATTTTTCGCACCCACTAGTGTTATTTGAATGGGACATGTTTCTTGAGAAAAATTGACTTTGGAGACCCATTAATTTTTTGAACGCAAAGAAAGTTATCATTTTTTGTTCTTGTTAAATAAAGTTAAATTCGAAATCTAAATTCAATTGTCTACTTAACTTGTATTTTGCGAAAAATGGAATCGTTTTAAGTATAACATAGGGAGGCTTTAACACGTAATCCAATGGGGAGTTAGAGCTGCCAACCTTTTGGAGGGAGTGTAAATTGTATGTGCAAATACAAAAATGCTTTTATGTGGAGTTAGGGCTGCCAACCTTTTGGAGGGAGTGTAAATAGTATGTGCAAGTACAAAAATGCTTTTATTTTGAGTTAGGGCTGCCAACCTTTTGGAGGGAGTGTAAATTGTATGTACAAATACAAAAATGCTTTTATGTGGAGTTAGGGCTGCCAACCTTTTGGAGGGAGTGTAAATAGTATGTGGAAATACAAAAATACTTTTATTTTGAGTTAGGGCTGCCAACCTTTTGGAGGGAGTGTAAATTGTATGTACAAACACAAAAATGCTTTTATATGACTGTGAGGAACCTAAAAAACAAAATAATATTTGTGAATAACATAAAATTCTAACCCCTGGTCACCAAATCCTGGCTACGCCATTGAGGTGTGTGTTTCAACAAACTTTGGGAAAAAAAGCATTGCTCTTAAGGCATGCCACTACATGGACCATTATAAATCCCACTTACTATAGAAAAATTGGACACCACATGACGACTGTCTAAACTTGTTGAAGTCAGAGAAGAGATCAACCTTGACCTTCAAGTGAATCTCCCCGCGTATGCCTGAAACAAAACAAGTGATCATTTTAAAAGTGAAGGTCTGCATTGTAAGGACTGGAATCCTGATCTTAATTTTATGTTATCAAACCCAAGAAGTCAACTATTATTAACATTGTTGAATCTCAAGAGAATTAGTCCTATTATAGCCAGGAACCACCTGCAGTGCTGCCTCTAGTCAGGATGGGGTTAAGATCCCCGGAGACAGTGGCTTGAAGATTTAAATAATACATACCATGCATTGTATCATAGACAGGGAACCAGCCACTGATTAATGCAGCATTGTCCCTAGTCAGGAGGGGGTTAAGATCCCCAAAGACAGTGGCTTTAAGATTTACATAATACATACCATGCAGTGTATCATAGACAGGGAACCAGTCACTGATCAATGCATCATTGTCCCTAGTCAGGAGGGGGTTAAGATCCACATAGACAATGGCTTTAAGATTTACATAATACATACCATGCATTGTATCATAGACAGGGAACCAGTCACTGATCAATGCAGCATTGTCCCTAGTCAGGAGGGGGTTAAGATCCACATAGACAATGGCTTTAAGATTTACATAATACATACCATGCATTGTATCATAGACAGGGAACCAGTCACTGATCAATGCATCATTGTCCCTAGTCAGGAGGGGGTTAAGATCCACATAGACAATGGCTTTAAGATTTACATAATACATACCATGCATTGTATCATAGACAGGGAACCAGTCACTGATCAATGCAGCATTGTCCCTAGTCAGGAGGGGGTTAAGATCCACATAGACAATGGCTTTAAGATTTACATAATACATACCATGCATTGTATCATACACAGGGAACCAGCCACTGATTAATGCAGCATTGTCCCTAGTCAGGAGGGGGTTAAGATCCACATAGACAGTGCCTATCAAGTCATGTGCACTGTAGGTATCATGGTCCATTACCCTACAAAACAAAAAATTATGAAGTTGTCAAAAGATTTTACAAGCCTGCATTGCTACTTAGACAGATGTCAGTCAGATTGGGGAGATGTGTGGGTACAGAAATCTCTGCAAAATCCTCCTAGGGTAATAATGTTATAATTCCAGTAATCTTTTCTTTTTTCATGCATATTGTTCAGTGATCTTCATTAATTTACACAGAGCTCTATTCAAAATGAAAATCAGCCGTTTTGTGCAATAACAGTATACCAAGGAGGATTGGGTCTCAGGGTCTTCAATCTCCAAGCATCACTTGATGTGTGATGTCATGTCATGGACATACATTTGTAGTACATGTATTTAATTTACTTTGTCATTGAAATTCACTCTTCACCAGTGATAATATAATGGGGCTGGGAGAAACACAGCAGCTTGGTGCAAGACTGAAATTACAAATTATATAAAAATTATGTGATACTGGTCATATAGAATACCTTATTTGCAAGGGTTCATCTTGGAGATCCTCATCATCTACTTCAAATCTGAACCATTCAGAATTCCAGCTGGGATTCAATGATTTGCGGCAGACGTCAGTCTTGAATGTGGTTGTGCCAAAACGAACCTGGAGAACATATTTTAATACATCACTGCATCAAATAATAAAAATAGAATCGTATTTAAAGATTGGTGCAATGTGGGTCATCAAGGTTGAAACCACGTGTATATGTTCAGATCACATGAAAACATTTTTCTAAAACTGACTAGTTGTGTATTTTTCATGCCACAGCAGAAAAACATACATGTTATTCTTCTTTCTGATCCAGCTTTTTTGCAGTTATTGAGAAATTTATAGTTTTAAACATTGAAATTTTTAACATTGAAAAACTTATTTTGACTATTAATCTGGGATGAAAAAATTACTGTCAGATTAATGTTAGTTGTGGTGCTTACCTTAACATACATGTGATTCTCAAAATCAAAATAAGATATTTCAGGTGAATATATGGATAGTCAAACATGTGGAACTGCCATCTTTCTATCAATACCTATGATGTATGTATAGCCATCATCTGATTTATAATGTTTTCATGAATAACTGCAATTATCATTAAAGAATTAGAGTTTACTAAAACACTCTCACTTACTTTAATTGTCAATTGACCCAGATTGTCCAAATTTAACAAAAAACAAGAATTACATTATATAATTATATTAAATATTTTCAAATACTGATATACATGAAAGAATAATCTCCTTGTTACCTCAACAAATGCATCAGTTGAGTCGCTAGACCTGTCCATCACTGGTAAGTCCCGCCCACTCAGTACCCGGACCTTTAATTTTCCAGGCATCACACACAGTAGCTGATTTTACCCTAATAAGAAAAAATCACAATAGCCAATTCTTGTACTGTTTGTATACTAATTATAACATTTTTAACCAACCTGTTTTTTTACTTATCAATCTGTGTTGTCTTAATCTAATGTGTATTAATGATTTGGTTCTCTAAAGCTCTAAATATGAACACTGGAACACATAAAGTATTGAATGAAATCAAAATCCACCCCCACTCTCTCAGTCTATGTACCAAAATTCCTACGTACACAGAGTGGGGGAGATAGATTTTGGTCAGTTCTACTATCTGCTCCAGTCCCTATGCTCTGCTTCAACGACAAAAATATCAGAATTGTAAATTCAGATTCTTACTGTCTCTATTCAAAGACCTGCTCTTCTTGGGGGTTTAGACATTTTGAATGGCCTTAATTGGTCTTACATGTACATGTATGTCTAGATATTTGGTATGGCATTGGTCCTATAGTAGGACATTTGGTATGGCTTTGGTCTTATATTTGGACATTTGGTATGGCTTTTTGACCTTATTAGGTTGGTATGGGAACATACTGAAATTTGACAGATTGGTATGGGAACATATTGATATCTGAGGGTTCAGCCTAGGGCCCTAGGACTCCCGCCACTGACTTGAGTCAATGTTTCTTTCGAAACTTACTGCCATATAATTTTACCAAAATTCAAAAATTATCTGGCAGTAAGTTTCGAAAGAAACATTGACTCACATCCCTGACCCCCACCGAATTTGAATACAGTGAATCCCCGGGAGACGGAATCATCTCGCTTTTCATTGCATTGTGCTGCATGAATATGTGGCTAAAAAATGATAATAAAATGATTATCCAGTATATTCTATTTCAAAGTCCAGAAAATGAAGCCACATCAACTGAACTATCAATTCTCCAAAGGCATTTGCCAGGTTTGCCTTTGCCTTTGGACCTGCAAAAAAGTCAACATTGGAACATGCTGGAGAAAAATTCGAACGCAAAATACACCTTGAATGCTGGACAAAAATACAGGTGTACAGATTTTCAATCATAATTACCTAATTAACTTACCCCTGCAATGATTCAAATAGTTACGATCTGTCTTTTTATGTAGTAAGAGGTGAAATTGTTCAGATTTTCATCTTGTAGAAATTTTTGCCCCATATTTATTTTGTGGTGTGTCATGATCCAAAATGGCTGCGCCCATGAAAAAAAAATTGGTTCTTAAATTTTTATCTTTTTATTGCATTACAAACACAATGCGTCCCTAACAGAGGACTTATATTTTAAGATTTGATAGGCTTTAAATCATTTATCGAAACTGAATAGGATACGAGACGACAGTAATGAGAACTGTGTCTTTTGTTGAGAGATTGGAATTTGATTTTCCTGGAAATCTTTTCAATCAGGCTTTGGGAGTGGGAGATGTAGATAATGACAAGGTAACACTGATATTTATATATTTCCTTAGAAAGAAGCAGTAAATTTTAGCATTTCAATTTTATTTGAATGATATCCCTAACAGTCTTGTCTCACATACATGTACATGTCCTTCCTGCGAAAGCTACAATGTACATGTATGTGGATTTTAGCTTTCCCACGGCGCACTTAGACAGTTGAATAATAGCGACCTTTAAAACATGAATAATGCTTATTTTCGGTCTCTATCTGTGTCTTATATAAGTATCATCAATCCGTGCAAGTATTGGAGCGCTGAAATAGAGTCAATACGTCTATTTCCAAACACCCCCATCAAAAAATGTAGTTAGCTTGGCTGTACTGCACATCTATGGTATGATTCTATATATATTATGTGTATTATACACTGTAGAATGCATTTGCCGAAAAAATTACGAAAAATTGTAAAAAAAATCTGGGTTATACCATTTTTACTACAAGGTATTTTAGGGGGGTAATTCCGAACAGGAGTATTTTTGGGGGGTAAATCCGAACACTAATATGGGGGTAATTCCAAACACTAAACCTAAATTTAATTGTTTTAATTGTTAGATTGATGGTATATCATTATATGATACCCTGAACTTATGATACTGGATCCTGTCACCCCTGCATATCAAAAAACCCAAATTTAATTAATTTATAAGTGATATCTATTGATTGAAAGGCATATGGTTTGTGGGGGTAATTCCAAACACGAGCATGGGGGTAATTCCGAACACCTAAATCATCATAATTGATTATTTTATTGTTAGATTGTTGTTATACATCATTATATGGTATCTTTTAGGCTACAAATATTATGTAGAGGTAGTAGAGGTAATATTATTCAATTCAATGATTTGCTTGCCATTGTTTGGAACCCGTTCGTGTTTACCCCCCTGTTTGGATTTGGACGTATTGACTCTACTTCTTTTTCGATCAAGACTTGTAAATTGTTCATCGAGTGAATGCTTTTTCAACCCATTTCCAATATGGCGGATTGCTAGGAGCGAGATACACAATGAACAAAATGAATTTTGAGAATGAGTTAGGTTCAGACAACCTCCGGAGATTTACGAAAATGTCCGAGCAGAAAACCCATATTGGAATTTGGCAGAAAAAACATTCGCTTGACGAACAATTACATGTTTTGATCGAAAAAGTCTTGATGTGACAACAACATACAGAACTGTGTACATTCTGAGGAGTGAGCCTGATACTAGTATCAATTACTTAATGTTCTATATATTATAAGGCTTAGTAAAGCTCAAACAGCAACAGTTTTCAGACAAGCCTCTACAAATTTATGATTTTGACAACCCATTGTTTTGTTTGCAAACATGTCATGTGTTTTTATATTTAAAATTTGTGATTTATTTTTGAGGGAATGTCTTGTCATATATACTGTACATATGGCCTCAGATATGACATATCAATTACACACTGACCCCTAAGGGTCCCAAGGGCCCTAAGCAAGGCTGACTGATTTTTGTATTTTTCAGTGTAATGAAATTGTAGCAGGGAACATGAATGGAGAACTGATGGTCTTTAAAGGAAGAGACAGTAAACCTTGGAGGAAAGCAAGTGATCTTGGAATGGTGAGATTGTGCTACATGTAATCACACATATTTTAATTATTCCAATGAAGAAGAGTAGTGGTATAGTAAATCCTGTCAGTTTGTCCAGAGCAGAACTCAAATACTAATTGAGAGATTTTCTTCATATGGAAAGATGTATAGTGGTGGAATGTTGTATTGTTTGGTAAAGATACAATTGTTTTGCCTATATTTGAATTTTTTATAGAACTGCTCAAATTTTTAATATTGTATTTTCTTTTTGATTTGTGCTTTGGAAAATCCAAAACTGTGGCCTAAGGCAGAATTTCATCTTAATTTGGAAATCTCATCAGACTATGATGTTATTGTCCTCAAATCAAATGTACTTCAACTGAGTCTTGCAAATCTTTCCATTTATCTTGAAATCCATTCAAAGTACCAAATATCAAAATTCATGTGTGCCTTGTGAAACCCAAAATGGCAAATTTGATTTTAATTAATTTGGAGGATCTCATGGAATTATGATTTTATTATACTCAAATTGTTTGTTGGGATTATCTAGTCCAGAGAGTTGCCATTTTGTTGTTAGAACCATGAATATGGTATCAAGGGTAGATCATGAATGTTTTCCTATTTAGTCCACAGCAGAGCAAACATCATACTGATATTGATTAAGTAAAAAAGGTGTAAATAAAGTGATAATTTCCTCATATGTCAGTCTGATACTGCTAATATAGCTACATTTCTGTTCCACTTTGCTGAGAAATGAGATATATTGGTGAGTCATGTTGTACATATATAATTGATAATGATTTTTATTATGTCACCACCACATTTTGCATGTTAATGGGTTGTTGCTTTATTTTTATATTAATCATTTGTAGACCAAACAAAGTTATACTTTAGTCTTGATTCATATATTTTTTTCATAATTTCAGATCACCTGTATTGGAGTAGGTGACATTTGCAATAAAGGAAAGGTAAACAATTCAAATGACAGTACCTCCCATAAAAGAAATGTAAAGAAATGATTTGTATGAGAGTTTTTGTTAGCTTATGGAAGCAACTTTTGAGTATTCAATAAAAAAATTGGAGTACTTCAGTGTGGTATTAAATTGATTGTACATGGAACTATTGACCTGGTCCCTTAGCCCTTGATTTATCTCTTTATTGTAATGTACATTCTTGTGTGTGTTGAGTGCATATTATATTCTGTGTGAAGAGAGTGTTGGAAGAGGTGAAAAGGGGAAGTGAAATGGTTGGAAGCAACAGTTGGAAAATTAGTATTCTCTGTATATTGAAGACTTTAGTAGATCTAATGGGGAAGATGATATGGCATAGAGATGGTGGATAGAAATAATTCAGGATTCTTAATCCATTGTATTTCCTTTATTTACAGAACATGCTGGTTAGCCTGAGTGCAGAGGGATGGTGCCATATATTTTGTGTGAAGGGTGATGGTGAGGAAGGCAATGGAGACATGGACAGATGTATGCAACCATCCCACATACAACATCTGCCAGCCAACAGCAGAGTAATGATCATAGCAGATGTTGGTATGTTTACTCTTATTATATGGGGTCTGTCATGGGTCAAAAATTGTGATTCAGTAAAAGTTATTATGTTAGGTCAAACAACTTCTCTATGTTGTACAGTAGTTGGTATATGTTCGTGATTGTTACATTTAATAAATCAACCAACAAAGAGATGTTACCAAATTATTACTGTTTATATTATCTGAATATGATACATATATTTTTTAAGAGACCCTCTAAGAATTTTGCAAGATTTTATATACAAGTTAAAGTGTTCATATATGGCTCCATCTGTTGTTAAATTCTACATTCTTTGTTTTTATCTTAAATTGACTAAATGGGTAAATCCAAACAACTTAAAGAAATGAAAGGACAGAAGCGACATCTTTTAGAAGACCTCATTGTTCGTACAGTACATGAAATATACATTCACTAATTTATTTCAGACAATGACGGGAAGAGTGAGCTTGTGATTGGTTACTCTGATCGTGTGGTTCGCTCATTTCGCTGGTCCACTACAGCCGATCCTGACAGCTTCCCTCTTGGCAAATTCATCCCTGTAGAGAAGTGGCAACTTGCGGGTAATTTGCCTTACAACATCTGGTAGAAGACTTTTGTCCATGTTGATTGACCATTCAGAGCACAGACTTGATAGTGTGTCATAACTTATTGCTCAATACTCAAGCATCTGAAGAGCTTTTGAAAAAGTCATTCTTCAATTGGGTTATTGAACCAGTGTCCCACAATATATGGCAGATCTAGCCCTAAATAAGTCATTTTCTTAAGGCTATCGAGAATAATGTAGTAAAATGTATAAAAAAGATGTTTGTTTGCTGTTACTTAGTTTCTGTATCTGGTGACTAAACCCCTCCCCTAGTCTTGCTTCAAGACCTTAAGTGAAGTAAAAACCCTAAAGTAAAGTAGATTTTTCACATAATGGAAAAATATTACAGTCCATTTTGGTAAAAAGGTTGAAATATCTTGACTTGTATGAGATTTGGGCTCTAAAAATTTTAAGAAAGGTGTCCTAAAGCTAGTCTTTTTGATAGATATTCTTGTTAACTGTCCATGTCCCAAGTCTGTTTTTGTTGATTTCAGCTCAAATTGGTTCCATTACAACTAATACGTTAGCAGATGGCACTGTTGATGTGATGGTGGCGCAACCTGGTGGTACATTTGTGAGTCTAGTTGGAAGTAAAGATATACATACAGGAGCAGGGCATAAGGACAAACCACAGTGGGGCCCTAACACATCAACAGAGGATCTGGAGGAGTATGTTAAATAATTTTTGGCTCATTGACCTAATCAGTATGTTTTAAAGCTATCATGAATACAAATTGTATGTATTTGAAATGATCTATTATGATGAAATGGTGTTCCTGAATAATGAATTTGTTTTTTTTAATTGAACACACCATTAATACGTTACATTATTTTTGGCTCACACAGTGAGCCTATGGGATTGACCAGGCGTCCGTCCGTCCGTTGGTCCGTCCGTCCGTTGGTCCGTCCGTCCGTCCGTCCGTCCGTCAACATTGGCCGCACAAATTAAAACTGCTATTCGGATTGAGTCATATCCACATTCATTTTATTTTATGCATATCCATAATGCCTATTTGACCTATCATCGCCATTTCCCAAGTTCGCCCGGTTTCCGAGAAATTGCGGATTTTGACGTCAAAAAGTCAAATTTTCTGTAAATACTAGACACTTTGTTGAAGTAGAACTTTCAAATAACTTTTAGTAGTTGGTGTATATGCAACTTATGTCCTCTGAAGATTTCAAAGCTCTTGGAATTACGGTTTTTGGTGTTTACTCTATAAAATTTAAAAAAAGTAGGACTTAGTCATTTTCAGGAAACTTTCTCATGTATAAAGTCAATGGCAGGTTTTGTGATTGACAAGATTCTTAAAGTTTGCCTTATACTTGATCATTTCCTGCAATAAATTACATCATTAATAGATTTAAGCAGTCCCTACATATTTCTCAATATATGTCAGCATCAAATTTTTACCGTTTTTGAGATATTTGACGTAAAAAAACAGTAAAAATAAGTTATTTTTCAACTTGCTTCAATTTGACCAAATTTTTTTTTGAAAATCATCTACAAGTTGCCAGGAGTTCAAATCTGACATTAGTTTTAGGATTTGACCTTTACTTGACCTTCAGTGACCTTCGAAAGGTCAAAAAAGTTGATTTTTCAAATTGATTTTTGGATGTAAATTTTGGTCAGCTTAATCACAAAAGACCTTACCGAGCTCTGAATAAGTAAAATTTTCAAGGCCAAAGGTCATCAAACTAGGTCACACAACTATGCTATCTAAGTTTCTCAAAGTTCGAGACTACAAATCATAATCAATATTTTTGTTTGAAAGTCAGGATATAAATTCCTCTGAAGGTTCCAAACTGTGTGAGCATAGGACCGTGGGTCCTTCATTAAGTACTGTTAAAGTCTTCTAAAACATGGATTTATTCTTAACTTGAATTTAAGTATGGAATGATTTGGAACCCTCTGTACAGTGTATATGCTGTTTATAGTTCATCCTTACAAAATAATGCATTCCCGCCCCCACTATTTTGGCCCATAGATAACAGTGAATAATGTCTGGTGCCGAAGAATTTTAACTTACTACTTCAAGCAATCTGAATATTACCACAAATGCATTTAACCTGCATGTATTTAGAGAATTTAAATTGCATATATTTAGAGATAAGATACAGGGACCTACTCTGGTGTATCATCCTCTAGGAGCTGCGAGGGCACGTAACCCAAGTGTTACCACGGAGATCATTGGCAACATAAGCAAGAGTAAGAAGCACGTCAGTGAAGAAGAGAGAGCTTGTTATTACGCTGTATGCACACTAGATGGTAAACCATTTGTCTTTTTTTCCCCCATATAGAATTCTGCCAATATTTTTCGCTTGAAGGCGCTCTTGATATTACCATAAAAACCAAGGGCTTCTCTTTTTTGTTACCGCTTTAAAATGAGCTTGAAACATACTGGAATGTTATAGATATGTATACAATTCTGAATTATTTTCATTTTATTTTCATTAAGGAACTTTGAGCTTGGTTGAGGATGACAAGATTCAGTGGTCTTTTCTTGTTGACCATCAACTGTTTGGTTTAACAAAGCTTGATGTAACAGGGGATGGGACAGAGGAGGTTGTCGTGTGCTCATGGGATGGACAAACCTACATTGTTAATCATAGTAAAGAGGTCGCTAGGTTCCAGTTTGAAGATAACATAGCAGCTTTCTGTGCAGGTTTGTTAACTTGTTTTCTGTATTTATTTGTTTGTTAATAATCAAAAGGTATTATATTGTTCATATATTGTGTTATAATGTTTAGTCTCTTAAATTTCCAAAAATATCAAATTTACTGTTGGACTCTCTTGATACTAGAAGGTAACAAATGTTAACGATTTTCGAACATGCAAAACTTTATGCCTCTTAAAATTGTATACCTCCATTGTGAACACGAAAATTTTGAATATAAGATAATTTCATAGAAAATGACAATCCTACTGATTGATATCATATTTACCTATGATAATGCAATAAGTGATTTCATTCCAGGTCACTACGCATTATCTGATGAGAAGAATGTCCCGTGTTTGATATATGTGACATTTAGTCAACAGATCCTTGTATATTATAACATGCAAATGCCACATGTAGAATTGGCGAACCTTATAGACACCATGGACCAGAGGGAGGGAATACCAGAGTTGTTGCAGTGTCTCAGTGTTGACCGTAAGTATTTTCTCCATTTGATAAAATATTTGTTCTGTGGCGACAGAAATCATTTCAGAATCTGTTTTTACAAACACAGGGGCACTGCCTAGGGATTTATTTTTTATTTCTATTTTTAATGATTTACCTTGATTTATGAAAAGTTTGTTCTTCAAAAGTTGTAAATATATATTGTATATCGTGAAAAATTATGAAATATTTAAGTATATTCAATTCTATTTCAGCAAGCAATAAGCAACAGTTAAGGCAGCTTTACCACTGGGCACTTTATGGAGGCGGGCACCAATCTAAGTCTTGACATCAATACAACAACACTTGAAGTATTGACATTGTCACAAATGGAACTGTGTCAAGTTTTGACATCATCAAAAGGACATGACATTGTGAATGGATGACTTTTGAAGTTCCAACATCATCATCAATGGACACAAATTGTAAGTCCTGTCATCGGCATGGTATGTGGACTGTTAATTGGTACTGGTCATGCCACTATTCAAACATATGAAATCTTCGCTAATGGAGCCTAGTGTAGTATTGACATCTTGCAGGAATGTTTGTTAAGTGATCACGTTCATAGTGTGGTTAGGACATGCTGACTGAATACCAGCATTAACATGCATTGTGACATCACTGTAGACACCAAAAACTAAGTGAATGAATTGAATTAGTTTGAATCACTGTTACTTGTTAAAACAATTGTATTCCTCTGTACAAACTCCATCAGGTCAATGTGACTAAGGGCACGTCCCCCCAGGGCAACTTGTCAAATAATTGTGTGAGAATTTTGTATGATGATAACATAGCATTTAACCTACACTCAAAAGCAATTATATCTGTCATTTTAATCATATTGTATCTTGGTGATCCTCTTCAAGTATGTCAGTGGTAACCCCCTTATGAAACTGGTGTCATATGCATTTTGAACTATGAAAGGTACTCACATAATAAGTGGTTCAAAGCTTTAATAAAAAGGATATTTAGAGTACCCTACTTTTGATATTCAGTTTGTTTTTTGATGTTTGTATATGAGTCTACCCTCGTCAACTTAAGGTACAACATGAAAGAGAGTTCAAATGAAACTTTATATACATGTATGTATAATGATCGGATGACTCTCAAATTAAACTTTATATGCATGTATGTAAAATGATCGGATGATTCTCAAATTAAACTTTATATACATGTATGTATAATGATCGGATGACTCTCAAATTAAACTTTATATACATGTATGTATAATGATCGGATGACTCTCAAATTAAACTTTATATACATGTATGTATAATGATCGGATGATTCTCAAAATAAAATGTGCCATTTAGATAATTTGTTCAAGCTCTAAGAAAACAAGATTGGCCGTTTAGTGCAATTTTAAGTCACAATTCATTGAGTCATACGCTTAAATTATTTTCACACATAGCAAAAAAGCATAGTACAATATCACTATAAACAATGTTTTCCAACCAGAAACATTTTCGCATAAGTATCTACTTGGCTAAACATAATGATACTATTATCATTTTTCACACTAGGTCAGTGTTTTCTTTGTTTAGGTTTTCTTTACTAACCATTAGACAGCACTGTGAGTCAAACTTTTTAACAAATGTAAATTTATTTTCTTGTACAACATAAAATAGCTAGAAAGTACATTTACAGGGTGGGCCAAAATGCATGTAAGTTGTATCGACATAAAAAATGTGGAATTTTTGGCCCACCCTGTACATGTCGAAATGAAATAATATATCGTAATGATGAAATACCAGTATGTTCCCTCGAGAAGAATTATACTATAAACATTATAGCAATGTGTGTATAGCAATGGTGCGATTAATATATGAATATGCATTATAATGAATAGTTACAGCTTACACATGTCTGCACATGACTATTATAAGTGTGTAAATAAAACAATGCATGAGGGCATTCACATGTCATCTGGTCACTCGCTGTGCCTATATTTTCTCTTGACACATTTTGTTATGTTTTTCTCTCAGTTTGAATGAAATTCCTTGTTTTCTATACAATTTATAGTGTCAACTTCATGCCTGATTACATTATCCCTTGCTGCACTCCTTCGCTTTGCATTGTTCATTTCAAATATTTCTCATAGTTACAGAAGATAAAGTTCATGAAATTCTTCATAAGTTATACTGAGTTGATTTGTAGAATAAGATATACAAATATAACAACATCAATAAAGTATACATTAATTACTTCAAAACAAATGCATTATTATTTTGTACAGTCAAACTTGTCTAAACTGAGTGTTGCTTGCTTGGGTTAGCTAAGTGTGTTCATGTTGAGATTTTCGCATAATATGAGCTTTTGAAAAATGAGAGAACAAATGTATGGGATAATTAAAATCTAGAACTGAAACTGTTTCCATTTCACATTCTGAGAACACATTTGATTTAGAAAAAATGAGATCAAACATTTTCCAAAGCAGATTAAATGACTCATTTCTGAGTGTTTCTCACAATTGTATTCACATGACATAAAATTCAAGATAAGCTGTTTGTTATTATTCGTGCTACCTTTTATAGACTATTTTTATGCTGGTAAACTCTTATCAGTCATGCTCACAGATGTGTATATATTTCTATTATAAATCTTTCGTTCATTTTTACGATGTATAAACACTGTAATATAAAGAATAGCGAATATGATAATCAACAAAAAACTCAGTACAAGAATGGTATATACAAAAACCATATAGGTACTTGGGAATAAATAGCTGACCAATGGTGGGAGGGTCATTCCGCTGATAGATGCCGCTGCCAGCGCTGTTCCCGCTACAACTCCAGTGACTTGCATCGCATTGTTTTGAATCCAGGATAATATGGACGCAAACACTGTTCCCATGCTTAACCCTGCGGTAATGATACACACCCAAACCGCGATTGGATGTTGCACAAAAATTAACAGTCCAACAATGGAGGCTGCCAATAGGAATGTGTCTATCAGAAGAAGTTTTGTGAATGAGATCATCTTGGTTAATGGGACCGCTATCAAACGAGCAAGCATGAAGGCCCCCCAGAAAGCTGATGTTATGACTGTTCCTGTTTCTTTGCTCCACCCAAGTGCAACATTTAAGAACGTCATCAAAAGTCCTCCGATGATGTACTCAATTCCTCCGTAACAATACAAAAAACTAAACAACAGACATAGTATTTGTAAACTGTATAGTCTGCTCTTTGTCTCTTTATTGCCATGACTTGAATCAGTTTTGTATTCAAGGGCTTTTAATGTCCGTTTCCCTTGTAAAGTTATACCAAAGAATACGACTGCCATGAAAAGATGTAAGATCCCAATGATCAAGTACACATACTCCACATTCGATTCCGTCATTAATTCCAGTGGTTTTATCTCATCCATTTTTTCAGTTATGTTGTAGCCTGTTGTAGATGTTATATTGATATATTTGCGACTCTCATCACTCCTTTGTAAGGCCTCTGATTCAATGGTATTGTTGTTGCCATGGTAACCAAATGAATTTGAAATATAGTTACCATGGTAACTGTTGTTGTACATACTCTGATATGCTTGATTGTTATGGTAATTGCCATTGGTAATGTTTGTTGATGCATTACTACGGTAGCTAGATATAAAAGGCTTGGCCAAGAGTGGGCCAATGAATGAGCCAATGCCGAAAAAGAAGTGAGATAACTGGAAGTATGGTCCAATTTTGCTCTCCCAAACTAGAAGCAGAAACACTTGCCCACCTGAAGATAAAAAAACATGCAAACATTTAATTTATACATAATATACATGTACAGTGTATGTGTTGTCTTACAGTAAAACCAATGGAGACAACATCTTTAATTGGAGCTAAAAAAAGTGTTCACTATGGGGAGGTGTCAACAGAGAATGTATGATATATGGAGTTCACAAGAGGTAGGCAATCGTAAGGAAGAGACAGAGACAGGTTTTAATGCACATACTATAGGGTGGGCCAAAAAATCCACATGATATTACGAACAAATGTACAAACTATATACCATTGGAAAGACAATTCAATTTCCAATAATATGATATTTAATTCATTCCATTTACATGAGTATTTGTCTTAAACTATTAGGCTATTTCGATAACCACATGGGTCAAAATCATGATTAACCAATTGCTGAATACAGAATGCTATTAAGAACTGACCAGACAGATATAACCCCTTATGTCAGTTTTAGGGATATAATTCTACTTATAGGAAGGTCAACATTGTTGATTTATACATCAAATTAAAGAAAATTGATTTAAAAATGCAATCATGAGTTCTTTTACCATTTTGATGTATTAGTAATATAGCCTAAATAATGTAGCACTTGAAGTCTGTATTAGTCCATTTGTCATTTTCTGAACGTATGAATATTTAAAAGTATGATGTTTTTCTGTGTAAATACTATCATTAGAGATTATTGGAGTGATTAAGCTGGGTTGCCAAAAAAATAACTTTGGGGAAAAATTTTGTATCTATTACAATGGTAACATACCAGGTATATGGTGGTATTCCAACGCTAAGTCAATAGTCAAGGCCATGTTAAGCGATTGCACCCCTCCCTAATCAGCTTATATAATTTTTTCCCCAAACAAACATTTTCGGCAACCAAGTTAAATCACTTCAGAAAACCCTTATTATCATAAATCGACCATAAAACATCGTACTTTTGACAATTTCTAGGTTCACTATTGGATGTATAGGGGTGACAAATGGTCTATATCAAATAGTTGAATATTTACTCATTTTCAAGACATTTTGGAGATGATGCCTATTTGAGGCTAAAATCATCATTTGATGGATAATAATGATGTTGTACTTATATAACTTACATTTTAAATGGCACACAATGCAATTATAGGCACCAGAAGAGCAAATAATTGAAATTTATTCCATATTATGAGTCATGGCAAAATTTCAACTGAGTTTCTTTGCAAAACATGTTTGAAGCAAATATCAATGTATCTATCAATCTAACTTTATAACGAACTACAATGCATAATAATAGGTTTCATGATTATTTAAGAGCTAATAAATGGCAAATAATAAAAATTAACTCTAATACATTTTCTTTATATGTAAAGGCCTAAACGTGTTGATTAAACAATAAATGCAATATTATGCAATAAGCTCAAAACATATAGCTAAATCTTGTTTTTTTTACTGTTACTAAATCTTGGTTTTTTTTACTGTTACTACCTCATGATATGGAAAAAATCATGCAGTCGCCAATAGCCATTCATATTTTATGAATCATGCATTTTATTATCCCAACGAACGAAGTTCGGTAGGGATATAGTAAAGCCCTCCGTCCGTCCATCAGTCCATCACATATATTCCGTGTTTTTCATCCTGACCCCCAGGGGCCCTGTATGGGGGGGGGGGGGGGGGTCAGGAAAACAGAATTTTTTGCTAGTTTTTATATCTTTCTGAAGTATAGCTTTATTATACTCAAATGAAAGGCAATTAAGAGTAGATTGCAAATATTGTATCTTTTTTCTGATTTGAGCCTCGTAAAATTCAAAATGGCCGTCTAATGTACGATTTCGCAATAATTTTTTGATCCATTCAAAGTATGGCTATATTATACTCAAATTGAAGGAATTTTGGAGTAGATCACAATTTATTATGGTATTATTTTTCAGATTTGTACCTCAGAAAATTCAAAATGGTTGCTTTGCAGGAATTCGCAATTCTAAAATCTAAATTTTTCAATTTTAACCAAAGTAACGAGTATAATTGATTGGAATTCGGTAATTGATATTTTGTTTGTTGGGATTTGCTACTCCGCGGATCGAGTTGCCGTTATCTAGTTTAAAATTGAATTTTTTTAATGGTATGTAATTTATGGATATTTCCAACATATCAGCAAAGATATTACAAAAATGAAAATGTGGACGTTTTTTGGCCCATCCTGTTTATTTTGTTTAGTTACATTTTATTACCTTTGATAAGTTGTATAGATTAACATGATATAGTATTTTGATATTACAGGCATATAACTCATGATCGAACTGTATTAAAGGTTAATTAGTATTACTTAGTATTATGAAACCAGTGTATGTATATCTCATTGATCAAGCCACTCTTCAAAATACGATCATTGAAGTTTCTGCATAGCTTAATTATTGGTAATTATCTTTTTTGGAAGAATCAACTACTGATTAAACTTGTTTGGCACATTCACGCCCGGTGATCGTGAAAATGGGACGGAGGGGGGGGGGGGGGGGAGCAGGCAATTTCCGCTAGAAAATTCAACAAATCTGGTAAAATTATTTTTTCAAGACAGAGTTTACGATTGAATTGCAAATTGAATAAGCGCACGGTATGATAAAATATGTTAGGCATTCTAGGATTATTTTTCAGCCGATACTCTTTTAAGATATAAGATCTATTAAAAAAGGCGCAACGCAACCAACGTGCAAAAGTCAAAGTTTTTGCTATAAATCAAGCAACAATGGACTCAAGACCTGTAATAAATACTTGTAAGTGATGTTATCATAACTAAATTAATGTCATTGCTAAATTTATAAAATAAGTTTCCATACGTAAAATAAAAAATAATCGAAAATAATTAAAATGGGACGGAGGGGGGGGGGGGGGGAGGGGAAGGAGGGGGGAGTAATAATTCTATAAAGTGAAACAACTTCACACGAATTCTTGTATTTGAAAAATGAACTCATTATTACTTAGTAAGAAACTGGATGATATACACCTGGAGACTGAAAAATGGGGACATTTGGAGTAAAATGACTTAAAGTCGCGAAACATCTCTAATCATGTCTTATATACATATTGCTCCCCCCCTCCGTCCCCCCCACTCCGTCCCAAATTCATTATTTTCGATTATTTTTTATTTCACATATGGAAACTTATTTTATAAATTCAGCAATGACATTAATTTAGTTATGATAACATCACTTACAAGTATTTATATCAGGTCGTCCAGACCATTGTTGCTTGATTTATAGCAAAAACGTTGATTTGTGCCTGTTGATGGCCTTGCGCCTTTTTTAATAGATCTCATACCTTAGATGCGTATCGTTTCAGAAAAAATCCCAGAAAACCTAACATATTCTACCATACCGTGCGCCTATCCATTTAGCAATTCAATAGTAAACTTTTTCTTGAAAAAATAAATCTTCCAGATTTGTTGAATTTCCTAGCAGAAATTGCCTGCTCCCCCCCTCCGTCCCATATTCACGATCACCGGGCGTGACATTCAACAATGAGAAGTAACCAATGCTTATAATTATTTTCTTTAGCACAATCAATGACTGAATATCATCAGGTTTGGAAACAATCAATTACTGATTATCTTGATTGGAACAATAAACTAATGATGAATTCATTTTACCACCTCAGATTGTTGTTTTGAATTAGCACTTCCCCCTTATCTGATATCTAAATATGACCACTCAAAATTTTATAAAACAAAGTGTGTTTTGATTACATTTTGTCACGCGAGATATTGAGGATATTTTCACATTACTTGACATTTTGACTATTTGAAACAATGTACTTTATCGGCAGCAATTCAAGAGCCCTTTAAACCCTGTAAACGCCTTATTAGCTGCTTCATATCAAATATAGCTGATAACAGAAAAACTTGATGTAAAAATGCATGCCTCGATGTGCATAACATTATATGAGATATAATAGACCATTTTAAACAGTGGTTATATGATAAGTGTTCTTAATTAGAAAACGCGATATTTTATATAAAATTAGTCAGAAAAACATGTACAGTACAGTAATTCCGAGAAACTCTGTTTTTGAATACTTACATGTGTCCAGTATTCCACTAGATATCCCCAGAAATCCCAATGCTGTTACAACGAGGGCTAGTTGGGTAAACCATGGGGTGATCGTCACGGCGACTGCACCGAGAAGAAGTGAGAATGCGATAACCAATGTCTGATTGAAACGATCTATCAGAGCGCCACCTATTATTGATCCCATCAGGAAGCCCAGAGATCGACCCGTAAAAACGATAGATATTTCAGATGTTGTTACGCCAGTTTTGTCCCTTAGATCTAAAACGGTAGGTCCTAGTACGGAAAGAGTGATGCCCTGAAAGTTCAGAGTGAAATAGACAATTTAACTCAGAAAAATCATATTGTTTTCATAAAAACACGTTCAGCCCCAATAATACGCCAATACTAATTAGACATTGATCTGTGACCTTGAAATGATCTTGACCCATAAACACTGACCTCTGGTCACTTTGTCAGTGGTCATCAAATAGGTCTGTAGCCAACTACCTAGATAATGACCTTTGACCTTGAAATGACCTTGATATCAGGTCACCTAATCATTGGTGACAAATTCATAGAATGAAGTGAAATACCCTTGGACCAAGGATGATACGTGACATTGTTTACTCTTTTTCAAGACACAACAATACCCCTTCTGTCGGTCTGTGGCCATGAATCATATCAGTATAATCTTAACAATATGACCTTCCATTACTCTACTTATCACAAAGTAATTATGTCACATCTTGTCATATCTTTCAAGGCCATGCGATATGTGTGAATTGTTTTTAATTATCACCAAATACACATAGACTAACAGTGAAATACACAATCATTCAGTGTGTCGAGGATATGGAGGGCGGGTGAAGGAACAAGATCATAAGAACTAGTGTTTTAGAGTTCTTATACTATTTCTCATACTTGGTCCAATATTTCACTTCTTTTTAGCATAAATGAAGCCTTTTGAAGAAAGATGTCTATCTCGTAACTCTGGCTTCACGTTGGCAATAATTTATCTGAAAAGAACGAACTTCGGTTTTGAGGTTTGTTCACCTCAGTTGCTCAGTTGCGAACAGACCAAGTACAAAACAACAACTAATTGTATTTAACAACGTTACGTATGTACGACCTGATAGTCTGCCAAGTGGATCAAAAATAAGAAAACCAAAGTTCAAAAAGTTCACCTTATCTCATAAACAGGCTTGAGAATTTGCCATTATTTTGGAAAGTAGGCCGTAGAGCTGTTTTAAGGTCAGGAATTCCATGTAAATCTTATTCAACATACTCCCCATCCATTTACCCGACTGGCCTTTTTTATGTTTTACTTTTTTTTATTTCAAAAACTACTTTTTGAAATTAAAAAAAAGAATTCAAATGTCGACATTTTCTTGTTCGAAAGGTCGAGACATCGTTAAAACTTTTGTTGGGTCACAATGTCTTTTCATAAGCAATAATTCACTCCAAATATAGCATTTATCCTTACGTGTTTTTTGTCGAGAAAGTTAAGGAAATTCATGGGTGATAAATAAGCGAAAAATGAGCTCATCCATGCATAAAAGTGGTTCAGAGAAAAAAATTATAAAGCATTTTAAAATTTTAGTTCTAGAAATCAATGGTATTGTATTGTATCTTTTATTCCTCCACAAGGGAGAGCAAACACATAAAATTACATCATCTTAATATACAAAAAGTATAACTACAAAGGAACATATTTAGAAAAAACATTGACAAAATCATGATTATCGGCATGTGATTTCTCACAGTGCAATTTTATGTAAATACAAGGATTCGGATTACTTTAAAGTATAACTGTCTAAATGATAGAGAGAAGTAGCAAACTCAATGATGAACTGATCGTTATCATCATCTTCTTGCGAATGTATCAGATATTTTGCCATTTTTTAAATAGTACTTAATGGTTTTCCCTGTTTTATTCTTTCAATCTAGTTAGACAATCTTACTCCCGTCGAGAGCTACTTAGATTTTGAAAGTATAGCTCTCTATCGCTAGAATCAACAGCTTAAGAATCCTGACTTCAAAGACAATTTCAGGGAATTCAGCTGACTCATGTTGCACATTATATACCTGAAAATGTATCCTACATCGCCATCTTTCATTCAGCTCAACTATAGAACGTCTCACTGCCCTATGTATCGATCAGGACTTCATTTTATTGGTCGTGTCAAAAGTTTTGGCCAGGTATATTCAATATGGCGGCTTGACGTTTCCCAAGTTGCGCATGCGTCGATAGTATTTCCGTTTAACCGCCATATTGGAAATGGGTATCGAACAATAAACGATTAGAACTCCTGATCGCCATAGAAGCACATCCGCGATCCTACATGCACGGGGAAAGTAGACACATATGAGCCCATAATGTAGGCTACAGTTTGAGACAAACAGCAAGCCGTTGACTGGCGCTGATCAAAATAAGATGTCACAATTCTTCAGCTGGGAGATCCTCACGATGGAGAGCTATACTTTCAAAATCTAACATGGTAGCTCTCGACGTGAGTAAAGACAATCGATATCACACCGGCACTCTTTCAAAAAAATGTTGCACCCTGGGTGTGATCACGATGATGTCACTTCGGCTGCACGCTTTTTAATATGCTGAAATGTTTAGTGGCATATTAAATATGACATTTTATTCACGAAATAGTGTGTCAGTCTTCACAATGGTGTCATAAAGAGAGTTTTTTGCACTGTATATAGTGAAATAATATAGTAAATAAATAAACTATATATACACATTTTCAAACTTTGTACGGGGCCTTTAATGTAATTGGTCCGTCATGGTTGAGTATATTAAAGTACAAAAATTGTAAAACAATGGAGAAAATGAAAACACGCATACAATGGATATATACACTCCCCTCCAAATGCTTGGAGAACTTGACTCCCCATTCCATAGCCTGTTAAAACCTGTTTGCCAAGACAAGTTTTAAACAGTGTTTCAATAGTGGGTATGTTCATTTTACCTAACTTTTGGTGGAGAGTGTATAAAAGTGTAAAAAAATTCACTCTAATTTACAAATTAGATGATTAAAATGCAGGATGAATATTGATGCCAAAGTCCGCTATAAATAAATGGAACGCTAGACACGTTTACTTTGACCATTGCCCTTGGAGATAAGAAGTCGATGCTTTGACCCAGGGTGTACTTAGAGATGAAAGGCATGATTAATTTGGCTCAAAGGATTATAGTCTCTGAATTAAAGTCAATCGTATTAGCTCAGATGGGGTATTCCATTCGTGTAATATAATAAGTCAAAGTATGAACCAGTGAAGGGGGTGGGGGGTTCTCGACTGGGAATCTTGTAAACCCAAATGTTCCAGTTTCTATAAAATGTAACTCATGTGTTTATACCAGCGCTTATGATCCATGGAGAAAATGCAATTAAAGTTGATATCTGATCAACCTGAACGATTTACGATTGCAATAATAATCTGCAAAACATAATAATTTCGTGTTATCAATACAGTTATTATGAATACTTGAGTAGTATCAATTTCTGCTCTGTTGCTCGTACTTACCAGCCCTATGAACGCAATATACAGACTAGCGGTCTTTACGATCTTTGTTTTCAATCCATCCGAATGAACATTCGATTTTGCAGCATCTTCATATGGGCCCAATGAAGCATTCCTATTTTCACCATGCGTAGTGATTTGTTTTCCTTTTGGACATTTCTCGGCTGCTTGATTCAGTCCTAATGTATGTAAACTGGTTGTGCTATTAACGAGTGCCATTGTGATAAGGCTATATTATAATTACTATTTTTCTTTATTCGATCTTGAATGTTGTATTGTGGTTCTTTTCGAACTGTGTCTGTGATTATCTTCGTTTATTGTATAAGTACTGATATTCTATCCTGTGTCAGTGCAATGTGCAAGCGTTGCATAAATAGTTATTTCAAGACACAAGTAATAGATACAGTTTAATGTGAATTGTGTAAAACATACGCACGCTCTCATCATCCCTCGCAGTTATTGTACCGACTCACACAGGATCAAGAGCTAAAATAAAGGTTTCTATACTAAAATATTTTAGAATGTATAGTAAGCCAGTGTTTTTAAATGTAATGCTTCTTTTAAGCGCCAGTCAACCAATGTTCAATTCATCTGCTTCAATGTATTCAAAATAAAGGCTTACGTGCATTTATACAGGTTAAGACATAAACAGGGTGGAGCAAAATATCGCTTAATTAAATGAAAAAATAACCCACTTATTAACTCAAATAGGTAAAATAATTTCTAAAACAAATTGATACAGCAACTACAGTACTTCAACGTAATATTTGGTTGCATGTAAGTTGAAAGTTCTTTCTTTAAGCTAAATTTCATTTTTATGTGGCTTCGGGTGGTTTAAATAATAGTGCATTTTAATTCAGATTTGTATAGATGGCATTGGAAGGGAAGTGTAGCTAATACAGCGAACACCCTGTATATCCTTTACAGAACAATACATATAACTTACTCTATGATTACATGTATTGATTATTGACATGAGCGTAATTTGAAGATTTCCAACATTTCGTTGATGACGCAACTTACTACTTAAAGATACAATACAATATAGATAAGTTAATGAATTATAAGTTAAAAGTTAATAAATCATAAGTTAAAAACTAATACCTGCAGTATACACGGTGTCTCGTCAGTAATTTAATAAGCAGTGATACGATAATTAAATTATTCTGATACTTTTGTGCCTTGTTACTAACTATACAACTACTATGGGAAAATTTAGTAAGACTGAAAAAATGACGTTGTTTATTATGATGTTTATTTTTGAAAGGGTGAAAATTTGATAGTTAAATTCCATGCCATTTTAGCATAAGGTTTCTTGATTACTCAAAATAAAAAGATGAAATAGGCTAAAGTATTGACTTATACCATAAAATGATATTATTTTTTATGTAAATTGACGTTGAACATATTTTTCGGATTTCAAAACCATTAGCAGCTATTAATGCCACGATGGGTATGCCAGTCAGTCAATATACATAATCCATGCATTGTCTGATTCTTTAGCTTCAATTTGGTGAATATTTCATACACACTCAAGCTGTAATCATGGCAAAGATAGAAGCGAAACTTTGAAAAAGCCCTGAACAATTGGGATGGCATATTCACCTAGTTACCATGGCAACATCATATTGGATTAACATAGGCATTGCCAGGGGGTGCGATGGGTGCGCCCCCATAAACAAAAAAAAATAGAACCATTAAATAGAAGAAGAGCTTTAAAATCATTTTGACCTGAAGCTTCTTGCTCAGTTTTGGAGGAAGGTGCATCAATTTTGTAAAATTCAAAACAAATCTTAAAAACATTTTTGAGTTGCTTATGCCACAATCGCAATCCCCCTCTCCTGACTGAACGCTGGCTGCACCCCTGATTAATAATTGCCATTATGACATCATAACATAACACAATCCAAATTGAATAATTTTCTATAGTTATAAGATTATTTTCTGTCATCATATTTTAAATAGAATACATGTGTCAGTCAACTAGTCAAAATGTAAAATTTCCCAAAGAATTCTTTTTACATTAGATAGTTCTGCTACGTGCTGTAACCATAGCAACAGCATAAATTGGACACTTTTATTACATTTTTGATTCCATCAATTTTTATGACCATGCAAGTATAAATGAAATAAAATTATAAACTTAAACTATAAACTTAAAGAAATAAACTAATTAATTAGTTAAAAGCATTACTGACTATTTTAAAGACAATAATATCACAGATTAATACATCATGATTAAGATAAAATATGCAAGAACAAACATTTATGACGTCATAATCAATATGCAAATCATCATATTTGCATAGTTTACTAACTGTCTGATTGCTCTATCTATTACCTTTGATTTGGTGCAAATTCCATCTAAATCTGATCATTAATGAAGAAAATAAGGGCCAAACACTGAATCGAGCCCCTAAAAGTGGGTGGGGCATATTTACTTTGTTACCATAGCAACGCCATCGTTGATTCAGAATTGTCAACTTAATATATCCTGATTGCATTATCTATTACTTTCAATTTGGTCTGAATTTCATCAAAATCTGAGCAATAATGGTGGAGATGGGGGCCAAACACTGAAAAGAGCCCCTAAAAACGGGCATGGCATATTTACTTGGTTACCATAGCAACGGCATCGCATATTCAGAATTGCCCATAATATTCCTTGATCATACTTTATACATGTAAAGAAATAGAATGTAAATCAATCATTGTTTTCAGCTTTGACCTACTTTTATGGTGAATGTCAAAGGACAAGATACCAATTTGGAATCATCTTGAGCAATTTTACCTTATTTCAAGAAAATAATTTCGAAAACAGCTATGGTAGTCATACCATAACAGGTATATCTGTCAATCTACATTCCCCATGCATCGTCTGATTCTTTAGTTTCCATTTGATGAAAATTTCATATAAACCAGAGCTATCATCATGACAACTGATAGAATCAAGACTTTGGAAAAGACCTGAAAAGTGGGGATGGCATATTCACCTGAATACAACAGCTAACATAGGCATAGCCAGGTGGTGTGATTGGGGCAACCCCCCCCCCATTTACCAATAAAAATAGAACCATTACAGCAGGAGATCCAAGACGTCATATCCATTGTTCTTTCGGCATAAGAGCTTTAAAATGCTTTTGACTTGAAGCTTCTAGCTCAACTTTGAAGGAATTTTTGTATAATTCAAGTCAAATTAAACTTTTTTGAGTTGCTTATGCCCATATCGCACCCCCTCCCCCTGATTGAAAGCTGGTTGCGCCCCTGATTAATAATTGCCATTATGACATCATAATATACACAGTCCAAATTAGATAATTTTCTATCGTTATTAGGTTATTTTCTGCCAGCCATCAAATTTTAAAAGGAATACATGTCAGTCAACTAGTCAAAATGTAACATTTCCCAAAGAATTGTTTTCACAGCAGATAGTTTTGCAACATACTGTTACCATAGCAACAGCTTGAATTGGATATTTTCATTACATTTTTTCAATTTTTATGACCATACATGTATGAATGAAATAAACTAATAAACTCATCGAAAAGAAATGAACTAATTAACTACTTAAAAGCATTACTGACCATTTTAAAGACAATAATTTCCCAGATTTTACATCATGATTAAAATAAAATATGCAAGAACAAACGTGTATGACGTCATAATTAATATGCAAATCACCTTATTTGCATATTTTATAAACCGTTTGATTGCTCTTTCCATGACCTTTCATTTGGTACAAATGTCACCTAAATCTGAGCAATATTGACGAAGATAGGGACCAAACACTGAAAAGAGCCTCTAAAAGTGGGTGTGTGATATTTACTTTGCTACCATAGCAACGCCATATCGGATTCAGAATTGCCAACTTAATATTTCCTAATTGCATTATCCATTATCTTCCATTTGGTGTGAATTTCATCTAAATCTGAGCAATAATGACAGAGATAGGGGCTATACACTGAAAAGAGCCCATAAAATTGGGCGTGGCATATTTACTTGGTTACCATAGCAACGCCGTCGCGGATTCAGAATTGCCAACATCATTTTTCTTGATCAGTATCACTTCTAGTTCATGAAAACATATGTCGCTTAGCTCGCCTCTAAAAACGGGACACGGAACCTCTTATTTGGACTTTTGCTCCCACACTATAGGCCTATATATTTTGTAAATAGATTACTTAGCTCATAATGAACGCTTTAGAGAGGTACTAGACACGGTTTATAACGGACACGTGTGACAATAGACTAGATGCGAGTAGAAATAATCTTGATTTACGTCATTGGATATTCAAAATTCAGTCAAACTGATGTCATATTTGAAATCTACATGTAAAAGTAAATCTAGAAATATGGTTTCGAAAATTGTTTATCAACTTTGAAAATTTAATTTTTTTTGAAAATGATAATTCTAGTTCGGGTTGATTCCCCATAGACCCCATGTTACAAAATCACAAAAAGTGAAATATCTTTTCTTGTATTGGACAGATAACATTGTCCTTTACTGGACATATTTCAAATTGCATAACTATTAGATACATAAGGGTTATATGAGAATTGAACCAATAAAACAGATGTAGTTTAAGTTAAAGGGAACTTTCTACTATACCCACCATGCTATCTGACCCGAACGAGCCACCTGGTGGTGAAACTGATAACTACCTTCTCGCATCTGCGTTATTTTAAAGAAATAAGAACAATAAATTCATATAAATTCGCATCCTCCGAACGCAGGAGTCCAGATATCAGCCGCTATGTGGAAGGAACATAGTGGATGATGTCTGACCCCTGCGTTCGAAGGATGTTGGTTTTAGTGAGCAAGGTTATGATAATAATATTGTCGCCCAAAGTGGTTTACAAGCCATTCACCTTACTCGATTTTTCTTAAGTTTTCAGAATGCTGGCAGGGCGCGCATATCATCTTATGGTTGACTTGGGGATGATTGATGATCTTTCAATGTTTTGATATCATTTATAACTTGTAACTTTCCTTCTCACGGTCATATCTGTCTATCCATCAAGATCTCCTTCAAGCGTATCCTTGTCACCTTCAATCGTATCCTTATATCCTTCAATCGTATCTGTGGCGCTGATCCTTCATTCAATTCATTGAGCCATGCCTAGTGGTAGTTATCAGTATTACTCTACTACTCTACTATACAAATGAGATGATATATACCATGTACATTTGTACCATATCTATCCATCTACCTATCTATATTTAGATATTGTATATGAACCCATCCAGGGTTAGCTCATAATCTGTTAAATATGAATTCCCGAAGGCGAAGTATAACTTGAGCACTAGTTTGTGCACAGTCGGTTTTCATTCATTGGTTTTCATATTTTTAAAATATTATTTTCACTAAAACAAATAGAAGGCAGCTGGCCAGAAAACGTCAATGTATTAACAATAGCATAAAGTTCTAAAAATGAACTTCTATAATATGTTATGGGAACCTCTAACTTGCAATCAATTACTAGTATACTTAATTGCTATACCCATATACCCCCATCAACAGCCAAAATTACAGAGATCATACAAAAAGTAAAACAATCTGGATTGGGGGGGGTGTCCCCAAACGTCACAGGAAAGTGTTGAGACATAACATAACAAGGGATCTTAAAAGCCAATGGATGAAGTAATGGATCAAGTACCAAGGGAAGGTTTACGACGAGACCCCTAAGCAGAAAAACACTACCAAGAAAGTAAACATGGAACTGAAAATGTAGAAAAAACTATTGACAAGAATTACCTTAATAACGTTAAGCTTAAGCAAGAGATTCTTATAAATAAATGGCAAATAGTACTTCCAACCGTTAACTCTTATAACCTGATATCCTTATCGAAAATATACTCCCCATTTCTTTGATGGAAGAGAGGAATTCAAGGTATCCAAAGGTCAGTGTTGTTTCCATCGTTCAAACGTCCCTGGATGCTATAAACGTTGGAGGAACCACATCATGTGAAAGGAAATCGAAACATCCGCAAGATATATCTGAGCCTTAGAACGGGAGTGATATAAGGAGAAAGTAGTTGTTAAGGTCTACTCGGCTGAGGGTGTATGAAAAGACCAACCACCGACCCCACTACCGACCACCGACCAGTCAACCTCTACGCTTGGGTCCAAAATCTGTAGTCGATCCTTGGAGGTCGGTGGTCGGGGGGGGGGGGGAGTGGTCAATCTTTTTCGTGCATCCATTAATTAGCATAGGGTGTTGATATGGTACAGCCCTAATGATCTAAGGTTTCTGTAACTGTCATCAATCAAATTCATTTACCCAGTTTCAATATGCGTGCACACTCTTTGGCACCATTGTTCCATTGTTATGCAAGTGCATATCATTTTAGTTAGTGGGTTATTGTGAAAACCACCTGCATTATTTGATTTTAATCATTTTCAGCCACAGAATAAAATGCATCGCGACTGACTACAGATGCAGGAATAAAAATAATGTGTGTTCACTTGAACACTTATTGGCACACAACACATTTATTTATTACACACTGCCCACTTTAATCGACCGCATCGTAGAAGAGATGCATGCTGATTACAATTTTATCATCACTCATTAAAGGGGGTTAAAAAGACTAAATGTTCAGAAACGGAGAAATTAAATAGAACGCACAAACTTGAAATATTTTCATGGAATAGGAATGATATTACGTACATTTTTCTGTTATGATTTAAAATAGTGTGTCACACATTTACCGCTAATTTAGCATACAATTGAAAATGGATCTTGCACCCCATGCAGACAGATCGCCTAAAATTACATTCGCATGATGCGAGACTCGACATTCGGCAGGAAACTGGAAACATTTTGTCACCCATGTGGCAAATCATTTTTTCAAACTTAATAAATGTTGAATGGTAGTCACATTAAGTTATACAAGAATGAGAATAGCATAACGGTTTGAAAAGTGATGGCGGTGATTGAAATTACGATGTAAAGATAAAACCGCTCCAAAATATTTGTAGACTTCTTTGAAAAATTTAGAAGTATAACAAAACAAAACAAAAAATATAAATAGTAAGGCTTTCCGGTCCAATTCCCCTGGTAGCATTAACATTGGTCTTATATACAGGGTGGGCCAATACAAATTGGAATATTCTTCTATTTATTGAATTGTCTTTATTTTTGCAGTGATATTGGAGACTTTAAAAGGCCCCCTCACATATGAACGAATCCACCAAACGCAGTCTTGCGATGTCAATTCTAGCGATTGGGAACGTAAACATGCTTACTGAAGCACATCTTTGCGCATGCTTCCGAAGCTTTCCGAGAGGAAACTTACACATACGAACACCTCAATGATGTACAGCGTACACATACTAATGGGAACGGATTTTACTCAATTCCTATTCGCAAGACTGCGTTTCGTGGATTCGTTCATATGTGAGGGGGGCTTAAGCTTGGATTTTTTCACAACGTAACCGTGAACGCGAATGCAATGAATCAATACAGTAATATATAGAGCGCGCATACAAAACAAGCGCTACTCGCTCGTCTACTTCAGATACCAAATCAACTTCAATATCGTATTTAATTTAGAAAGAGAGATTTCACGTCAACGGATATCATTATACTCATGTATATCGAATACTATGCTGGCAATTCTGATTTCGATGCCCAGTATAATGTTTTCTGAAGAAAACGATGTATGTCAAATATGTTTTAAGCCCCCCCTCACATATGAACGAAAACCCCTTTACGTCAACTTGCGTATAGTGGCGAATAGGAAATTAGTCAAATTCGTTCTCATTAGTACGAGTTCGTGACAGTACGTCGCAGTGGTCGTATAGATGCGTTTGTCAGCGTTTACCTCGGTTGAAATTAGTCTTTTTCGTCGGAAAATTTTGAACATGTTCAAAAAATTGCAGCGAATAAAAGTTTCGTGTGTCATTCGTTGAAATTCGTTTCAATGCGTTAACGATCGGTTAACCTTCGCATTGGCTTCGTCAAGTGACGTTACAGGTCGCTGGGGATAAGGTCGTATCCCCATAATTTGCATATCAAGCGACTGACGACGATCCCATTACGAACCATTACGAACCATTGCGGCAGTTTGCAACCTTGTACGCAGTGGAACGAATACTTACGAATTGGATCTACGTTAAGCTGAATAATTGAGAGAATACCAAATTAAATCAAATAATTCTTTTGTCATGGAAGACACGGATCGACTGAGGCTGCAGTATGTGGCTGCTATGGCCCAGCAAGAAGTTTTAACGCAGCAACTTAACATTCATGAGTTCATCAGAGGCCGTTTTAGGCGGAGAAGGGGAGCCAGAGGACGTGGCATCTGGAGGAGACAATGGTTGAATCCAGAGAGACGGCATATATGATCAGCTCATTGTGGAGCTGAGAAGAGAGGACCCCAGAACATTCAAAAAGTTCCTCTGCATGCCAACAGAAATGTATGACGAAATCTTTGAGAGGGTCCGTCCTCGGCTATGGAAACAACATAGCTGGTACAGAGAGCCTTTAGGTCCAGGCCTCAAACTAGCTGCCACTATTCGCCACCTGGTTTCTGGTGCCAAGTACTCTGACATGCAGTACTGAGAATACCCTCTCTGTAGTGGTAAGAGAAGTCTGTCAAGCTATATGTGACGAATATGTTGATGAGGTCATGACTGCCCCCTCCACACCTGAAGAATGGAAACAATTGGCTGATGGTTTCCTCGAGAAGTGGAACTTTCCAAATTGCGTTGCTGCAATTGATGGCAAACACATAGCCATCAGAAAGCCTAATAGCTCTGGTTCCTTATATTATAATTATAAGGGTTTCTACAGCATCATCTTACTGGGAATTGTCGACTCAGACTACAAGTTCGTGTGGTGTGATCTGGGTGGTGAGTAAACTATACATACGTTACTGCATTAATTTTGTAATTATATAGATTTAATACAATTATAGCTATATTTGCAATGTATACTGACAATATTTTATCCTCTTACTCTTGCATAATTTCAGGATATGGTTCAAGTGGAGATGCCAGGATCTATAATGCATCGGAATTCTTGGAGATGGTGCAGGATGGTTCGATCGCATTTCCACACCAACAGCCATTTCCCAACGACACCGTTGATATGCCTTTTTTCTTGGTAGGGGATGACGCATTCAGCCTAAGTGATCACATGCAGAAGCCCTATGGACATAGAACCCTCACTAGAGAGGAAAGAATTCTAAACTACCGGTTATCGAGGGCTAGGAGGGTTTCAGAAAACGCCTTTGGAATTTTGGCCAACCGATTCCAGGTACATTGTAATTTATAATATTTGTCGGCCAAACAAACAGTTAAACTCCAAGTTCCTGGGACTATCTAGATACGTTTATTCGACTTCGAGTAAATGAGACTTCATTCGAACTTCCGCTAATTGAGACATGAAAATAGTATGTTTTGTTTGATAAATAATTTGAAAGATGCGCATAAATTGGAACCAACTGAGTTCCACATTCGACCTATAACAGTTTAACTATTAATCCGTATTTTCAAATTAATTCAATTTAATTCATAATAACATTTCAGGTACTCCTCTCAACGATGAACCATAAGCCATCCACAGCGAGGCTGATAGTCAAGACATGCTGCATTCTCCACAACTTGATGAGAATGAGGTACCCTGCAATGCAAAAGGCACTGATTGACCAAGAGGACAGAAGAGACGACATGGTTCCTGGGGAATGGAGGAGAGATCGCAACTTGGAAGATGTCAGGGCTGTCAATATCAGAGGCCACAACACAGCAAACAAAAAGGGGAAGATTGTGAGAAATACTCTGAAGCACTGGGTCAACTCTCCAGCAGGAAGTGTACCATGGCAAGACA